CTGCCCGTAAATGTTCTGGTTAGTTTCCTCTGGACCGTCTGAGCCGTAAAGATAAAACAGAAGAAAACCGAAGAGGAGGATGGTCCATCAAACATTATCTGAATTCATCCTTCTCCTCTGAAGTCTAGAGCCCTTCCTCTGTCCTTCTCAGCATGTTTTTAGTTCGGCGTGAGACCGAGCGAGCGAGCGAGCGGCGTCACAGTCGGTCTGTTAGTCATCAATATGTCAGGATGCAGCGGCGGCTCAGAGGGAGGGACCGGAAGACAAGAAAGAGGAGAAGAGATCTTTGCACGCCTGTTGCTGCTGCCCTTTCTCTCGTCTTGCCAACAAATTGCATTTGACATTTGAGTGGTTTGCACGTGTGTGTGTGTGTGTGTGTGTGTGTGTGTGTGTGTGTGTGTGTGTGTGTGTGTGTGTGTGTGTGTGTGTGTGTGTGTGTGTGTGTGTGTTAGAGCCCCCGGACATCCACAGCAGTGGTTCTCCAGTTGATGACTCTCTCTCTTCCTCCTCTCTTGCTCGTCCACAGGCTCTCCTCTGGTCTTCGGTCCGTTCGGTTGATCTGATGGTCAGATTTTAACATCTTGATCTTCATGACATGAGAAAATATTAAAATGTCAGTTTGTTCAAACAGAAATCAAAGCGTTGGTATGGGTTATATCTCAGTTTTCACGCCGCCCTGCTGTTTTTTCGATGTTTCACACAGTTCCCTCACATTTAGACCATCAGGCCGTTTATTTCAGAGATCATGTGGAGGTCGGGACGATGTTGTGATTTCTTCTGGACGTCTGAAGTGTCAAAAGAATTAAGATACGATATTAGAGGTACGATAACTACACGATACCATGTGATGATGATAACCACACCATAAAGGTATGATACGACACGATGCAACACGATATGATCGGTACTATATACGAAACGATATGACAGATACAATAAGATAATCTTACAATATGATACAATGTGAAATGATATGATATGATAACCTTACGACACAATACGATATGATAAGATACAGTATGATATGATATAATAACCTCCAGATATGATACGACACATTACAATACGAGACGATACAACATGATACAGAATGATAAAATACGATAACCTTACGACATGATCAGTATGATATGATGAGATACGGCATGATACAATACAACAACCTTATGATATAATATGATACAATACAACAACCTTATGATATAATATGATACAATACAACAACCTTATGATATAATATGATACCATACAATAACCTTATGATAAGATAACCTTACAATATGGTAACCATGAAATATGATATGAGGACATATGATATGACACAATAATTTAACAATAGAAAACGATACGATACAATAAGATACGATAACCTTATGATGCGATCAGTATGATATGATGAGATACGACATGATATGATCTGGTAACCTTATGATACAATAACCCTTTGATATGATAAGATACGATATGAAACGATAACCTTATAATATGATAAGATACGACACAATACGAAAACTTTAGAATATGATATGATATATTACGATACAATAACATTACAATATGATATGATAACCTTACGTTATGACATGATACAATAACCTTAATAATAGGAAGCTCTGGCACAAAATAATGTTTCATTGTGACATGAACCAGCTGAAATAAACGTGTTTGTTTAGAACCTTTAAACTTCTGCCTCATCGTGTCGATCAGATTCAAACTTTTCTGACTCGTCAAACTGAACGAATCAGAAAAAAACGTTTATCTGTCATTTCCTGTTTTATTGTTGCAGGTTCACATCGGTTACCTCCCAAACAAGAGAGTCCTGGGCCTCAGCAAACTGGCCAGGTGGGTTCACTCTGTCTGTGTGTGTGTGTGTGTGTGTGTGTGTGTGTGTGTGTGTGTGTGTGTGTGTGTGTGTGTGTGTGTGTCTGTGTGAGTGAGTGTTTGTTTTCACTCTGATGGGTTTAATTAGACACCCTCTAAAGTGTGTGTGTGTGTGTGTGTGTGTGTGTGTGTGTGTGTGTGTTTAAGCTGATTATAAAAAGGTGTCTGATCCCAATGACCCCAATACCCTCAGGCTTATCACACTAACACCTTGTATTGGACGCTCGCTCTCACACTGAAGATGACAAACAGCAGATCCATTCACATTTTCACGTCCGTTTCTAAACTCACTTTAACATTCAGACTTTGACTGTAAATAAAAACTCTGATATTTGGTTTTTCTGTTTGACTCTTTTTTGGATTAACCTCCAAAACTCTGAACTTGAGTTTTTTTTTGGTCACATTTAGTGTTTGATAAGAGGATCATCTGATAGTGTGACTCCAAACACGTCTTCAGAAATATCTCCAAATAAAGTAGAGCGAGCGACTCCCAACAAGACCAGCACCTGTCCAAGACCTTTGACCTTTTCTGCTCACTTTGACTCGACCTCCAGCCTTCTTCACCAGGTCGTGGTTCGTGTTTTCTTCACTTTGGCGGATGTCTCTCTCACCCAACTTCACTCACTCAGTTCGTTTACAGTCACAGTTTGATCGGACTAAGATCATACTTCGTTTTAGCCCAATCAGACTTCTCTCCTCGTCCTCGTTTACATGCAGCTGAGAAAAAAGAATTATTGAAGTGAACGTGTCCTCCTCCCCAACACTAGGGGGCGATATGGGTCTTTTCAGCGGCGCTGTTTCCGACCCCATACAACCGTCAACAACAACAGCAGGTCGGTGTCAGACGTCAGAAGTGTCTCCAACTGCTGTTGGGCATTTTGGAGAAACAAGAAGATGGAGCATCGTACAGCGTTGTTTTTGTCCGACATGATGGACGCGCTACTTTTTCTAAAGAGGAGACCAACGCTACTCCTCTACTCTGGGGGTTTTGTTACGGGGTTACGGGGGCGTGGCACACATTATATTTTATATTATAGTCGGACTAAGGTGTTTACATGACCTTCAGTTGTGCGGTCTTAATCGGAATAAGGCGATAATTCGGTTTCCTCGAGTGTCGTGGAAACGGACTGAGTGGTTTCTGCAGGTTTTCCCTCCACTTGACGTCCTTCCTTTGTTGTCGACCGGTCAGCTGTTCACCTTACTCCGGATTAATCGCCGTGGTTACCGAGTTTTGACCTCTGGCGCTCTGTGGTCTGGTTGGTATCTGCATGACTGAAGTTCAGGCCCGGTCCAGAATCAGACCTAAAGTCCTGATTTGATCCAGTTTTAAAACAAGAACCAGGTTTTTTGGATTCTCAGACCTAGTTCTCGTGAGCGAACTCCTAGACCTGGACCTGGTTTGGTGGATCTAATATAAAAACTGGACCTCCTCTGTTCTGGGTCCGGGTCCTCGAGGATTTATTCTAACCCGCTCTGAGCCCCTCCCCTCCTCCTCATGGCGCTCTGTTTGCTCTTTGACGTTTCCTCGGAGGTCGGGGGTCAAATTTGTCCAAAGTGGTTTTGCTCACACAGAAGAGCAGCAGGTCAAAGGTCAGATCTTCTCCTCCTAAATGTCAGTTTCTATCGTGTTTTTGACCATCTCTCTCTTTTCTCTCGTCCAGGATCGTAGAGATCTACAGCCGTCGACTACAAGGTACGGCGCCGACCTCTGCGGACTCCGCCTCTCCTTTTCTGTCCAGAGTTCAGACCTGGTTTCCCCGGGTCTCTGTTTGCTCTCTGGTTGATGTTTGTCCGTTCATCCGTCTCTCCACAGTTCAGGAGAGGTTGACCAAACAGATCGCCGTGGCGATCACTGAGGCCCTGCAGCCCACCGGGGTCGGAGTCGTCATTGAGGCAACGTACGAACGTCCAATCAGATAACAGTCCACATGTTCACCTCCGGGGTTTCTCCTCCCACTCCTCTTTCAGTCTCAGTCTGGTTTCTTTTCTTCTGGTTTTGGTTCCTCGTCTGTTTTTCCTTCCTCCTCTTATTTCTTACTCTCTCTTTTTTTCTCTTTTTCTCTCTTTTTCTCTTTTTCTCTCTTTTTTTCTCTTTTTCTCTGTTTTTCTCTTTTTCTCTTTTTTTCTCTTTTTCTCTTTTTCTCTTTTTTAGTTTTCGTTTTTTTCCTCGTCTTTTCTGACCTCTCATTTTTATTTACCTTCAGTCTTTTCGTTTTTATCTCTTTGTTTGTGTTTGTCCTCCTCCCGTTCCGTCACACTCACATCTTTTCTTTTTTCTTTTTTAATTTTAACGTCTTTTTTTTCAGTCACTTCTCTCACTTTTCTTCACCTCTTTTTTTTCAACACTTCTCTCTCTCTTTTGGATTTCCCCTCCTCCTTTTTTTAATTTCTTTTTTATTGATTTCACTGATCAATATTCCATCAACATTTTACAGTAAAATCAAATGAAGTAAAATCACTCATGTCCTTTTTTCACTCCTCTCTCTCATCGTCTCAGATAAACAGAATAAACAGAATAAACATATGAACAAGTTTGAGCCAAGGGGATCAATAATCTATAATCACTTAGAGGCCTTAGAGGCGAAAATAAATCACGAGCTTTTGGACGAGGATCATGACGTGTATCACGGCACTTCAGCCTCCCTCTCTCCACGATGACCACGGTGTGAAACGCTGCTCCGGTTTACACCTGCCTTTCAAACGTGATAAATATAGACGCAAAACAGCGACCGCAGTCGGTTTCCGGGTTTGATAGATCACACTGCGGGTGTTAAATGATTTCATTTTCATCTGCTCCTCTCAGAATTTTGTGCGTTCTGATGATCTACAAACATTCTGCGTATTCATGAAGGCAGACACGCTAAATCGATTTTCACGCGCTGTTTCGCTCATTTGACAGACGCGATCCTCGGTGCTCCCGGTTAGTAGATCAGGTTTGTGTGCGCTATCAAACCTTTAGTAGATCAGACCCACCGTCTTCACTGCACAAAGTCTGAGACACTAAATCAACCCAGTTTTTCCAGGAGATTTTAAAAGTTTCTGTTTTTAGTGGAGATGAGAAAATCATCTTCTCCTGATTCTGTATTCATCGATCAATTACCTCGACCCAATCCTCCATTTTTGGTTCATCTGTTTTTAGACGGTTTCTACTGATGACCTTTTTAGCGTCACCAACATGATGGTAAATCTGTGTTTTTCTCCTGACCTTCTTTCTTCTCTTTTCACAAATATAAAACTTTAAATCTAAAATGTTTTCCATCCTCTTCTTTATCTCCTGACAATAAGGTATAAAAACACCAGAGCATCTACAAAAACATGAACATGATCGGCCTGATTCTTCTTCCCACATCGTGTTTCTCCAGATTTCTGTTGTTTCGGTCTAATAAATTCTTCTGAACATATTCTCTCCATGTTGTTCTCCTCTCTCCTTCATTCACGTCCTCCTAGATGTTGTTCCTCCTTTTTTATAGTTTGTCGTCCTCGGCTTCATCGTCTCCTCTTCATCCCCTCTTTTGTTTCCTGTCTAACCCTGATCTTTTCATCACATCCTCTTTTCATTCGTTCCTTCAGTTGTGTAACCGTCGGCTCCTGTTTTCCTGAGTTTCTCGGTCTCGGTATCCAGAATCTGGAACAATCGTCCGATTGTCTCTTGAGTCTCCGTGTCGCTGCATCACTTTAAATCCGTGAAGGAGCCGTATCGGCCCCGGCTAATCCTCAGGAGACACTGGGAGACCCGGCAGGAGACCAGAACGAGCTTTCTGCCTGTGGTGTCCGTGTGAATCGATGAAACCGTTAAAGTCTTATTTTAGCCGCTCTGATTAAATCTGCGTACATAGAAACGACGGCGCAGAGGAAAAGAGAGCAGGAAACACGACTCCTTCGAGGACGACGTTCCTCAAAAGCAACGCTTAGAAAAACGTCAAAGAGAGAGAGAGAGAGAGACGTGAAGGTCGGACCTGAACGAGGCCGACTGTCTGGACCAGGACCTTCTCAAACATGAGGACAGTTTCCTAACTCCTTCTTTGTTCTCTTCATTCCTTTCCTTCTTCATTTTCATTTTCATACTTTATTTCATTCAGTTCATTTTTAAAACATTCAATAAAAACAAGTAAAAATCTCAAACATGTGAATGAAAAGGAGCAGGAAGAAGAAACTTTCTCCTCTTTATATTAACAAACTAAACACAGAATAATGAAAATAAACAAGAGCTGCAGAAAAACACAAAACAGAAAAAGACTTCCATGAACATATTTCCCTGTATTTACTCGACATTCTGACTTTGACACTTTTTTTAAAGATCAAATTTGATTTAGTTTCACAAACTTGTTCCTCTCTCTGAAACTCAGCTCTGCTTCACTTTAGTCTCAATCTTTTTAAACATTTTAAATCCTCTTAAAGGTGTTGTAGTTTTTAGGAGAAATCTTGAATGTAAACTCTACCCCTCCAACCAGTTTTCCCCTCAGCTCCTCCTCTCCCCTCAAGCCCCGCCCACAAACAGACGCTCCTGCTCGCTCGTATCGTTCCAGTTAAATTCCAGATATAATGCAGATAAATCCTTCAGATCATTACAAATGGGGCCCAGTCAAGGTGAAAGTCAAAAGCATTGGTGCTACTGTAGATGCCAACAGACTACCAGCAAACACAATGTTTGCAGGACTTCAACAACTAGGATAAAGTGACATAGTCCAGGACCCGAGGGAGGACAGTTTAGCGATGGCGCTACAACACGCTACAGCAGGTCCGTTTGACAAGAAACACTTCTGTTACAGACACTTGTCTTACTTTGTTAAAGCGGTTTACCTGTCCAGCAGAAAGGTTACAGGGTCACCAAGATCCCCAAGCGTCCCCCATCGTTTATGTTGACCCGGCTTTTTAGCTCTTGTCCGGTCTACCTCCGTTTTAAGCGCCCGTTATTCCTCCAGAGTCTCCGGTATTTACTTTGTTTTCTTGCTTGTGTCGGCAGTCGTGGCCAAAGGAGGATTCAGACAATTTTCCGAACTTTCTGGTTGGTTTCTACTGTCCGATATTGTAGCACGCTAACTTTGTTTGGGCTCCTGAACGACACGGGGGAGCAGCATTTTCTTGTTGACTGTTTTCTTGTTGACTGTTTTCTTGTTGACTCTTTTGGTGTTGGCTGTTTATGGTTGACTGTTTTCTTGTTGACTGTTTTCTTGTTGACTGTTTACTTGTTGACTGATTGTGGTTAACTGTTTTCTTGCAGACTGTTTTATGTTGACTGTTTTGGTGTTGACCATTTTCTTGTTAACCGGTTTGGTGTTGACTGTTTTCTTGCTGACTGTTTTCTTGCTGACTGTTTTTTGTTGACTGTTTATGTTTGAGTGTTTTCTTGCTGACTGTTTTCTTGTTGACTGTTTTCTTGTTGACTGTTTTGGTTTTGACTGTTTTCTTGTTGACTGTTTTGGTTTTGACTGTTTTCTTGTTGACTGTTTTCTTGTTGACTGTTTTCTTGCTGACTGTTTTCTTGTTGACTGTTTTGGTGTTGACTGTTTTCTTGTTGACTGTTTTGGTTTTGACTGTTTTCTTGTTGACTGTTTTGGTTTTGACTGTTTTCTTGTTGACTGTTTTCTTGTTGACTGTTTTCTTGCTGACTGTTTTCTTGTTGACTGTTTTGGTTTTGACTCTTTTCTTGCTGACTGTTTTCTTGTTGACTGTTTTTGCTGACTGTTTTCTTGTTGACTGTTTTGGTTTTGACTGTTTTCTTGTTGACTGTTTTGGTGTTGACTGTTTTCTTGTTGACTGTTTTCTTGCTGACTGTTTTCTTGTTGACTGTTTTGGTGTTGACTGTTTTCTTGTTGACTGTTTTGGTTTTGACTGTTTTCTTGTTGACTGTTTTCTTGTTGACTGTTTTCTTGCTGACTGTTTTCTTGTTGACTGTTTTGGTTTTGACTCTTTTCTTGCTGACTGTTTTCTTGTTGACTGTTTTTGCTGACTGTTTTCTTGTTGACTGTTTTGGTTTTGACTGTTTTCTTGTTGACTGTTTTGGTGTTGACTGTTTTCTTGTTGACTGTTTTCTTGCTGACTGTTTTCTTGTTGACTGTTTTGGTTTTGACTGTTTTCTTGTTGACTGTTTTTTGCTGACTGTTTTCTTGTTGACTGTTTTGGTGTTGACTGTTTTCTTGCTGACTGTTTATGTTTGAGTGTTTTCTTGCTTGTGTCGGCAGTTGTGGCCAAAGGAGGATTCAGACAATTTTCCGAACTTTCTGGTTGGTTTCTACTGTCCGATATTGTAGCACGCTAACTTTGTTTGGGCTCCTGAACGACACGGGGGAGCAGCGTCTGCCTCACAACCAATCAGGTTAGAGGAGGTGGAGAACGGCTTTGTTTACAGTCAGAAAGAGCGGACCGCTCAAAAATGTTCAAATGTTGACGACACAGACATAAGAGAACACAGAGATATCGATATATTACCAAATAATCAATAACTAATAACTATTGACTGATATTAGAAGATTTTTGTAAATACACCAAAATAAAAAGATGCTTCATTAACGTTTTCCCGCCTACACCACCTTTACATCATAACCACTTTCTCTCTTTTCTGGCTGGTAACATGTTCCTCTGAACTTTATACATCATTTATAATTTAACTTTATACATAATCTGCAACAAACTGAAATCTTTCCTCTCCACTTCCTCCTTTCTTTATCTCCTTATTCCCTCCATCCCGTCGACTTCCTCCTTTTGCTCTGCCTCATGTTAACATCGTCAGTCTTTTTGTGCCTCTTTGTTGAAATGAGATGATCATCTTATCTCTCTCTCTCTCTCTCTCTCTCTCTCTCTCTCTCTCTCTCTCTCCCTCGCTCCACAGTCACATGTGCATGGTGATGCGCGGCGTTCAGAAGATGAACAGTAAAACCGTCACCAGCACCATGTTGGGCGTTTTCAGGGAAGATCCTAAAACCCGGGACGAGTTTCTGACTCTGATCAGGAGCTGAGGAGCGCCGAGCTCCTCCTCTTCCTCCTCCTGATGCCTGATGTTATCTCCACCTGCACGGACCAGTGTGTGTGTGTGTGTGTGTGTGTGTGTGTGTGTGTGTGTGTGTGTGTTACAGAGCAGTTAAATTTCGGTTATCTCAGTGAGAGTTCATGGAGGCTGTGACTGATGTTTATTTCACAGATGACGGGACTTTACCCAGAGCGTCTGATTGATCGTTGATCGATTATCAGTCTGTGACGGATCGACCCTCACAGACGATAATCATCCGTATGATTTCTAACTATCAGGACGGCGTCAGATAAACTCTGGAGTTTTGAGAAGGATCAGCCCAGAGCGGTTAGGGTTGGTAAAACTATGACAGGAAGTGGACCGAGCCGGCCGCTCAAAATCAAGTCCAAAAAAGGGGAGGAGTCAAGTCAACCATCATCCGTGTTTTAGCTGAGCGCAGCGGTATTTCACTTTTATAAACTCATTTCAAGTCTTTGTTAGTTTCACTGAAGAGACAAAGACTTCCTGTCACCCTGAGCTGTTCGGACTCTTTAACGTCAGACGACAGAACGACGTCTGAAGCCGATAACTGTCCCGTCAAAATGACGACTTATTTGTCGATCACAGGTTGAGAGGAGGTTAAAGATTTGTTCGTGTAAATAATTCAGATTTTCGTGTCCGGTGTGAAAAAAAACGTCTGTTTCTGTAAAACCGTAGATGTGGTCTCAGCGACGTCACTTATCAGGATTTCAGAGACCAGGAGGGAGGGTCTAGACGAACCTGTCAATCAAATCAGACTGATTTACATGAAACTGATCACTACGACCTTTTCAGAAGAATTCACGTTTTAGAGATGGTTTCATGTAAGAGCTCTGGACTCGGTTTAAAAATCATAATATCTGCTGTTTTAATGAGGCTCAGTGGGTTTTCTTCGGCTCTAGTGGACACTCTAGGAACTGCAGTTTTGAGAACTTCTAGAGGTCGCTGCTCAGTCGCTGTTTTCAGTTTGTTATATTTTACATCTAAAGGCCAAACGGTTTTCCAGTTTTGTTTCACAGAAAATTGATCGTTTAAATTTCTCGTATCGAGCCGCTGAAGCGTACGGACTTCCTGTGTCAGGTTAGAGAAAGGTGTTTGAGACGCTGCTCTGGGAGGCGACTATACTTGTCATTGTTTTCAGACAGTGAATGAATCCGACCGGTGGGAAGATAAATAAAAAGTGAGGAAACTGTAAAAACTGAGAATCAGGATAGATTTAAGTTTCACCTCAGAGACCCTCACTGTCCCTTTATTGACATTTACCTGAGGATTTGTGCATTTAAAGGTAAAACTGATCCTGGAACAGATACTTCAGAAGGTTAAAGTGAGCCGAGGGTCACAGCAGTATTATAACAGGGTCTCCTGTCAGGACTTACCTGTGTGCCAACTCACCTTCTGATTTACAACCCTGAAAAACACACAGACCGCTGAACCAACAGATGGACTAAAATTACACTTTATGAGAGACGAATGAACTCTGCATGTGTGTGTGTGTGTGTGTGTGTGTGTGTGTGTGTGTGTGTGTGTGTGTGTGTGTGTGTGTGTGTGTGTGTGTGTCCAGTGTCTCTGTTTTTCCTCATGTCGCTCATTTTTGCAGTTTATTGCATCATCATGTCCACAGATTAATTTGAAGAAGTTTTTAATCGTCTAAATTGTTTTCTGGAGTCACGTGTGAGAGTGTGTGTGTGTGTGCTTGTATACATTTGTGTGTGTGTGTGTGTGTGTGTGTGTTGGAGGGACGACGAGCACCACCAAACTGCTCTGCTGTTGTTTTTCTCGTGGCCTTGTTGAGAAGGACGGCCTGTTCTTTGGCCCTTCAATCATCGTAACTTTCTGTACTGTGTTCATTTGAGAAACTTTTTAATCAAAGGAAATAAAACCTCTCTGTAACCGTGACGACGACCATCGGCTCTTTATTGTTTGTGAATCTGTTTACATGAAACCATAGATTAGATAAAAACTCCTCAGTTCGAGCTTAAAGGTAAAAACGAGTGAAAACTAGAACTCTTCACAGAGCCCAGATTAAAGGGCTTTCGGACGCCTCCGTGCTCAGCCCTGATTGGTCGCTGGCCTGGTGGTCTACGCATGAAGGTGGGGGAGACTTCCCATGTTGCCGCCAAATCTCCGTCCCTGTTTGCGGCTCTGCCTTCCCCTTAAAAAAAAAAATCCAAACAGGAAGTCTTGATCTTTACGACAGCGATCCTCTATTTCAGCGGTTCTCAACTGGTGGGTCCAGACCCAAAAGTGGGTCATGAACACGTTCTGGATGGGTCGCAAACAGCTGGTCAAAAAAGTTAATACTTAATGTGAATCTGATGTTTGACATGTCTTTTATTTTGAAAAAATATCTTATTTTGTATAATTTTATATTTGATATTTTCTGTATCTGTAACTTCAGTAGTTGTCGTCCTCAGTTCATGTGCTCTGATGCATTTTACCAAATAAAACGGGTGTTAAAGTCTTTAAAGTTTTTTTATATATATTTATATATAAAATAAATTTGCTTGGTTTAAATACTTAACCATGATATTTTTATTATGCTCGAAATATAATTTTCATTATACTAGTCTATGACATTTTTTTCAAACTAATATATGATTTTTTTTTCATGCTAAAATATGAAACTTTTAACCAACCATACTATGACATTTAAATCATACTGTAATGTCATTTTTTTTTCTAACTAAAATATTATTTTTTATCCTAAAATATGACATTTTTAACATACTAAACTGACATTTTTTCGGTACTAAACGAGAACATTATTGTTCATACTAAAAAAGGAATTTTTTTTAAAAACTATACGATGACATTTTTACTATAGTATACTGTGACATTTTTCTCATACTAAAATATGACTTTTTTTTTACTGTGCTATACTTGGACATTTCTATCAAAATAAACTATGACATTTGTTTTTGCTAAGATATGAATAATTTGTTTTACACTTGAATTGGAAATTTCTAACATACTTTATTATAAATTAAAACATAAAATTTTTATCATACTATACTGACATTTTTTTCATACTAAAATATAAAATTTGATCATACTATACCATGATATTTTTGTCCAACTTACTATGACAATTTTTTTAAACTGAAGATTTTTTTTTACACTTAAATGGAATTTTTTAACATACTAAACTATGACATTTTGTTTCTCAGACTGATATATGGATTTTTTTCATACCAAATTATGAAACTTTTAGCATAGTATACTATGACGTTTTTGTCATGCTAAATTTTAACGTTATTGATCATACTAAGATATGAATTTTTTTTAACACAGGTTTTAAACAATATATATATCGACTTCAGGACCATGGGAAAATGTGGGTCCCACAGTGAGACCAGTTGAGAACCACTGCTCTATTTGTCCAGATTTTACCAGGAACTCATCTATCGTCTCTCCTCCTCCTCTTTATCTTCTGGTCAGTTTGTCTCAGCACTCCACAGGTTGACCCCCCACCATCTTTGTCTGTATGTTACTGGTCCATGACTCTGCTCTCTTTGCAGCTCTCCACAGGACTTACAAAATCTTGAGCTGAAGGAGAACACACCAAAACTGGTTCCAAATCTGGGGGGCCCACAGCTGGTAGCCATGAGGCTAATAAGGGGGCTAATCTGGCCCTGAGCCCGGGACATGGAGCTGAACATGATCTGGATTTCTGACAGAGGAATGACTCAGCAGCAGCAGCAGCAGCAGCTCCGGTCCACGTTTTATAACATCACAGCTGCCAGGCTGTATGCTCAACCCTGAAACCCCTGTTCAAACATGACCTTGAAAACGTTTGTGTCTGCAGTGACCCGGCTAACAACATTTCAGATCAACGTTTGTCCTCCTGTCAGCAGGTCAGCTGATGACAGGACGCCTCGGTTCACACTGTGTGGACTCGACTGAAGTTTGAACCTGCAAAGAAGTTACAGATGATTCACCAAACTAAACACTCAGAAATGTCTCTCTGAAATGTTCTTTTGGTTGTATTGGAATAAAAACCTGCTGAACACCTCTCCTTCCTTCAGTCTGAAGTAGATCATAGATGTAACAGACACAGAGAGGACAGACAGTCTCATCATGGTTGGACTGTATCTCTCTCAGCCTGTTTCTTTTTGTCATATCAGTAAAATCTTAGAGGACGGCAGTAAAGGGTTCGGGAGTGACAGGAAGAAAAGAAAAACTGAAGTGATCTGCTCAACATGTAAATAAAAACAATCATCATAAAACAAAGAGGATTTACAGATAACAGTCCAAAGTCCAAACAGATGGAAGAAAACTCTCACTGCTCTTTGGCTCCACCAAGTGGAAATTTGTCATACAATAAAATCAAATTTTAATTAGACTTGACTATGTTTCTTTTATTTTTTTTAATGGTAAAATACTTTGACATTTCTATCAAACTATACTATGGCATTTTTTCCCCCATACTGATACATAAATGTTTTCATGCCAAAATGTAAAATTTTAAACATACTATACTATGACATATTTATCATACCATTAAATGACATTTTTGGTCATACAGGGATATGAATACCTTTTTAACACAAATATAAAACATTTTTTACATACTATACTATGACACTTTTTTCATACTTATATTTTCTTCCAAGCCAAAATATGAAATTTGAAACATGATCATGATTTAGTCATACGATACAATGACATTTTTTTTATACTTAGATATAAATTTTTAATCATACTATACTATGACATTTTTATTCAACTTACTATGACAATTTTTTTCAGACTAAAAAATGATTTTTTTTTTCACACTGAATTTAGAAATTTTTAACATACTATCCTATGACATTTTTACCATACTATAATATGACATTTGGTCATACAAGGATATGAATTTATATAGTATTTAAATAGTATGTTAAAAATATGAAATTTTTAACATACTATACTATCACATTTTTTTCATACTTACTATGACAATTTTTTACAGACTAAAAAACTATTTTTTTAACACTTAAATTGGAAATTTTAACATACTATACTATGACATTTTTTCCATATTGACATATGAATTTTTTCTTGTCAAAATATTAAATATTTAACATAATATTCTATGACACTAAATGTTTCATGAATATGACATTTTTTTATACTTGAAGTAACATTTTAATCATACTATACTATGATTTTATTTTATACTAAAATTTGAGAATTTTTAACCATCTATAATATGACATTTTTTCAAACTAAAATATGAATTTATTTTCATACTAAAATATGAAATTTTTTTATTAAACTATACTGTGACATTTTTATCCTACTTACTGTGACAATTTCTTTGAGACTAAAGTATTTTTTTTTTCACGGTTAAAATGGAAATTTTTAACGTACTATACTACAACATATTGATCATGCTATTATATGATTTTTGGTCAATTTGTTTTTTTAACACAAAAAATGAAATTTTTAACATGCTATACAATGATTTTTTTCATACTTACTATGACAATTTTTTACAGACTAAAGTAGGAATTTTTTTACACATGTATTGGAAATCTTAACTTACTATATTATGACATATTTATCAAACTGTAAGATGAACATTTTTGGTCATACTCAGATCTGTATATTTTTTAACACAAAGATATGAATTTTTTTTTACATACTATATTATGACATTTTTTCATACTAAATGTTTCATTTTTAACGTACTAAACTATGACATTTTGTTATACTGGAAATAACATTTAATTCATATTTAACTACATTTTTCTCATACTCAAACATGAAGATCTTTAACTAGCTATACTATGACATTTTTTCATACTAAAATATGAATTTATTTTTATACAAATATATGAAATTTCCAACATACTATGAGATGACATTTTATCCTACTTACTGTGATGATTTCTTCCGAAAGTATGATTTTTTTTTCAGACTTTAATTGGAAATTGGAAACATACTATTCTATTGCATTTTTTCCCACACTGATATATAATTTTTTATGCTAAAAATGAATTTTTTAACAAATTATACCATGACATTATTTTCATAACAAAATTTCCAAAATAAACGATTTTTTTTATCACTCTATACTTGGACATTTTCATCATACTATACTATGACATAAGTTTCATATAAAATTTATTTTTTTTCTACACTAAAATATGAAAATCTTAACATACTATACCATAACATTTAATTTTCTTAGACTATACTGTCATTTTTTTTATAATCTATTGTGACATTTTTATCAAACTAAAATATGAAATTTTTACTATCCTATACATTTATGACATTTATATCATACAACACTTTGACATTGTTTTCAAACTTAAACATGAAATTTTTATCATACTATTCTGTGACATTTTTAAGATACTATACTATGACATCAGTCTAAAATATAAAATATTTATTGTTATACTATGTCATTTTTATTAAATTACACATGACAATGTTTTTACAACTCAAATATGACATTTTTCTCATACTATACGACGCCATTTTTAATCATAGTATAATTTTATTTTTTTTTATTGTTGAATATAAAATTTTGACTTTTTTTTTTATGAAAATTGACTTTTTTTCACACTCATTAAAAACTTTGAACATACTATACTATGACATTTTTTCATATGTAAATAGGATTTTTTTATTATAGGATACAATGACATTATCATACTATACTGACATTTTTTTCAAAATAAAATATATTTTTTTCATGCTTTGATATGACATTTTTATCATAGTACACTATTAAAATTTTTCAGAGAAAAATATGACATTTTTTAATGCTGAAATATGAATTTTTTAATATACTATACGATGACATTTATCAAACAATACTATGACTTTTTTTTTTTCGGTCATAAATATAAAAATGTTGACATTGTTATCATACTATACTACGACATTTATTTTCATACTTGAATTTGATTTTCTTTTTCATGCTTAAATATGAAATTTTTAACATACTATACTCTGCCATTTTTATTTTACTATACTATGGCATTTTTATACACACGCACACATCATAGGTGCTGCTCTGAAATAAAAAGCCATCCTCCTGCAAGTCTCGGACCCGAGTTAAGTTAAACAGATGAACACACAGACCGACACGAGAGGAGTTACAACTTTTTAATGTATAACAGGGGCATGCCAAGTCACAGCATTCTGGTACATCGCGACAAAATTACAGCAAGACACTTCGGAGAACACTTGAATGAATCCACACACTCACTCACACTCACACCGTCACTGTCACACACTCATTCATTCATTCACACGTTATTTTATACAGACCACAATAAATCATGACTTCATCTCAGCGAGGAGTACCTACAGAGTACACACACAGCAGACCGAATTCACCGAGTCAGCCACGTTCACACTGCTGCCAGGATCGATCCAGATTCAAGTTTCAGAGTCACAGGAAGTTCTGAACGGACCTAAAGATTTCAGGTTTCAGATCTTTAGGGTCCGGCTGAACTTGGATCCACTTCACAGCAGAAACACTGCGCTCATGTCAGTCTGCAGAAACGCACTGATCAGGAGGGAACGAATCAGAGATAAGAACGACGACAATCATTTCTGATCATCATGGTTGAAAATGCTTCCTTCTGAGTTTCACCTCGGCTCTTGAAAACTGACTGATCAATTTCACTTTAAACTGTTTTTATGACGAGAGGAATTATTAATGATCGATAATGAACTGTTAAACTCTTCTGGGAGTTTTGAAAGTCTCTCCAAATTAAAGAAACATGGATGGTCTTAAAAAGGTGATCAAAAACTAGAGACACCGTTAAAACAGACGAAACCTGAACTCTCTCAGCGTCAGTGTGAACGTGAGCCGACACAGTCCTCATCGTTTCATCCTGTAACATGACAAGTTTGTTTTTTTAAGTCTGTATAAAACATTTTTACATTTGGGCTGAAATGTCTCGAGTACAAAAAAAGGCACTGCCATTTGTTATTCTAAATACGACTCTCCCAGCTTTGTGCATGCAGTTTTAAAATATAAATTACACTTCTCTCAACGCTTTCCTTTTTTCTGCTTTTTCTTCCATTTTTTGTCTTTTTTGTGTTTTTTTATTATTAAACATACGATATTCTTTTTGTCAAATATATACGTAAGCCTGCAGTCAATACAGGACATCGGCTCTTTGATAAAATAAAACTAAATGAAAATGAAGGAGCACAGTCAAGCGGTAACACGGAGTTACAGAATGAATGCTGCTGGATTTACAAAAATAAAACAAAAATAAAACAAAAATGTCTTGGCATCCCATAATGACAATAATGGACTAAACTGCAGAATCTATGACAAAAATAAAAGATACAAAACAGCATATATGTCTCAACTTAAAGTACATTACATGTTTTTGGAATATCAAGGCGTAATCTAGCTGTTAATACTGCACACTCCTGAACGCCCACACAGCTGATATGCATCCAGAGAAAACAAAAATAAAGCATTTGGTTTGCAGAGAAGAGAAACCGTCCGGACCTCGGCGCCGACTGTCCCGTCACAGGTGAGTTTCTTTGACCTTTGACCCAGAGGAGCAGACCCGGAGGCCTGTTTGACACTCAGAGACACAAAAACCTGGAACTCTGTTTTCCAGACAAATCTCATGACCTCAGGTCAGCGGAGCGCGCTCAGTCAGTATCTGTATCCTCCGAACGTGGCGGCGCTTCTGAGAGCGAGCAACAATACTGCACAAACACACAACAAGAGTTAGAGTTATCCCTTTAATTTCATTCATTCATTCATCGAACAGCTGAAGACGGACGCGTTTCAGCGGGGATGAATCTGAAGACATGACTCTGTTTTCTTATCGTGAGCAAATCCCATCAAAATAAAAATAAAACAAACTTTAATTCATCGACCCGAGAGTCGAACCTCCTCCAACACGGTCCACAGAACTTCTGAACCTCCCAGGATTTCACGTCTTCACGGCTGAAAACTCCTCAAACAGGATTTGGTTTTTTTCACGGGATTTGTTGACAGTAAGAAAAAAATCACAACATGACCCTTTAAAGTAACCTACAGGACCCCAGACTGAATCCAGGACCTCAGCACCAGGTTCAGACTCTGAGACCTCCTGTGACGAACCGTCTGCTGCTCCTCTCTTCATATGAAACTCTCAAAAAGACGATCAATCCAACAACAGCAACGAAAAAACTCAACATGAACATCGAGGTTAATATTTGAGATGTAGGTATGGTCACCAGCCATAACACCTTAATACATACGGTACTTTAAATAATCATCGTCATACAACTAAAATGAGAAGAAAAAAAAAAACGGCATCATCATCATCATCATCATCATCATCATCATCATCATCATCATCATCATCAGCTCCACGATCATAATAAATAAGAAGGCAGCTACTTTAAGTGACACTCAAACAGTCTCCTTTTAAAGATGATGATGAGACTCCGGGTCCGAACTTTGACGGAGTCCAAATAAAGTATCAGAGTGTGTGTGTGTGTGTGTGTAGTGACGTTACCGTGGTAACAACATTAACAGTTTTACGGCTGTAGTGTACGTGCGCTCTGTTTGTCTGAGTGTGTGCACGTCCAGAGTCCAGTATCGAGCCTCAGAACCAGAGTTCTGGACTGGTTTCAGACCAGTTCAGTTTGAGCGCCTCACGTCTGCGTGACTTTACGGTAGGAGGAGAAGAAGAAACAAGAAATTTAATTATTAAAAAAAATATTATTAAACGATTTTTAATTTCCCCGAGAGTTCGGAGAGTTCGGACTGGACGAGGATCACTGACGGCAGAAACGAAGAGATTTCTCAAAATTTCTAGTTTTTAATTTTGATAATCTGGATTTTTATTTTTCGTGACTTTGAAACTTTTATCATCCAGATTTAAAACAATGACGTTAAAGACAAACTAGAGTTTATTTTTCTTTTTCATAACATGTTTAAAATTGATTTTACAGTTTTTGTTATAGCATCCCACTGAGCGACAGACATCTACTTTATTTTTAGACCAAATTTCAACGTCTAGATTCTGTATATTTTTGGACGCTGCACTTTAACCTGTTATTCGATAACTTTTTACTTCTAAAAGTAACTGTGAGTTTCATAACTGATCTCCAAGTACTTCACCAAATAATTATGATAGCTGTTTAGCATCACAGAGTAGTGTAGTAGTATAGATATAGTTAGACTTGGTCTAAACTTGGTCTAAATTTAGACGTCTAAAAAAGGTTCATTTGTCGACCTGTGGTGGTCTGATCAGAAGGTTTTCTACATTTAAAGATACAGCGGTATATTTTTTTAACTGAACATTCAAAAGAAGAGTTTGTGTTTGTTTGTGTTTGTTTGTGTTCCTCTATAAAGTTGAATAAAAGCATCATAAACTCTGTAGTGTCTCACGTCAGGACCATCACCTGTTCTTTTAAACTCCTCAAACTAAAATTGAATATTTAGATTAAAGTTAGACTCAGATCAGGATCACGTGTTTGTGTCTCGCAGATCAAACTAAACTTTAGAGGTTATTTAGATGAGTTACGACACGTCAGTCCGATTATTAGGAGTTTACTCCGCTCTGATAGATTGTTTTTCTTTCACTGATCCATCATTTTTTTATCATTGATGGTTTTTTATAGTAAATGGACTCAAACGTTCAGAATCACAAACTTGCTCCTGGTTTTAGATGATCGTTTCTTCGGTCTCTGGCGCTCACAGTCGGACAAACAGAGGTGATTTAGTGTGAATTAAAGGCGTCAGGAGCGTCGTGAGTCATCCTCCTCTTTCATCGACTTCTGCCTCAGCGAGAAGTCTGCAGCTCCACGTCTGACCTGACCTGACCCCGAAGCGCTGACTGTTGATTTAGTGTTTTCACATCAAGTGCAGAAGAAACAAATGCGAATAAAGAAACTAAACACGAAGCATCACTGTTGACCGTTCTGGATCAGGACTCACACCTGTCCTAACCGTCTCTGTCGTCCACAGAGTCCTCTCCACAAAAGTCTAAATATTAAGACACAGAAAAACTAAATAAATCCATGACCGCACTAACCGAAGACCGTCTCACAATCTCCTTCACTAAAACTTGAGTGTTTTTTTTTTAAAGTTGTGCAGAGCTCCTGCTGCGTTCACCGACTCCTCCTGTCATGACTGCGTTTGGCCAGCAGGTGGAGGTAAACACTAATGAGACAATCTCGGGGAAAAGGACCCTTCATGGATTGACAGTGTGTGATTTCTCCCATGTTGTGATCTCCTCAGCAGAAACCAGATCGCTCTCCTCTTCAGACCGTTTCAAAGTCCGTCTGTTTCCCCGAGACGGAAACTCGAGACTCAGATCAGCTTCAGCTTCAGGTCAGGAAAAATACCTCCACACCTGAATCCCTCTGATGATTCAGCTCCGTGGATCTCCCATCGCCCGCTCTGAATACAAAGACTTTATACAGTACATGGTATAGATATACAATACTCCAGATTCCCTTCCTCCTGCACTTACTCACACGAACATGACATCATCTTCCTCTGTCTTCTTCTTCAGCCAATCAGAGGTCCTGCCTCTGATGTCTTCCTCCTCTAAACATCCTCTTCCTCTTCCACAAACACTCCAGCGTCTCTCTTCCTCTCTGTCTCGACTTTCTCTGTCTTTCTCTGACCTCAAACTCTCTCTCTCTCTCTCTCTCTCTCTCTGTTTTTGTCGCCTCCTGCTGCTGAAATAAAGAATAATCACGCCGCCGTCGTCGTCGTCGTCGTCGTCGTCGTGGTTGTTGGTTGTAAACTGTTGTCATGGCTACTTGTAATGGGACATAAAGCTGGTGGATCACCGAGGGCGTCCAGGTGATCACATGATGATGATAAATCATACCTGAAGTTCGTCATCGTCCGTGTGTCTGTACCCTTTAAAGTAGCATCATTATGTAAACAATAAATACATCAAATACACTAAAGACCCCGCCCCCTTTACAGAGCCCAGAGACCCTTCTCTGGACTCTGAACACTCGGTCTCACTGATGGGAAATCCAGAACCGCTGGGGTTCTGCTGGTCTTGTTTCTGGGTCTGAGGTACTGTAACAGATTTAAAGATCCATGTTCGGGGACCAGGAGGTGTCGGAGAGGGAGGGGGACCTCAGTCCTGCTGGTTCTGATCCAAGAGCCGGGACTTCACCCCTCTGAGCGATCTGCAGTGCTGCTGTTGGCCTCCCTGACCGGGGGGGCGCTGTTCACTCACTGTCCGGACCGGGGCGGATGTTGTCCTCCCTCCTGACCTGCTGGCGGAGCAGGAAGTGTGTTTTTTCACCCCCCTGGACGGTCCCCGTGTGGTGGCTTTAGTACGCCGTGTGATGATTGGCTCCTTGGTGAGTCTTGGTACCGGTCCCGATCCTTTGGTTGAGCTCTGCCGTTGGCTACAGGGAGGGGGGACAGGAGGAGCTGCTGACCTCCAGGGGGACTTGTGCTGAGAGAGTCTGGTGGACCCGTGCCGTCCCGCCGCTCTCACTCAGGTCTCCTCGGTCTCATATCGTTGATGTGCGGTCGGCGCCGTCTGGAGAGGAGGAGCAGAGAAGAGCAGGGTTAGAGTTCTGGAGAGGTCTTCATCAGAACCAGGTCCAAGAAGACCGAATAAAGGACCAACTCTGAGGACTCAGGTCCACAAACAGGTCTCTGCTCCTCTAAAGTCATGGTTGACGATTGTAGAGATCGGTCATTATTATGAACCTCGTTTCCATGGCGATCATGGTGCTTTAGTGCGATCTCCACAAAGTGAAGAGAATAAATCTGTTCACCCTATCAGCTGCAGGGCTGCAAAAACATCGACCAATGGGAGCCCTCCGTCCCCGACAGCTCCCATTGGTCAATCTGCTCCGCCTCTCCATCCAATCACCTCGCTGTATTCGACACACCCCTCTCCCGTAGTTCCGACTCGTCCCCTCCCACTCTCCCGGCCGCAATATTTTTTTTTTTGGATGGTAGGGGAAGGTCCCGCCTCCTTCGTCTCTGATTGGCTAGAAAAGCTGGAAACGTCATCACACACTCAAGCCAAACACGAACTGTCGGCTCTGTACATCGAACAATCTCTTAACCCAACGACGATGACGTTTCACAGCCATAAGGAATAACCAATCGGAGCCCAGGACTTCTCGCCAATCAGAGGCGAAGGAGGGCGGGACCTTCCCCTACCATCCAAAAAAAAAAAAAGATTTGCGTCCCGGACAGCTCCTATTGGTCAATCTCCTGCTCCGCCTCTCCATCTAATCACCTCGCTGTATTCGACACACCCCTCTCCCGTAGTTCCGACTCGTCCCCTCCCACTCTCCCGGCCCTCCTCGCAGCTCTGAGCGGCTAAAAGTAGCGTAGCAGCTTAGCTACAGGAGCTGTGATGGAGAAGGACGCAAAAAAAACACTTCTGCTCGCCACACCGCCAAAAGTGGGGAGAAAACTAAAGGAGAGGATCTGATTGGTTCATATGTGTTCGTGTTTAAATCATTACGCTGGCGTGTTACTGTCGCTTTAAAAAAGTGTGACAATAAAAGAACCTGCGACTCCGACCAGAACCACACCGGTCCAGACTTATCTCAGGGCGATCGGACTTTTAGGTCCAGTTCAGACCTTCTGTGATGTTTAGAGAGACTTCATCTCGTCTCCATTTACACCTCTGAGTTCATAAATCTGTAAAAAAGGATTTCTGTTTCTGTTTTTTCAGAACTCTGAAAAAGAGCGATCATTGAAACGGTTTCATTCGTCTGATTGGAAACGCCGAGCGGTCGAACTTTGCTGTGAGCTGTTTGTAGAGGCGGCGTCGGGCCGGGGCGGCTCTGTCCTGGTGAGAGAACAACACATCTGTGAAAACACCGATGGAGGAAAACAAGCGTCTGACAGCTGCGGAGAGGAAGAACCTTATCGGGACGTTTTTCTATTCCACCGATAATCAAATCAAACAAACCCTCGTCATCATGAAACTGAAATGAAAGTCACTGATGGCTGCTTTAAAACAAAAACACTGACGCTCTTTAAAACAGGAATAAGAGACGGAGGAGAGGAGGTGAACGTGAGACACTGATGAGAAACAACGTCTCCGTCCTCCTGGATGAAGACTCTTCAGACTCTGTTTCAGCATCACTCTAACCCTAACAAGCTCTCTGATACCAACACATCACAGATGATAGAACATTATCTGACAGGAACCATCAGGGTGTTGGTATTCTCTATTCTCCGTCTCTAACTCAGAGGCGACACCTGCTGGTCACAGACGCAGCAGAGAGTTCGTCTTTAACATTTTAACACAAACCTGAAAAGAGAGAACTCTCTCTGGACCAGCAGAGTCAGAGTCTGGACTGGACTGATCCAATCCTCCGAATACACAAACACAGAATATCTGACCAGATATCAGGAATTTAGGATGAACCACCTGAGAAGTCACCTGGATATACGTCAGAACTTTCACCGTGACTTTCATACAGGGCTGGAAAGAGTCGACTGGTCGATTTATTGGTCGATACGTTCTGAGTCCACAAAATTCTGATTGGTCGACTTCATTTTTTTAGCGTCAATTTACAGTCTATGGTGAATGAGGAACGTACCAAGTGTTAATCAGAACACCCCCCCTTTTTTTCACCAGTTTGGATTCACCCAACCCATCAGAGACCGACTGGAGACAGAAGGATTAAAGAGCGTTCACGTTAATCAGCGTCTGTGGAGTTTTCACCTCTGTGGACTCTCTGAGGTTCGTATGATGACAGAATAAAAACTGAATTTAGAGAAATCTTCTTTTTTTTGAGGTTGTCAGTTTTCTTCTTCTTCTTCTCTCGGTGTAACTCTGAGCCAATCAGGAGCCAGCGTTCCTTTCTCCTTTTCTTCAGCACACAGATGATGTTTGGGTCGGTTTAAGGAAAGGTGAGACTCTGCTGAGGAGGGAGTTTCTTCACTTTAACACACACACACACACACACACACACACACACACACACACACACACACACACACACACACACACACACACACACAAAGCAGCACTTGTCTGCTGAGCACTGAGGCCCACTGTCCTTCCATCAGCTCGGTCTGGGGATGGTGGAGCCGGTCCTGGTTTTACCTCGGACTAAAACTGACTGGACATGACAATATAGTGCTGATGTCATCATCTGACATGACCACGCTCCGCCACGTCAACAACAGCCAGCAGCCGCCGCCGATGGATTCAAGAGTCTTCTTTGTGCGCTCAAGGTTTCCTCTCAACGTCAGACAGATAAATGATTTCACCTTCTAACAGGAGACGCTTCAGTCTGACGGTCTGAGATTATAGGATCAGCTGACTGTTCTTCCTCTGACAGCTGAGAGTTTGATAGTTTATGACAGATCTAAAGTGGAGGAGGTCAGATCAGCGAACAAAGATCTAAAAATCCATCAGGAAATATCAATATTGAAACTTGGCGAGTTTTGGACAAACTAAACATGACAGACGTGAGAAAGCTTTGTAGAGGGCGATTCGGATCTTTTCAGCGGCGCTGTTTCCGACGACAACAACAGCAGGTCGGTGTCAGACGTCAGAAGTGTCTACAACTGCTGCTGGGCATTTTGGAGAAACAAGAAGATGGAGCATCGTACAGCGTTGTTTCAGATGAGACGCACGCTACTCCTCTTCTCTGGTGTTCTTCTTCTCCACGGTTAAGGGGGCGTGGCACACATATATTGTCCGATCATACTCCGACTACGCTGGTTACATGGTAGAGAAAATCGAACTCCAATCTCATCATCTGAGTGTCTTATAGTCGGACTAAGATGTTTACATGACCTTCAGCTGTCCGGTCTTAATCGGAATAAGGCGATAATTGGGTTTTCTCGAGTGTCATGGAAACGCACTGAGTGAGTGTTACTAACCTCCCAGGGCGTGCTCGGTCATACTCAGACACAAAGACTCCAGGCGGTTGTTGATGTCCGGCTCCGTCACCGGTAACTGAAGATCTGCGTGGAGATAAAAACAGGTTTGAAGAAACATCAGCGTCACCTCCTGATGATGGTCACAGCAAGTCCAGCTTTCATCTCATTATTCACACAATACCAGCCTCTCATTAGGAGCAGAGGAGCGGAGCTGGACAATCACACACACTCACACTCTGATCGGCCTTTCATCCTCACCGGACAAAAACCCGATAATCCTCACACCCACACTTTTCAAGAAGTCAGCCTCCGAGGAGTTGGCAGAGGACAAAAGAAATGATTGGGGTCGGTGTCGAGGAACAATGAGGTCCAGTCAGGCAGAGTGTGGCTTCAGTCATCAGATTATAGACACTGTTCACTCCAGAACCCAGGCACACGCTACGACCCAACAAACATGGCTGACAGACGAGGAACAACCACATCTACATCCTGAGAGAGTGTGACGGGTTAGAGGGTGGGCTCAGGGTCAAAGGTGTTTCAGTAACAGTACCTACATCAGGACTGAGATTACTGTACGAGTCTACAGACTGGTGAGTCAGCTCAGCCCAGTTAGTCTGCCCTGATCCAGAACACAGATGTGATCTCACTCTGTTCGGACCCGAAAAGAACAAAAACGGAGGAAGTCGTCAATCATGTAGAGCTGAACGATTTTAGCCGAAAATAAAATCAAGATTTTTTTCTCTGAAACACGATTTTCGGTTTTTAAATGAGTAACAACTTCACCAAACTTCACTTAAATAAAAGTTTTTTCTATCATCTCTCAAAACCAAACCACTGAAAACGATGTAGTGTATATGCCAAGCCAGTAAGTGATAAGTAAGATCATCTAAAACACAAAAACACGATCCTCTCAGCTGAGACGTCATCAGTGTTTAATATTTTAAAACAGATAATCAAAACTGTCCGACTGCTGCTCTCTGCAAACACACAAACTAAGACTGTAGTGTGAATAACACAAACAACAGAGGACGAGGCTGCTGAAAACACGGTGTGTGTGTGTGTGTGTGTGCTGTTATTTTTACAGCAGCAGACATTTAAAGCTCTGACGTTCCCTCATGTCGCCGCACACTGGGCTGATTCTTCCTCATGGACTCGGCTGAAGGGAACTTTTAGTTTAGTTTGTTTACTTTGGTTATTTTTGTAAACAGGAAATAAAAATAAAAACAGTTTTATCATCTAAGCCGACCAAAGATCAGGACTCAGAGTTTTTAACAGATATAAGAATTCTTAAAATCAGAGACACGAGGATGTCCTCCGTCTGAACGTTGTCACTGTGAGCAGGTGGAGGTTTTTCCAGAGGGCTGTGTGTGTGTGTGTGTGTGTGTGTGTGTGTGTGTGTGTGTGTGTGTGTGTGTGTGTTCCAGCTGTTTAGTCCTGAGCTGAGTCTTCACAGTGAAAATCTCTTGCGGCATGAAAGAGAAAAGCTGAGTTAGACTGAGAGTCACAGAGAGATATTTATAGACTTCAGATTAACCCAGCAGACAACCTTTAACACACTACAGACACTACAGACACTACAGACACATACACTACAGACACTACAGACACACACAGACACATACACTACAGACAAATACAGACACATACAGACACACACAGACACATACACTACAGACAAATACAGACACATACAGACACCCTTCACCTACACTACAGACACTACAGACACAGACACTACAGACACACAGTACAGACACATACACTACAGACAAATACAGACACATACAGACACCCTTCACCTACACTACAAACACTACAGACACAGACACTACAGACACAGACACTACAGACACACACAGACACATACACTACAGACATATACAGACACATACAGACACCACAGACACCCTTCACCTACACTACAGACACAGACACTACAGACACACACTACAGACACACAGTACAGACACATACACTACAGACAAATACAGACACATACAGACACCACAGACACCCTTCACCTACACTACAGACACTACAGACACATACAGACACAGACACTACAGACACTATAGACAAATACAGACACTACAGACACCCTTCACATACACTACAGACACTACAGACACACACAGACACTACAGAAAAATACAGACACAGACACTACAGACACACACAGACACATACACTACAGACAAATACAGACACATACAGACACCCTTCACATACACTACAGACACACACAGACACTACAGAAAAATACAGACACATACACTACAGACAAATACAGACACATACAGACACCCTTCACCTACACTACAGACACTACAGACACAGACACTATAGACAAATACAGACACTACAGACACCCTTCACATACACTACAGACACTACAGACACACACAGACACTACAGAAAAATACAGACACTACAGACACAACAGACAAATACAGACACAGACACTCCAGACAAGTACAGACACCCTTCACCTCCTCAACATACTGACACTACAGACACAGACAAACACATACAAGCACAGACACGTACAGACAGAAAAAGACAAGTACAGACGCATACAGATATATAAACACATGCAGACACAGACAGAGACAAACAAAAACATACACAGACAGACAGACACAGAAACGTACAGACAAAGACAGACACATACAGACACAATCAAACAGATACAGACACGTACACATGCAGACACATACACACACTGACACACACACACAGACAGACATAAACAAATACACACAGCAGAGATACAGACACTCTGAAGAGGACTGTCACACAAAAACTAACCTGAGTTTTTAACCCATTTTTCTTACGGGGGGGTGGGGGGGGCACCAGCCCCTGAAATGAGTTTCTGTGGCCCTAACCCAGCTAACCTCCTCCTCCTCCTCCTCCTCCTCTTTCTCCTTCTCCTGCAGAGTGACTGTTTCTCTGAGTGCATGACTCTGCACAGTCGTCAAAGACGGAGATGGAGGCATGAGAAAAAAGTTCAGAGAGAGAAACTCTGGAGGGGGGAGAGAGAGAACGAGTGAGTGAGTGAGTGAGGGAGGGGGAGGAGAGTGGGTCGGGGAGCGCTGTACCCCTCCGCACAAAGAGCTTCATTGTGAGGCTCTGACTCTCCTCTCCCTCCTCCCTGCGTCTATCTCTTCCTCTCTCTCACTCTCGCTCCAACTTCCCTCCTGCTTTCTTTTTTTAAACTCGCGTTTTCTCCTGATTCTAAAAAGGGAACTTGTTTTTTTTTTTCTCTGGTTTGTTTGTGTGTGACAGAGAAGAGAGGAAGTCCCAGCTCGTCTGATTACTGTCCACTGTTCCTGTGGGACAGAGTCCAGTCAGCAGGGGTTACTACAGGTCACTCTGCCTCGGAGGAGAATGGGAGTCGGGGGCTTTCAGGGCCACTTCAGGACCTAGACTAGAAGGGACCCCGCTGCAGCTGAGTTCTGCTTACACATCACCTCTGATCAGTTTTCCTGACTTTTTCAGGTTATGATGATCCGTTCTCTCTCTTCTTTTCTTACCGGCTTGCTGGAACATGACCATGGTCTGTGGCGTGGTGTGGACTGGCAGGGAGCGGGTCCTCTGCACGGAGCTGTGGGTCCGGCTGGGCATGCTGTTGCTTCCTCCAGGGTTGGCAAACCACAAGCCCTGGTGAGAAGAATAATCCAATCAAACCCTGGGATCACTGATGCTGGATGATCGAAATAATCAATACTTTCATGTACTGCAGGACAGAAACAAAATTAACTCTTCTGATGTAACAAGAATCATCTGTAACTTGCTCACATTTAGCTGCAGATTCTCGATCAATCATTGAAACGAGCAGAAAACTTGGAAGAGTGATTTCTGGGATATCTTCTTCCCAGGAAGTACAAACATAAAAACATAAAAACATAGAAACTAACTTCAGGTGACAGTTAACCCTTCGAACTCCCAGATATATTTTGATATTTTCAGTCCACCTGTTTTTCTTTTTTTGTAAAAATCTCAGTATCACCTCCATCCTTTCAATCACAGCAAATATAAACACAGCTTGTTTTTCAGGACGACCTCAGATTCAGTTTATGGAGCAAAAATGATGTAAAATAAATGAGAGAGTAGATTCAGAACCATCAAAGTCAACCAAAGAACTAAAACAGAAACTGATCCCAACAGGACTTCGTTAAAAAAACACATAAATCCTCAGTGACCAAGCCTTTCCTCACCTGAACATCATTCTCTAAAGTCTTGGCTATCAGGAGAGGAAATATTGGGATTGGAACAAACACACAACAGAAACTATTGACATATTTACACTCATTCTTCCAGGCATTTTTTTGACTATTTACAACCACATCATACTGCTCAGAATCTCTTCTTTACTTGTTTCCGAACATTGAGGAACATTATTCCTGATTTTACAGACAAGCAGGGAACTTTCTTGTCTCTTGTTGATCTTTGGTCGCCTCTTGTTGAACACAACCGTCAAGGGAATAATAGAAGAAGAGAGTTAAAGAGCTTGGATCTGATCTTTGCAGGAGAAGATGAGAGTCAAAGAGCTTGGACCTGATCTTTGCAGGAGAAGATGAGAGTTAAAGAGCTTGGATCTGATCTTTGCAGGAGAAGATGAGAGTCAAAGAGCTTGGATCTGATCTTTGCAGGAGAAGATGAGGGTCAAAGAGCTTGGACCTGATCAAACAGACATTAAAATAAACCTGCATTTATTTGACTGAGGGAGGAAGTGCAGTTTATGAATCTTTTGGATCCGGTTCACTAAGAATATGAGAAGAATATGAGAACACGTAATTGGTCCAAAGTTTGACAGGAAAAGACGTCATCAAAACAGCTCGTCAAACCCTGAAGACATTAGCGACATTTAGAGATAGTGATCTTTTTTTATCACAACAATCTGATCAATAATCCTGTTTTCACCGTATATCACTGAGGATTTACCATCAATCGTCTCTGATCAAACTCCTGTTTTTGAGGCTGGATTGTAAACCTTGTGGCAGGTGTAGAAATGTCTGGAAACCCTCGATAGATCACTTTTCATCCCTCAGAGATACACGGTATAGTTCCTGAGAAACTGTGAACTATATTAATGGAATCATGTGGGATCGACGGCGATTCAAACATCATCGGGTCATCATCAAACTCTGTCACTGGAACTTTTGTTATTCTGTGTCTGAGATGAAGATCAGTTTAGTTCTGAGAAATCCGTTTCATCCCTCTGTGGGACTCTCATCTTTTTTCTGATGTTGTCAGTAAACGTCACGTTTACAAGAACGAAGATATCCAAAAAGACCGATTACAAACTTTGATTGATTTAAATCTTAGATCAAGTAGACGCTGTAGATTCGACGGTGTATTCAGAATGTTTGAAGAATCTTAGACTGATACTCTCCAGTCACCGACGCTACGGTGGCCTCTGTGGACAAGAAGCCTCTGTGATTTATCAAGTTGTAAACATCTATCCTTCCATCAGAACCATTTCTTTTCCACAACACCCACTCTTGATATAAAACAAAATATAACTTGAAATATAAATAAATAAAGTTCTTCTTGTTCGTCTTCTTCATCTGATCCGGATACTCCCAGTTTTTGTTCTAAATGTCTGTAGAAACACGGCGGTGTGAGATAGACGTAATGTGACCCTAAAACCTCCGTACTGAAGGTCGAATGTCGAACCTCCCTGACCCCTGTGTGACCTTGATAAAAACACAGACTCCCGTTTCTCTGATGGACGAATTTTGGGGTTGAAAGATTCTTTCCTACTCCAGCTCACTCCTTACGTCACCGATTTCCCACATCGCTCCGACTTTCTCTGATCTGAGAACTTCATGAAATGTGCAAACTTGAAGGAAATCTTGTCGAAGATCAGACCGCAGCCTCTCAACATTTTCACCCCCCGCCCACCCCCTCCACGCTCCTGTCTGGATGTCTGGCCCACACCTAATGACAGTCTCAGACGTTAGCCACATGAATTCCTCGCTGTAACCTGCCTATTATACCCCCGACACCATCACCGCAGACCCCTCCCCTCACTCTCCCCCTCGGCCCCCCTCCCTCTCGTCCTCGCGGCCCTCCAATGCCACGGGCCAGGGAAAAACAGGAAATGCCTGTGCACTGTTCTCACTGCCTCTGACTGCCTCGCTCGCTCGCTCTCTCTCTCTCATAGACACTTGTACAAACTCTCTCTCTCTCTCTCTCTCTCTTTTTGCCCCTCCTCCTCCAACACCACAGCTACCTCTCCCAAACTATGACTCACATATTTCCCTCTCACCCTCCCTCCCTCTCTTTCTCCCTCTCTCTACACATCCACACTACAGTCCCACACAAGACGGATCAGAGTGAGGAGGAGGAACGGAGGTATTTCCTCCAATTGTAAAGGATGGCAGAGAGAGAGAGAGAGAGAGAGAGAGAGAGAGAGAGAGAGAGGTTTGTAATGAACTGGGTCAGCCCAGACCAAAGTGTGCCAGGTTGGGCCTGAAACAGCTCCACAGCTCCTCCTGTTTCAGAGTTCGGCACTGACGCAGAGCCTCTGGTATGTGGGGTGACCTGCCTACAAGTTCCATCCGCCGCGCTTCATTGGCCGAAGGCTGGCGCTGCTCCTCTTCCTCACCCCGCAGTTTTTGGTCATGGAATAAAAACGTCTATTTCTGTCAGAAGACGTGCTGAAGGAGGAATTCTGCTGCCCAGGTTATTGTCAACATCCTGGAATGTTTGATTTCACATTTCCAAATGTTCCTGAGCGCAGTCACGAACACCACATCTACTCAGCATTCCACTCACTCCACACAGACGCAGGGTCGGACCGTGGACGCGGATCGAGGTTTCCGCTCTTAGATAACTTTAATTCACTGAGAAAATTCTGAAGGAGCCATCCTCATCTGACCTGAGAGTGAAAAACCTGTGACACACTTCAGACAGAAACTGATTCAGCACTTCATCCAAAACCACAACAACATGGTTTTTCTGTTCGAGGGAGAGCACGACTAAAGCTGTTCAAACGCTCTAAAAAGATCGATCTGTGTTTTTAATAATTCAACATTTATCCATGTTCGTTTATTTAACCTCAGTATGTTTGAAAATCTGTCTGATAAAGAGATTTGGAGAAGTCCGTACGAGCTCGACAAACTTTACAAACTGCTTTTTCTGCTTTAGTTTTAATTTCAAGTCCATCTCATTTACAGCTGATCCATATTTGTAGTTAGAGACGTGTATCTCTGCTTTTCAGACGACATGTTTCAGTCCTTGATGACTTTAAAATCGGGCCGATTTCGGTACCATGGCATTGTGTACTCAAGTGATAGCAGATAAATATCTGATGAAGATTTTACTGATTAGAGCAAAGAAGACGATAACAAAGAAGTGGTTACAACCCAACTCATTAACACGGGAAGACATGATGGAGAGACGGACATTCGCTCTGAGACGACAGTCGGAGACGTTTCAGAGACGTTGGTGGATCAGATATACAGTACAGGCCAAAAGTTTGGACACACCTTCTCATTCAATGCCTTTTCTTTATTCTTTTATATGACTGTTTACATTGTAGATTATTACTGAAGGCATTAAAACTATGAATGAACACATGTAGAATTTTGTACTTATAAAAAAAGTGTGAAATAACCGAAAACATGTTTTATATTCTAGTTTCTTTAAAATAGCCACCCTTTGCTCTTGATGACAGAAGTACCTTGTCAGGGTTACTTCAGGCACTCCTGTGAAGTAAAAACCATTTCAGGTGACTACCTCATGAAGCTCATTGAGAGAATAGCTAAAGTTTGCAGCGCTATCAAAAAAGCAAAGAGTGGCTACTTTGAGAAATCTAAAATATAAAACATGTTTTCAGTTATTTCACACTTTTTTCTTAAGCACATGATTCCACATGTGTTCATTCATAGTTTTGAGAATCTACTATTTAAATAGTAATGAAAACAAAGAAAATGCATTGAATGAGAAGGTGTGTCCAAACTTTTGGCCTGTACTGTATAAGAACACAGAGAGCTGCTCTAAATACCTCTGAGTCATGAAGTACCAGACTATTAAAGAACTATTAAAGAACTATTAAAGTACTCGGACAACTGAAAACTGATATTAGTAGATCTGAGGAAAGTGAGGAAATTTACAGAAAATGAAAGAGAGAAGATGTTAGTCTAAATGGACGTTTGTTTGTTTGTTTGTTTGTTTGTTTGTTTGTTTGTTTGTTTGCCACAAATGTGTAAAAGTGATTGGACTCATTTTGTTTGTTTCTCCCTGATAAAAATAAAATTAATAATAATTTCAGTGAGTTCAGTTCCAGAACCTCAGTAGACTCAGATCTCCTGCCCCCCTCTCATGAAGCTGCTGTTTCACTGATAATAAACCGTGAGAACTGAGAGGTGAATCGTCTGATTGTTGTCGGTTCGAGGAGGGGGAGCTGTCCTGCTGCTGTGACTCACCTGCCTCCCCTGTTTGGGACCGGTGGGTGTGCTGCTGGAGCTGCGAGGTGTCGGTCCCAGCAGCCCCCCGCTGCTCAGCAGGTTCAGCCTGGCCCCTGGTAAGCTCCTGGAGGGCATCTGGAACTGGCGGAGGCTCCTCCTGGCCGCCACGCTGCTCCCCACACAGCTGGTGGTGGGGAGGGAGTTGGACTGTCCGAAGCGACTGCAGCAGGATGAGACAGAAAGTGAGAAGAACTGACGGAGATCCTGATTTCAGGAGATTGGATTAGATAAGAGTTCATACTCCTGATAATCTGTGTAATCTGAGAAACTCTGAAAATCCACTAAAGTTACCCCTAATCTCCACCTTCATCCTGATCGTCTCCTAAAAGGTCGTATCCTCCGATCGTAGCTGATCGTAACCATTCAAGTTAACGTGTCAATTTACACCGACTTCTTTCCGTTCCTCTGCGGATCGCCGGACTCCTCAGCTGATCACAAGAGTTCTATTTTTTCTGGACGCCGGAGCATGGCGGATAAATTCAGCACAGATTAACCCGTGCTGGAAAGGAAGTCGGGCACAGACACAAAATAAAACATCCGGCTTCTTTTCAAAATAAAACACGATCGACGAACAAGTGAAAGGTTTTTAGACGTCATTTCACCCCGATGACACCATGGATGAGGAGATGCTGATTCTAGAAGTCTAGAAGTAGATTTCCTCCTCTGGAAGGACACAATCTACTGCTTATATGTCTTTGTGTCTGTCTTTATACAGACAACTCGTTATTGCGCGATTGAACCTGAATCTGAGGGTTCTTGTGAGTTCTCTTGTGAATTCCTGCTGTCAGTAATCCGCCACGAAATTCACCTCACGAACGGATCTGGTAAGAATCTGGATCGGAGTCGTTCCCGATGTGGTGGAAATCTCACTTTAACAGAGTTCTGTTTCCTGTGTGAACGACAGTAACGCTCTAAATCTGCATTTGTCTCTTTCCTGCACTCAGACGTCCTCACATCTAAAACGTTTATATTTACAGACGATAACAGACAAGAATCGAGGCTGCTGCTCCTCTACCTCCTCTGCGGTCGGTACCCCGCTATGTCGAGGAGGGTTTTCCTTGGAATGGACCGGAACAGCCTCTGGACCTGTTGTTTCCATGACAACAGTCTCTTCTTCTGCGTCTCGGTGAAGGACTGGAGAGGAGGGAGGAGAGAGAGAGAGAGAGAGAGAGCATGAATCAGGGATGAAATGAAGCATGACTGCTGAGGATTTTCAGGGCGAACGTGGAGCATCACATGACCACGGCGCTCTTGGTCACATGACCCAGAATCTAAGAGTCGACTGGAAGAAAAGAGTCAGAACTCTGCAGAGAAACTTCAACACGATGAAGCTGAACTAAAGAGACACAAATAATTAAAATAAAAAATAAACACAGAGCTGGACCGTTGACCATTAAACCCTCTGATAACAGACTCGTGTTGTTGTTGTTGTTGTTGTTTGTGTCATGTGACCTTGGTTGTGTACCTCGTGGATAAGGCATTTGTCGATGAGTTGTAGGTAGGAGCTGATGTTGTCCTCGTCTGACCTTGACACCAGAAGTTGGGTACAAACTGAGGAGGAGAAGAGGACAATCAGGTCAAAACCAAAACCTCCTTCAGCCAATGACACGTCTCCAGCAGAGCGCCGGAACACGGCGGTCACCTTTGCCCATGACGCGGGTGAACTGGCCCGGCAGATCTCCCTCTGCGATGACACTCGTACCCGACTCCGCCTCCCCTCCTCCTCCACCTCCGCTGCTGCTGCTGCTGCTGCTCAGGTGGGAGCCGGGCGCAGCACTCTTACTCTCAGCACTCAGCAGGGGGCGCTGCATGGACGCCTCCTCTCCACCGCTGAAAGCTTTGATAGGCGTCATGATCATCTGGTGGAGCTCCTGCAGCGGGGCGCGTAGATTACTGCCCTCCAACACGTCCTGGTGGAGTGATTGATGTGATGGAGAGAGGGAGAGAGGAAACATCATCATCATCATCATCATCATCATCATCATCATCATCATCATCATCATCATCATCTATGAGCCTCCTGCAGCTGTCCTGTTTCCTACAAAAGCAGCAGGAACAAACTTTAAAACGACGTGTCGGTGAAAAGGTTAAGTCTGAATTTAGCCGGCCTTAAGAAGTCCCTCCTGCGGTTTGTCCTTGAGTGCCATTGTGCCGCAGTGAAGACTGACTGGAGAGGGGTGGGGGTGGGGGTGGGGGTGGTGGGGCTGATGGGTTTAAATTCAGAGCCCCAAACTCTCCTTACTGGATTAAGTGTTCCCTCAGACGCCATGGTGGACACATGATGCTGTCCGAGAGGCGGCTTTCACTCACAAATACGGAAAATCAGAGGAAACTGAATCCTGACCAGATTTGACCACGTTTGAAATCATCGGAAATGGAGGCGATTTAAAGGGATATTCTGCTGTAAAATTAATTCAGGGTCAAACACACCGAAACATAGAGTTAGACCCCCCCTCCAGAGATGAATGTTGTCGACCGCTTGCTTCTCTAGTTATACCAACTTTAGTAACGACCGAAGGATAGAAATACAGAGAGACACGCCCTCAACCAAAACGCCACTCTATAGCCACAAATAATGCTCAGAACAGCACCTAACTTCATCAACAGGACATATAGGGTCCAAGCCATAGTACTATATTCAGAGTTGTTCTAACTCCTAAGAAAATATAAACTCTCCACTTCTGTAGTCTATAAGCTGGGCCAATAAACTTCTACTGTGGTCAATTGAAAAGGTAAAGGTGTTTTTATTGAGCCGAATTATCAATAAAATCATGATTTTGTTAACAGGTTTGGATTTATGTGCTGTCGAGTTAATATATTTGAACAAGAGCACAGTAAAGTTAAATCAGCTAATTTTCCAATGAGGTTCTGTTACTGAACGGAACTACACCATGTTCTACTGAGGTTAGTACATATAGGGTCACAGACATAGTACTAGACACCAAACATCTTTTTAACTTTGACTCATTTCTTTAGCAAAGACACTAAACACAACTCACCTACTCTCTTCCAGCAGACGCTTGTTTGTAGGGAGACCTCAGGCCAGTCCATTACGGACTACAACGGGGTGACGCAGCTCAAGGAAGAACATTTATGATCATTTCTTCATGGAAATACAATCAGACCGAGACGCTAAGACAGAAGAACTACCGCGTCTGTAAAATGATTATTACTTCATGGAAATGATAAAGAAATGATCATAAATGTTCTTCCTTGAGCTGCGGCACCCCGCTGTAGTCTGTAATGGACTGGCCTGAGGTCTCTCTACAAACAAGCGTCTGCTGGAAGAGAGTAGGTGAGTTGTGTTTAGTCTCTTTACTAAAGAAATTAGTCAAAGTTAAAAAGATGTTTGGTGTCTAGTACTATGTCTGTGACCCTATATGTCCTGTTGATGAAGTTAGGTGCTGTTCTGAGCATTATTTGTGGCTATAGAGTGGCGTTTTGGTTGGGGGCGTGGCTCTCTGTATTTCTATCCTGCGGTCGTTACTAAAGTTGGTATAACTAGAGAAGGAAGCGGTCGGCAACATTCATCTCTGGAGGGGGGGTCTAACTCGGTGTTACGGTGGGTTTGACCCTAAATTAATTTTACGTCAGAATATCCCTTTAAGAGCGACGATAAAGAAGAGTAGGAGGAGACAAACTGACCTTCTCCAGGCTGCGAAGTAGATTCTGCCGCTCTTTGAGCTTCTGGATGCTGATCACAATCTTGTGTCTCGCTCCTTTGGTGACCTTCTGTTGGAGGAAAGAGTTGTCTGTTTTCATCCTTTCATCACATTAGATTTTTTTTAAATTTTAACCACAATAATACAGTTTATACATCTCAATACATTTCTTTTCCTTTTTCCAGCTGTATGAGTATTTTTACAAACATTTACAGATAATGTAGGATTAAATTAAAGAGAATAAAAATAGTAATCATTGCAAATAAACCGTGTCCAAACCTTCAGACATTACTCCCAGTATTGGGACCCTGAAAATCTTGTGTGATATTCATTTTGAACAACCTCCTTCAGGGTGTTGAAAACCTTTCAAAACACACTGAATTCATCACATTAGGTTTAAATTAAAGATGAACACATTTACTGAGGAGGATTTCTAATGTTAGCAGTTTTAAAAGGTGATGCACATTTTCAGAGGACAGAGAGAGTTTGTTTGATTTCAGTGACGGCTAATGCAGCTTCGAACTCGTCTCATTAAGAACTGATGCTAAAAACCCAGAACCCACCGAGTCCAGATCAAACCACCGGAGGTGCAGAGAGCATTTACTCAGGAGGAACGGTTTCTTCTGTTGTTTTAGAGAAGCCGTCTGCAGCACCTGGAGGAAGTCTGCAGCTTCCCGGTGAGCCGCGTTAAATTTAGACGCATCCTGTTTCAGAATAGACTTCTTTAAGTTCAAGCAGAGCGAACGCTGACCTGGCTTTGGACCAGTCTGTTCAAACCTGACCGCTTTTTATTTCAACCAACAGATAGTTTTAATAATAATTATGGTTTTAGTAATAAGTGAATTTCTCTGATATTACAGGAGAATATGTTCATGTTGAGTTCATTTCTGATCACATGAATCTGTGTGTGTGTGTGTGTGTGTGTTTCACCTGAGCTTCCAGGTGCTCCTCTGTCAGAGACATCATCTCATCGTAGGTCATCGTGGAGAACAGAGCGGCGTACTTGTGGAGGCGGAGACTCTTCAGCCACGCAGGAACGTCTGAGGAGCAGGAATCATAGACAAATAAACACCTAGATGACACAGGTGAGTCTCTACAGCCGTACACAACATACAGCTTCTTTTTTCAACCCGTGAGTGATCACAGGTGTCCTTAGAAGCTGCTCACTGATGTTCAGTTCCTCAGTCAGCATCACAAAAACAGATCAAACCTTGGTCTCTGTATTTCTCCTTTATGAATATTTCTTTTATTAGTCTGCGTTTCATTACTCACAGGGCAGACATGAACACACTTGCTTTCAGCTCAAAGACTGAACATCCCCCACTAATCCAAGGACAGTGAAGACCTTCAGCCTCCATGAATGAAATAAAGGATAGTTGATGAAACCAAACCACGTCACTAAACTGAAGACATCGAAGTGTTAACCCTGTAAATCCGGCTCCTTCCTCTATCTGTATTCTAAAGGTTTGACCCTAATACAGAGAGAGAGAGAGAGAGAGAGAGAGAGAGGTTACAGAGGTGGGTAGACTGGCCTCTGTTTCCCCTGACAAACTGCTCTGACTGGATCTACGACTTCCCAGAGCCTCCAGGTGGATACCGCAGCAGACGGTCTCCAAGATCCTCCACTGAACTGTGTTTGTCGTTCTCTTTGTTCAACGTTAGAGGAGTTTGTCTTCCTCCTGAATCCTTTAAGAATATCAGAAAACAATGAACACGAGTGTGAAGGTGTCTGCTGGAACTAAAACCCAGAGAACGCTCTGTCAGTCATTTCTGTGAGTCCTTTATTTTTACATCAAACATTAAAACGAAGAAGAGCCGTCAAACACCGTATCTTCAGCTGAAAGTAAAAGGCTTGACCTGATATGACATGATGCATAAATATTGAACTATTCAGGGTTTGACTCTAACTTTGTTCTCCTGAGTAAAAAACGTAAGGAGCACAAAGAACTTTAGGGGATCAATGAAAACTGATCAAATAATGTTTCTCTAATTGATCGACCTTAGTACTATTATTAGAAATCAATTTGAGCTCTTTTGGTCACATGAACTGGAAGCTATCAAAGGAAAACAACCGGTAATTTATTGACGGTCCCTTATTCAACACCGACGTTGACAGTGAGGGTGTCGAGTAGATTTAACCGCGCTGCTGTTGTTATTCCCGGTTATGGAGAGTGAGAAGACACCGGTAGATCCTCAGAGAATGTCCGTCAGATATCCAACCTGAAACTAACTTCAACGCCGTATTTACAGGAAAATATATCCAACCTGAAACTAACTTCACCGCCGTATTTACAGGAAAATATATCCAACCTGAAACTAACTTCACCGCCGTGTTTACAGGAAAATATATCCAACCTAAAACTAACTTCACCGCCGTATTTACAGGAAAATATATCCAACCTGAAACTAACTTCACCGCCGTATTTACAGGAAAATATATCCAACCTGAAACTAACTTCACCGCCGTGTTTACAGGAAAATATATCCAACCTAAAACTAACTTCACCGCCGTATTTACAGGAAAATATATCCAACCTGAAACTAACTTCACCGCCGTATTTACAGGAAAATATATCCAACCTGAAACTAACTTCACCGCCGTATTTACAGGAAAATATATCCAACCTGAAACTAACTTCACCGCCGTATTTACAGGAAAATATATCCAACCTGAAACTAACTTCAGCACCGTATTTACAGGAAAATATATCCAACCTGAAACTAACTTACCGCTGTATTTACAGGAGAATATATCCAACCTGAAACTAACTTCACTGCCGTATTTACAGGAAAATATATCCAACCTAAAACTAACTTCACCGCCGTATTTACAGGAAAATATATCCAACCTGAAACTAACTTCACCGCCGTATTTACAGGAAAATATATCCAACCTGAAACTAACTTCACTGCCGTATTTACAGGAAAATATATCCAACCTAAAACTAACTTCACCACCGTATTTACAGGAAAATATATCCAACCTGAAACTAACTTCACCGCCGTATTTACAGGAAAATATATCCAACCTAAAACTAACTTCACCGCCGTATTTAGAGGAAAATATATCCAACCTGAAACTAACTTCACCACCGTATTTACAGGAGAATATATCCAACCTAAAACTAACTTCACCGCCATATTTACGGGAAAATAAACATTTTTTCAATTTTTTTTATGTGCATGTGTGACCTTAAATACATTTTACAATTCACACACGTCTATTTTTAGTTGCAAATGAGAGTGAAACGGTCTCTGTTGGTGTCCGTAGACTTTGACAGGTAGAGGGCGCTCTTAATAAGACGCTCACATATATTAACTGATTTTTTTACCTTTATTGAGATGTAAAACATCTGTCATGGCCGTGGCAGGTAAGTGGGAACAGGACGTCAGAAAAACTGCAGAAAGATGCTTCTTCTCTGATCTTTAAGATTGTGGCAGGATGAGGGTGAACAAACAATTACAGCAAATATGAATCAGAAACATGGGAGCATGTTATCGACTGATGTTAGTCTGACGGGGACAACGATGCTAAAGGCTGACAGGGCAACTAAACCTCCGTCACTGATCGGAAAAAGTCCTGTGGCGTGGTTGAAAGACTGCCCCCTACTGACCCTGTTCTACAAAAGACAAAGAGGGAAGAACCACAGCGTGTGTGTTCAGAAATCTGTCATCAAGTCACCTAATCCAGCCGAGAAGTTACCAAGATAACAACAGGAAGTTAGCTGAACCTGCACTGTCCACGCTGACTTTTATTTTGAAAGAGAGAAAGTCAAAACCACATACTGGTCTTCTGAAATACTGACCCCTCATGCCGCTGCCGTCCTCATGGAAGGAGCTGCGGTGCAGACTCGAACCTAAACCAGCCTCCTCCAGGTGCTCACTACCTCCACTGCCTGAGGAAGCTATACTGCTCTGGGGTGACAGAGGCGCGTGGTCTGGGGCGGGGCCTCTAGCGGTCCGTAAGTCCTCCTGCGACAGCCAGACATGGCCCAGAGGCTGGCTGCTAGGGCCGCTCATGGGAGGTGTTAGGGACACGGAGCGCTTCAGGGGACTGTGCTGCTGGCTGCCACCTCCACTAGACAAGACTGCAAGACAAGACAGGCGGGTGCAGGCGGTAAGAACTCAAACAGAATCAGACTTTCAAAAACTGATGGTCACTCTCTAAAGTTCACTAGAGTTCACTAAAGTTCAACATCACAGAGAAGTTTCATTTAAAGCTGTTTATAACAAACTCAAAATCAGGGATATCCAACTCAACGATCAACGCTGAAGCGTCTGGTCATCTTTAATTGATAATAATCAGCCGATAATTAAATAAAAGCCAATAATCTTAGTGCAGTTTTTCATCAGCTGTCACAAACACTAAAGCACAGAGAGAGCGAGAGAGAGAGAGAGAGAGAGAGGTTTGGTCTGTGTCTAACATGTCAGCATGGCAACATCTGAAATCAGACCGACAGACACTTCCTGATCATTTGGTTCGACACAGAGACAGATAATCCCAGGTAGGGCTGCACGATATCGGAAAAAACTAACATTTCAACCTTTTCAACCCTGCGATATTAAAAAATAGAGGAATTTTCTCCAGATGATCTGAATCTGAGTTTCTGCTGAAATCTTGAGGACAGTTAACCTGCTCTGATCTTCCCTCTTTTTGTGAATGTTAGTAGAATGGCTTCTGTCCGTCTTAGAGATCTTTTTAGTTTTTATTGTTCTGCTGGGACGTTATTGTGGAAACAGATGAACACAGAACACGTGTTTTAGTCGACATCATCCTTCTTTTAAACAAAATAATTCCAGATAAGTGACTTTGCTTTTCTTTTTACCAACAAGTCTTTATCTTCGGTGGTTTCCTCTTGTTCGTTTCTCATTTTGTAATCGTTGTTGTTGTTGTTGTTGTTACCGATGTTGTGCCGAGAAACGCATGTCCTTCGAGAATTGCATCCACCTCACAAAACACGCACCACTTACAGTAGAGTGGTCCACATTAATGTATAATTTAAACCCACACAGTTCTTATCTGTGGGGATACACAGTGATGAGGAATGATCCTTAAGTCATTAACCGGCAGTGTCAGCGACTCACTCCATGTGCAGGGGCGTGGTTTCCTCCTCTCTGATTTTGATTGACAGCTGGCAGGTTAGTCTGACTGAGTAAAGAAGAACGGATGTACCCTTGAAATTAGACGAGTTCATTCGCCTCCTACCTCCCAGGCTCTGCAGTGTGACTATCGCGCACACGCACATCGCCATGACGATGGTCAAACGATTTATCGTGCAGCCCTAATCCCAGGAACAGTTTACCGGCTTTGCTTCAATATTCAACTAATAGAATATTTTATAAACAAACAGAAACTTCACAATAATTATAGTCAAAAACTCTGATCCAGACCTGATATTGATGATAATATGATAACATGACTGATCAATACTAGTCCTAATAATTAGAGACATTTGTTCACATTTGTTTTAGAGTTGAAGTGAAATATTTACTGATCCTCTTACATGTGAATCAGTTTATTTTAGTGTTTTAATCCGATGAAACTCTCCCGTCCGTGACGAACACAGCTGCACATTTCATAGCTCTGATTTTAGGAGGAGCTCTGAATGAAAGTCACGACCGTCTTCATGAAGCACAGACAGTTCGGCTGACAGAGAGCTAACCTCACAGGTCTGTTATTTGTCAGTGGACTCTCAGTAAAAGTGCATAACTGACTGATCTTCTGTTCTCTCTGTGCAGTGGTTTATTCTTTCTGTAAAGATCCACTCGGTCTTTCTCTTCCGTCTCTTCTCGACTCGCTCGTTGTTTGGAAACTCAACCTTGAAGCTTTCAGCTTATTGATATCTCAGACTTACAGTGTCAATAAGTTCTGTCTTTATCGCTCCTGTTTTTATTCCGATATTCGTCAGTCTCTACTCCTGCGGCGGTCTATATGATGCACTCGGCGGGGTCAAACAGAGGGGACTGTTATCGAAGATTCAGGACTTCAAAACCCAAAAGCAGCTTCAGGATCTGGACTTCTCCTGCTGGAGGAGGTGAACAGAATGACAAGGTGGAGGGCCAAAGAGCTTTTTGTGTCGCCGTTCTGACGGGGGAAGCTGCCACCAATACTCTAGTCTCTCTCCTCCTCCTCCTCCTCCTCCTATATGTGGTCCTCTTACTGTTGGCGCTATGTATAGGACTTCATGGGCCCCGTTTAAAATAGGTGCCCAGCTAACATTACAAGTTCCAGTCCCTAAATATTAGCCATTTTCCCTAAATACAGTCTCCCACAAAGGATGCCTTACAAGGGAAAGGACGGGTGGTATGTGCTGCTGTGGCTTGGACTGAGGCTGGGAGTACGGGGGGGTCGACAGGATGTGGTATCAGTAGCATACAGGTTGATGTGGCTGCAGGACAATTACGCTCCTGTTATCATCACCGTGAAACAAAGAGAGTGTGTAGAGAAGAGGGCGGAGCCTAAGTGTCTGTGTCATTAATAAAGTCAGATTAAGTGTAATCTGAGAGAGTCCACAGTACAGATTACAGATATGATGCTCTACAGCTCAGATATCCTGACAGGATCCGGACTTCTTTATGAACGGCTGCTCACAGCCTGTTAGTCTGACTTTCACTCAGAGTTCAGAGAAGCCAGAGTGTCCAGCAGCTGACGTCTGGGGTAACTCTAGTTTATCAGTTGTGAAATCCTGCGGTCTTTTGTGCATGGCCAGAGCTGCTCGGAGTCAAAAATACAAGAGGATCTTTCTTGGAGCAGTGAGCAGGGCTTTAAATGCATCTGTATTTATAAACCCTCAGCTGTTTCTTTCATCTCCCAGAAAAAAACACAGGGCCCTTGCATTCTTGTCTTGAAATATCCTGCTCTGACCATAGTTATGTTCAATTTCCACAGCCCTGCCCTCTCTGTGCGTTGACTTCCACCTCAAACAGCCTCTGGAGCTGCTGTGTGGGTACTTCAGAGTGTTTACTGTACTGAGTCCATTCACTTTAACCCTCTGAGAGTATTCAGTCTGTTCGGAGTGAACTTCAGAGTGGCTCTAATGAAGTTACACACTACTGCTGCTGCTGTTGTTCTGCAGTGCAGATGTTTCTGAGCTTTTGTTCAAAAGTTCAAAAGTCAAACACAACTCTGACTTAAATATAACTCTTAGTAACCAAAACTATGATGTAGGGATCGATAAGATGTTGATAGAAACAGAATTAACTGGTTTTAAATATGTCAGCTGACGATAGTGAGAAGAAAACAAATCAGAGTGGAACCTAACAAAAATAAAGTATTTCATAAAAGAAGAAAATATTTAAATATTAAAAATAGGAAAGAAATATTTTAATATTCTAAATATCTATTAAAATATTTAAAATATTTAATGAGCAATTTTTTTTAAATAGTTAAAATATTCAATAAGAAAAAAAAAACTTAAATATTTAGAATATTTCATATAAGAAAAAAATAATTCAAAATTTAAAAAATCTCACATTAAACTTTTTAAAATATTCAAATTATTTCATATAATTTTTTTTAATTAAAAAATAATTTGATATAAGAAAAAATATTCTTAAATGTAGAATATCTCATAAGAAAAAATATTTAAATAGTAAAAATATATGATGTAAGATTTTTTTATATTCAAAATGTTAAACATATAAGAAAAAATATTTTTTATCAATATTTTATAAAAGAAAAATAAAAAAATATTCAAAATATTTAATACAAGAGGATAACATTTAAATATTTAAAATATGCTTTATAAGAAAATTAATTTTTTAATATTTCATATAAGAAAATCCTCAGTGTGTTCTGCCAAAAAAAGGAAAGACATCTGGAGGGACCTGTCCGTCCAAACTAACCTGTAACATGTCAAGATGAGAGGGGAGAGAAAATCATTCGAGAGGCGGAGTCTCTCAGAGGTAAGGAGCCTTTAATAAAATCAGCGTAACGACCTTTAGTGTAAAATTATGAAGAATATGAGGATTTCATTTCATCTACACAATTAAACAATTTAGAGATCTGAAGAAATCTCTGACAACCAGACTGGACGGCTGTTATCTTCAGGTCCTCAGGCAACACTGCATTAAAACAAACATGGCTCTGAACTGGAAATCACTGCATGAGATAAAAAACCCCTTCTAACAGCTCTTTGCTGCCTCCACAACAGCAGCACACTTTACCCTGCAGAGGAGACCTGGAGACCCCGAGCTAAGGGCCCATTTAAGACGGACTGAGACAAACTGAGACAGAGTAAAAACTGTCTAAATGTGTCAAAATGTGACATTATCTCTGGGAATCATGGACATTATCCTCTCTGAGGAGGAGGAGGAGGAGGAGGAGAGGGACCACCGAGCTTCTAATGAGCTCACAGTTCAAAGGTCAGGATCTGTGATGGTGTGGGTCTCCTACAGATCTGGGACGGCTCTATTAATGCTGAATATGATCTACTGCCATCCAGACAATGACTCTTCATTTAACCGTCTGCATTTATTACAACAGCATGGCTCTGTAGGAGAAAAGTCCAGATACCAAAACAGGCCCGACTGCAGTCCTGAACCAGCACTTCTGAGATCAGGTAAGAGAGAGAGAGAGAGGAACAACAACTGAGTGTTAAAACTCCTGAAAATGATCTGATGGGTGAGAGAGAAGAGTCTACAGAACAGGTGAGACGACAGGATGATGTAGATCCAGGACGTCTCTTCAGTGTTATAGGTCATCTCTATCTCCATGACAACCGACTAATAGATATTTAGTGATCATGAGAAGTTCTCAGCCTTTACTTACTCGAGTTCCCACCTCCACCTATTCCAACCGTGTTGATGGTCGCTGGCACAGAGGATGATGGGTACAGAAGAAGGTGCCCGTTCTCGCTGCCTTGCTGCTGATGCCAGCCTCCGCCCAGCCCTGAATCTCTGGAGCCCTGCCACCCATTGAGGCGGTCGTCTGAGCCGTAGCGCTGGTGGTGTAACGAGTAGAGATTCCCTGATGAAGAGGTGTTGGTGGAGGAGGAGGAGCCTGATGAGCTGAGGGTGGACGGAGGAGTGGACTGGTGGTGGTGGTGGTGATGCTGCCCGGATGGAGGAGGTCTCTCCAGTGAGTCGCCTCGGGCCGCGGCCCTCTCCTCCAGATGGTTGAGCCAGAGAGCGAGAGCTGCGCGGTCTTCCAGGGAGGTCGCGGGGTGGATGAGGGCGTAGGAGAGGAGCTGCCTGGACTCCTCCAGGTGGTGGCCGTGCTCGATCGTGTGCGCCAGGATGCGTGGCAGCAGGCGCATGTACTCGCTCTTGGCTTCAACATTTCCAGGTTTGAGTAGAGGGAGGTGGGTGAGGACCAGAGAGATGACCCGCTCCTTCGACTCGCCCTGCCACTGACTGATCACACCTGTGGGGAAATACCAACAAACAAAGACGGCGTTACTTTAGAGCGTTTACAGAAGTCAGTCACGTCACTTCAGACTCAGAACTCTTCTCTGACTCTTAAAAAACAGACATAATAATAATAATTTTATTTATATAGCACCTTTAAAAACAGAAGTTTACAAAGTGCTTAGACAACAGTTGTAAGCACAGAGCATCAGCACATTGAAAATAAAAACACATAAAAACAAAAGCTCAGTTAAAAACAGGCCTCTGAATTGTAGGCCTGTTTCACTTTTCGTAAGAAACCCAGGCAATACAAGAACCCTACAAAATAAATGGGACCATGAGGACCAAAATAAAAGCAAAAAAAGAAATAGAAAAGGAGGGAAGAAAACAGGCTAGTAAGTATGAAAGAGGATATTAATAATAAAAATAAAATCATAATAAAATAAAATGATGGTAATATAAATGATAAAGTGGAATTAAATATATATATATATAAAATAAAGGAAAATGAAAACATTAAAATCAATAAATGGATTATAAGTATATACACCTGTCTGAAATCTGGACCAGGTGAAGGAAAACTGCTCGACTTCATATCTTAAAAAAAAAAAATCTGAAATATTTAATGTGCAAAAGTATAAAGTAGGGCTGGGCGATAAACGATATATATCGAAATTCATTAAAACCTGGTCGGTATGCTTTTTTGATAGTCGGCATCAAACAGGAGAAGAGCGGCGAGGTGTGCGGTGTGTGTCCCCGTTATAAGACAGTTTAGTGGATTTATTTGACTGTGATTCTGCAGATTAAGATACAACGCAACAATCAGTCCAGATCACAGCATACAGAACATGAAGATGGAGCAGCAGGAGATAGCATTAGTCATATTCATGGTAAACAATAAACATTAACACAATAAAGCATCAAACTTGGACAGTGAAACATCATCAAACTCACTTCTGACATTTAGGTGAATATGAGGTAAAAACAGCTAAGAGGAAATTTACCAACTATCCTCATGAGGAGGAAAAACAAACTTTCGCAGCTGAGGAATCTCACACACAGGTGCCGTGCGTTTAATCGCGTTGGACGCCTATGGTGCAATGAAAACTCACTGTAAAACACAATAAAACTCAACAGTGTTTACTTGAAAACACCGAAACAACATGGGCCTTCTGTCATGTTTTGGTCGACAGCCAATGAAAAGGGGAGTTTCTCCGGGTCTGAACCAATCATGTTCTGAATTAGAACCAAGTATCAACCAACTGCAGCGTCGTAGCAGACAGCAGCTCCACCCAACCATAGCACTTTAACAGGTGAAGCCGACAGCACTGTTGGTGAGAAACAAAGAAAATGAGTGCTACCCCCGACAGAAATGACCATGAAGGCTCAACAGATGACCACATCAATGTCAACCACAACACTGGCGTTAGGAAAACGTCGGTGGTGTGGAGGTATTTTGGTTTTTGGAGGTCGGACATGAAGCAGAGTAATGTGGACTGTAAATTATGTCGAGTACATGTTCTCACAAAGTCGGGGAATACCTCAAATCTTTTTCACCACCTGAAGCAGCGCCACGCCGCAGAGCACGCGCAACGCTAAAGGTTACAAACCCCGAGAGGAGCGATTAGCCGAAACAGACGACCATTCAGTCGGCTTTCTCTAGAGCGACGCCTTACGACAAAACGCCAAAGAGACACAAAGACCTCACAGATGCAGGAGATTATTGTGTTGGAAAAGACATGAGACCAATAAACACTGTTAGATTTTTATATCCTGATATTGATCGATATCAGCTGATAGGAAAATAAATATAGTGATAAACTTTTTCCCATATCGCCCAGCCCCAGTCTGAAGTTTTGTCTCCTACATACAACAGGAGATACCAAACACAAATCTGACTGGACCAGGTGGAATAATCTGTGGACAACTTTAATCTGTTTACTGAAGTATCTGTCATTTTGTGAAGCTGCTCTGTAATCCAGTGTTTTCAAGGAACCAGATGTGCGGCTGAATCAAGATCAGGACCATCAGGACAAAGAGGATCCTGCTGCTTCTGCGTAACGTTAAGACTGAAGCCGAGGAGAAACTGACGGGCAAACGGAATAATACGTGGACACACAGCACAGAGATGATGACGATGATGATGATGTAGTCAGGCTCACTTCACTGTCACTACACCTCTGCTCGCCTGACGCCGTCCGGCCGGCCGCACACACGTCTATACATAACCTGCAGGTCATGGAGCTCTATTGTTGTCCGAGTCAGTAGGATGTGAGGAGCCCATTCCTGTCATCTTGGACCAGAGCTATAGATACCAACGGGTCAGGCCAGCAGCAGCTTTGGACACACACACACAAATAGAGACAGGAGGACACAGGCCAGATTCACTTCCTGCTCGGGAGATGGGCCATACTTAACCCTGAAGGATCTGCTCTCTAATTCCAACATGAGGTGAAGCGAGAAAATACATCTGTCCGCCCCTCTGTCCAAAGATATCCCGGTGTCACAGTCCACTTTGTGTGGATGATGTACGGCTCTCTCTGCCCTGTGGAGTGGACAGCTGCAGCGGTGAGCGACCAGATGGAAAACCAGAGAAGAGCGTGAAGCCTGAACAAGGTCCACATTCAAGACCAGGACCGCGGGATTCAACTATTCAGACACAGAAACTATCCTGCACCTTCTCCATCAGCAGAACTTCCCTAAAATCTTACAGGTCAAAGATGTCGACTCATCTTTAAGGTTCAGAAACATGTGATAGAGATACGATGGACTCGTGCTGCTCCTGAAGAATAGATCCATGTCAGCAGGAGGGAGAGGGTGACTTGGTGGAACAAGACAGAGTGAACTAGGCCAAGCTGTCCCAAAGCTCAGCAGACAGCTTCGACCAAGACTGACGTGTACCACAAAGACAGAGGAGGTGGGAAAACTGAGGAGGAGGAGGAGGAGGAGGAGGAGGAGGAGGAGAGAGCGTTTAGTGAGGGGAGCCAGGGAGTTAGTGGAGTCCGCTCCAGAGATGATGTAATCCTTCATTCCTCTGAATGAGGCGAGGCGAGGTCCATCCAAGGACGGGAAATGTTCCATGATTGAAACTTTATTTATTTCTGAATGACTGAAACTGAAGAAAATGTCACACAGGAACCCTCCTCGAGACTTTTTCACTTTTTAATCAGCTCTAAGAAAATCGTTTTTAGGACCAGCTGGAGCTCCGGTGTCTGATTAAACAACTTTACACAACAGTCTGTTTACAGAGACTGAACAGAGACTGCTCAGAGTTGAACACTAAAGTCACAGCTGAGCCTCACTGCCTCCATTTTTCAGTCTCAGCCTGCGGCGTTGGATTAAACACACTGACACACTAAGTTTGTGTATCTCAGAAGAAAGCGTGTAAAAAAGGCAAACAGAGGAGATGGCGAGCACGAGGGAAAGAGACGAGCGACGAATACGTGTCGTTTGTGTGACGACTCAAAGACAGGAAACGGCGTGACTTAAAACCACGCAAAGGTTTCTTATTGGGGCTGAACGATCAATCAGCGTTCAATCATAATCGGATTATTTAACTATGACGATGATTTTCGGTTTTCTCGAGTGTCATGGAAACGGACTGAGTGAATAAAAAAACAAAAATCAAGTTTTCAGAAAAAAAAAAAAATCTGTATTTTATTTTGAAATCATGTCGCCCTCACCTGACGACTTCCTGATACACCTCAGTTTCCTTCATTAACCTACATCCATGAAATAAACTAAAGGGGTAAAAACCTGCTGATAAAAGTCTCATCAATGAAAACTGATCAATGAAAAACCAAACAATAAACCGAAGAGGAAGAAGGGCAATGAGAGGTATTCAATGAGACGGGGGGAGAGGGGCATGCTGGGAAATGATGAATCACAGCAGCATGAATGAGAAGAAAGCGTGAAAAAGAAAGTCAGACATGTTGAACCCTCAGACAGAGAGAGTCATTGGTTGAGGCGCTGACACAGCGGTTTGCTGAAACAGACGATCTCTGCCGGTGAACTCTGTGCCACCCTGGCCCGGCTCTGCCCTCTGACACCCTCTCTGGCACCAAGACAAGGGTGCTGCTGTAAACACGGCCCAGCCTCCACAAGGATAAGTCCTCCTCTGTCATCCTCTACGACCTATCCGCTTTGTTTCTGTGTGGATACTGTCGTCAGTGAGTCACACCAACAAATAAACTCCTGATTTCAACGTACATCCTGACTCACAGAGCGGGAAGATCAAATAACATGAGTTCAGTTATGTGCAGTGACTAAAATCAGGAGATAATAAGGAGACCTTCGTATCAAAATTAACAACAAACTCAGAAACGCTCAGATCTCTTAGGCTGACTGAATAAACCTCTCTGTCTTGTGTTTTAGCTGCTGATCCAGGAACCAACAAACATGATCACAGAAGAAACAAGTCCATACATTAGAAAGTGGAGTAGGCAGGAATCTGTTAGAGTAGAATCTATTTTTGTGGTTTATTTACAAAAATCTTTAAATATCAGTCAATAGTTATTAGTTATTGATGACATTTGGTAATATATCGATATCTCTGTGTTCTCTTATGTCTGTGTCGTCAACATTTGAACATTTTTGAGCGGTCCGCTCTTTCTGACTGTAAACAAAGCCGTTCTCCACCTCCTCTAACCTGATTGGTTGTGAGGCAGACGCTGCTCCCCCGTGTCGTTCAGGAGCCCAAACAAAGTTAGCGTGCTACAATATCGGACAGTAGAAACCAACCAGAAAGTTCGGAAAAATTGTCTGAATCCTCCTTTGGCCACGACTGCCGACACAAGCAAGAAAACACTCAAACATAAACAGTCAACAAAAAACAGTCAACACCAAAACAGCCAACACCAAACCGGTCAACAGGAAAACGGTCAACACCAAAACAGTCAACAAAAAACAGTCAGCAAGAAAACGTAAACTATAATCAGTCAACAAGAAAACAGTCAACCATAAACAGTCAACACCAAACCGGTCAAAACGAAAACAGTCAACAAGAAAACAGTCAACAAGAAAACAGTCAGCAAGAAAACGCTGCTCCCCCGTGTCGTTCAGGAGCCCAAACAAAGTTAGCGTGCTACAATATCGGACAGTAGAAACCAACCAGAAAGTTCGGAAAATTGTCTGAATCCTCCTTTGGCCACGACTGCCGACACAAGCAAGAAAACAAAGTAAATACCTGAGACTCTGGAGGAATAACGGGCGCTTAAAACGGAGGTAGACCGGACAAGAGCTAAAAAGCCGGGTCAACATAAACCATGGGGGACGCTTGGGGATCTTGGTGACCCTGTAACCTTTCTGCTGGACAGGTAAACCGCTTTAACAAAGTAAGACAAGTGTCTGTAACAGAAGTGTTTCTTGTCAAACGGACCTGCTGTAGCGTGTTGTAGCGCCATCGCTAAACTGTCCTCCCTCGGGTCCTGGACTATGTCACTTTATCCTCGTTGTAGAAGTCCTGCAAACATTGTGTTTGCTGGTAGTCTGTTGGCATCTACAGTAGCACCAATGCTTTTGACTTTCACCTTGACTGGGCCCCATTTGTAATGATCTGAAGTATTTATCTGCATTATATCGGAATTTAACTGGAACGATACGAGCGAGCAGGAGCGTCTGTTTGTGGGCGGGGCTTGAGAGGAGGAGCTGAGGGGAAAACTGTTTGGGAGGGGTAGAGTTTATATTCAAGATTTCTCCTAAAAACTGGAACTAACTCAGATCCTGACTACTCCACCTTTAAGGGCGGTCATGTCGAACCCCAGTCACTCCTACAGCTGACCTGTTAGTTTTAAAGAACCAGCTGGTCTAGAGCCAGAACACAAGACAAGGCGCCATTTAGGTCTGAGTGAGTGAGTGAGTGAGTGAGTGAGGGGTGTGACCCTGTTTTTTTCTACTATGGTCACCTTCTTACTCAGCAGTTTGTTTCAATATATCACTGTCCACCTCCGCTGTCTGCGACCACAGCTGGAAGCAACAAGTTTCCTCTTGTATTCAGAGAGCCAGTCAGCGGCGTTCTGGGAAACCGCAGAGGAACAAGAACTAAGAGGAGACTGAGAGTCCGTTCGAGGTAAATGTGAGTTATGTCACATGACATGAGGGTGTGAATGATACAGACAGATTTATAGTCTTTGGATGGAGAAAAAGAAAGAAATCAAGAAAATACAGTTTTAAAAAAATTAAACCAATAAAAAAAAAGTTTTCAGTTAAAATCAAACAAATCTATTAACTTTAAAAATGATGACTCAGCCACTGCAGCACGCAGAATCTTTGTTTAACGGATAGAAATGTGACACTAAGGTAAAACTCTTATAAAGCTGGAGTGTTACAGAAAATGAGCGGACCCTCCAAAGTTCCTGGAAAATTAAAGATTTTCTCATCTAAACTGCTAATTTTGACATGAATCCTCTTTAATCGAAAAACAAACCAATTTATTTCAGAAAGGAACAACAAAAACCACAAATTATGATAGAGTATCATAATAACAACACCTCTGATTAACGGGCACAGAGGCCTGAGAGCAGCAGATGCTGATCGGGTTCAACTTTGACCCCAAACTGGAAACGACGCATGACGCAACCTCCTCCTCCTCGCTGCGATCATAAGACACTCAGGGCGGCGGTGGAAACAATGACTTTGTTTAAGCTTGTTTGATACGTGCATCGCTAATGTGCAAACACACACACACACACACACACACACACACAGAGTCTGTTTGTTGGACACATGATTCCTTTTGTTCTATATATAGACGGATCAACAGCCGACACAGAACCACAACAAGGCCGGTCCCAAACAAACCAGACCAACAGCAGCAGGACTGGTTTACACAGAGACTCTAATAAACTGTTCATGTTTACACGGACCGACGGAGTATTTATGTGTTTGTGCACCTTAACGTCACATCTAAATATGGGAAAAAGTTTATCATGATATATTTTTGTCATATCAGCCGATATCGATCAATATCAGGATATAAAAATCTAACAGTGTTTATTGGTCTCATGTCTTTTCCAACACAATAATCTCCTGCATCTGTGAGGTCTTTGTGTCTCTTTGGCGTTTTGTCGTGAGGCGTCGCTCTAGAGAAAGCCGACTGAATGGTCGTCTGTTTCGGCTCCTCGCTCCTCTCGGGGTTTGTAACCTTTTGCGTTGCGCGTGCTCTGCGGCGTGGCGCTGCTTCAGGTGGTGAAAAAGATTTGAGGTATTCCCCGACTTTGTGAGAACATGTACTCGACATAATTTACAGTCCACATTACTCTGCTTCATGTCCGACCTCCAAAAACCAAAATACCTCCACACCACCGACGTTTTCCTAACGCCAGTGTTGTGGTTGACATTGATGTGGTCATCTGTTGAGCCTTCATGGTCATTTCTGTCGGGGGTAGCACTCATTTTCTTTGTTTCTCACCAACAGTGCTGTCGGCTTCACCTGTTAAAGTGCTATGGTTGGGTGGAGCTGCTGTCTGCTACGACGCTGCAGTTGGTTGATACTTGGTTCTAATTCAGAACATGATTGGTTCAGACCCGGAGACACTCCCCTTTTCATTGGCTGTTCGTATAGTCGACCAAAACATGTCAGAATGACGACTATTGAAAAGCACATTGATCATGTTTCATATTGATAATGAGGGAAATTAATTTTCGTTATATCGTTATCGTTTTATCGCCCAGCCCTACATCTCAGCGTAGACGAGCAGGATAAACTTCTAACTCAGACCGAGGAAACCAGATGAAGATCTCTGAGGAGACATGAGACACAGCGGCCGTAACGACCAGGTCATGTGACCATCAGCAGAGGTCAAAGGAAGTGCGGCTAGTTTCAGGAGGTTCAGTCCTAAAACTGTGATTGATTGACTCGGTCTGAACGCCTGTTCGTCTTTTATGGACGTTATCTTCGCTCGCTGTTCTTCGCTCATTTCCACGCCGCGCTCCCGCCCTCTCACTGACGTGTTTCTCAGTGGGTAAACTGTAAACACACAGAGGTCTCCAGTGAGAGTGACCCCTGAGAAACGGTGTCTGTTCTCAGTCTCTCAGTGATGGTCTCTGTGGGTCATAGAGAGGCAGCAGCAGAGTTAAAATGAGACTGTTTCATAACCAGCTAACAACTCCTCCTATTAGGTTTCAGCCAAAGATGACACTTCAGCTGAGGTGTAACCATGGAGGGTTAATCTAGTCCATGGTATGTGCTGTGTGTGTGTGTGTGTGTGTGTGCGTGTGTGTCCTCTAAACCTCTGTCCTGAGCTTCCTCTGTTAGCAAAACAAACATGAAAACTGGCGGAGAGGAGAGGAGAGGAGAGGAGAGGAGAGGTTAGTTTAGGAGGGGTTATGACGAAGAAGAGGAGACTGAAAGACAAAAGGGAGAGACACTGAGACATCCTCGACTCGAACACAGACTCTGAGAAACGAGGAAAACTTCTGCGGGCGAGTGAAAAGAAGCGGTGAGGGGAGAGAAAGGAGACCCTCGAGAACAAGAGTAAAGACGGAGCGAGTAACGGTTGGGTGGAGTGAGAAGAGGTGGGAGGGTGGAGAGAGGAAAAGTTCCCGCTCCTGCTTCTTCTTTCCGAGTGGATTCTCCAGCTCAGCAGTGGGGAATGTGCTGGCATACCACAGAGCCTGCTGCTGAAGAATGCAGTGATTCCTAACGGACACACGCACACACACACACACACACACACACACACACACACACTGAATGAGCCCTCCTTCTCTATTGAAGCTCAACATTAAGTAAGACTGCTCTCTCTCCCTCTCTCTCTCTCTCTCTCTCTCTCTCTCTCCGACCATCACGCTCAGCTCTGTGGTGAACACAAACACTGGAGATGCTGGTCAGGCTGTGTGTCGTCCTGTTGGTGGAGAAGTTATGATGGTGACAGAGCTGGTTTCACTGTTTGGCCATGTGAAACTACAACTATATAAATCTGTCAGAGTCAGACGATCTCAGACTCTCTGAAGAGCAGAAGTTTGAGGGACCGTGTGCAAAGTGCAAAGTTTTATTCAGGAGCAAAAATCGAAGGAAGAGCAAGAAGTCATATTGTTGATAACTATCATTTCAAAAGGTCAAACAGTGAGATTGTGCTAAAACAACAAGCCTGCAGTAACACTGAGTAACTAATGAGTTCATAGACAGACAGGAGCACAGCGTCATAAATCAGGGGGGCGGTCAGAGAAAACTCAGGAACCTGTCAGGTGGTTAAAATCATGTGAGAGGAGATGAAGATGGAAGTGAAGGACTCCAGGATCCAAAACCAGCTCTCCTCTCAGTTTGTGAGTTTCTGAAAATACTGATTTTTGTGAACAACGTAGAGCTGGGCGATAAACCGAAAATTAACCGATACAGAAATCTACGATGGTAACCGATGTCATTTTGCTCATATCGGTACATTCAGTGTCAAAAAAACTGAATTAATCAAAGTTGGTTTTGGACGTGTGTAGGTAGGCTACGGGACCACATCCTGAAAGGACGCCAATTCCTACTGGATCCATTCGTGACGTGAATTTCGTGGCGGATTACGGACAGCAGGAATCGTGAGAACTCACAAGAACCTGCAGATTCATGTTCAATCGCGCGATAACGAGTTGTCTCTCTAAAGACAGACACATAGACATATAAGCAGTAGATTGTGTCCTTCCAGAGGAGGAAATCTACTTCTAGACTTCTAGAATCTCCTCATCCATGGTGTCATCGGGGTGAAATGACGTCTAAAAACCTTTCACTTGTTCGTCTCCGCCCGTTTGCATGGTGTGAAATACGATCCTCCTGAAACACGGAGTGTTTTATTTTGAAAAGAAGCCGGATGTTTTATTTTGTGTCTGTGCCCGACTTCCTTTCCAGCACGGGTTAATCTGTGCTGAATTTATCCGCCATGCTCCGGCGTCCAGAAAAAATAGAACTCTTGTGATCAGCTGAGGAGTCCGGCGATCCGCAGAGGAACGGAAAGAAGTCTGTGTAAATTGACACGTTAACTTGAATGGTTACGATCAGCTACGATCGGAGGATACGACCTTTTAGGAGACGATCAGGATGAAGGTGGAGATTAGGGGGTTTAAGACGCTGTCCTACGTAAGAGACGTGACTCTGCCCCTTCCAGTCAGTAACAAAGAGGTAAAGACAGGTGAGGAGATGGAGGACGGTTCAAAAGTTGGAGCGGCTGAAGTAGACGAAGTTAATGTGGGAGGGGCTGAGCAGCCCGTGGAGTAGTTATCATCCATTTATCGTTATCGAGGTGAACTGATCAATATATCGAGGTATTGATTTGAGGACATATCATCCAGCCCGAGAACAACCCGTGAGATAGAAGAGTCTAAGTGTGTGTTTCATGGTCTCAGCGCTAACATGACTGATGACATGTAAGTTTACTGAATCCAGGTGGACTGACTGACGGCGTCTTTACCCTCAGAGACACTGAGAGATTTTAGACCCACAGTCATCGTTACAGAGACAGACTTAAAGTAAGAGAAAGACAAAAACTACAGAATAGAGAGGAGGACGCAACGAGACGAAACAAAGTCATGAACACGTCTGTCAGAAAACACATGACAGAGGAACACGAGAACATGAAATGATAAAAAATGAAGAAAAGAAGAAACAGAGGTCAACTGAAATACTGAAGGAGGAGAAGAAGAGAGGGAGAGAGGGAGAGAGTATTTACAGAGAGGAAGGTGTGGTGCTCAGAATATATGATCTAATGCTATACAACTTCACCCCACCCTGAGAGAGAGAGGGGAGAGAGAGAGAGAGAGAGAGGGGGAGAGAGAGGGAGAGAGAGAGAGAGAGAGAGAGAGACCATGTCCCAACAAGAAGTGCAGACAGGCTCCCACAGGCCCCAACACAGGCTCCAGGGCCTTGTGCACACTCTCACACACACACACACACACACACACACACACACACACACACACACACACACACACACACACACACGTGTGAGAGGAGAGGGCGGGAAAAATGGGGGTGGGGGGGTTACAAGGGTTAGACTGAGACTAGAAGGTTCACTGGTGTCAACAGGAGAGAGAGAGAGAGAGAGAGAGAGAGAGAGAGAGAGAGAGAGAGAGAGAGAGAGAGAGAGAGAGAGAGAGACAGAGAGAGAGAGAGAGAGAGAGAGAGAGAGAGGGACAAAGAGAGAGAGAGAGAGAGAGAGAGAGGGAGAGAGAGCCTGACCTTGGCCTCATCCTGACCTACTGACACATAACTGACTTAGAGAGCCGAGGGGGGAGGAGCAGGAGGAGGTGGAGGAGGAAGGAGAGAAGGAGGAAGAAGAAGAAAAGAGGAGTAGAGCTGCTGTTTCCTCTAGTTCAGAAAATCCATGTGCAAAGTTCCTCTCTTTCCCAGAATGCCGTTCAACAATAAGACAGGAAGTGATATTTCCATTTTTGGGTCATATTGGAGGAGAAGGAAACAGGATCATGTCGGCCTCCAGCTGTTCAAACAGGTAACAGAAATATGATCGAACAGAATCGACATGAGATCACGGAGGTTCAGGTTCAGCCTCGGTTCACTCTCAGAGCTCCACGCTCGGGTCTGAACTCACTGACTCTGTTAGGCTCCTCCTACTTTCATTATCAATAATGTTTTAGTTCCTCTGCCTTTACATGCTGGTGTATTATCAATGATTAAAACTCCTGATTTACTGGATACAACAACAAAGAGAAAGTCAGGAAATCATTTAAAGTCGTTAAAGTTTAAAAAAGAGGACATCAATAAAACCAGAGGGGGTCTGATTTAAATGATTTTAAATGATTTTAAAAAGATAAAATCAAAAACAGAAGTCTGTCCTCTGACTGTTAAATAAAGATCAGTGTGTCTGAGTCAGTGAAGGAACTCCTGCTGAATGAAACCGCTCTGAGGAGGAGCGAGTATCCGGGGGTTTCATCAGAGACCTGAGACCAGAATAGACCAGGAAGAGGAAGTCCACCTTTTCATAGCAGTCAGACGACATCGACATCATCATCATCATCATCATCATCATCATCATCATCATCACAGCCAGCACACCTGCTCAGTGTAGAGGACGTGAAAAAACAACAACAGTCTGTGAGAGAGAGAGAGAGAGAGAGAGAGAGAGAGAGAGAGAGAGAGAGAGAGAGAGAGAGAGAGAGAGAGAGAGAGAGAGCGTGTAAACCGGCTCTTATTTATACTGAGTAATGTTTTAAACAGAGGGCAAGATCTCTGTGTGTGTGTGTGTGTGTGTGTGTGTGTGTGTGTGTGAGTGTGTGTGTGTGTCCTTCCACAGAGGGAAGCACCTGCATGTGTGTCTGTGTGTGTGTCTTTAGGAGGAAAAGGAAAAGCATCATCATCATCGTCTCAGCTCCTGCTCTCATCAGTTTTACCGCCTTCACTATAGGAGTATCCTCGACTCTGGACCTCATCTGAACCGGGTCAGCCAACACCAGAACCCTTTAAACTGGATCAATGATCAGCAGACACGTCCTCCAGTCCGGGTTCATCATTTTTATTCACCGTCACGTCAAAATAAACTCAAACTGAAGTTCTCCTGTTTTCATTGACTGTCCTTCAGAGTCTCAGGGGTGTCGACTCAGTTTCATCAGTTTAATAAAGTCATATGTTAAATATAATGAAGATTTTTGTTAGAACTTTATGGTCTTCACTCACTCAGTACGTTTACAGTCTCAGTTTAATCAGACTAAACTCATAATTCGTCTTTTTCTCTGAATCAGACTTCTCTCCTCGTCCTCGTTTACATGCAGCTGAGAAAACTGAATTATTGACGTGAACGTGTCCTCCTCCCCAACACTAGGGGGCGATATGGGTCTTTTCAGCGGCGCTGTTTCCGACCCCATCCAACCGTCAACAACAACAACAGCAGGTCGGTGTCAGACGTCAGAAGTGTCTACAACTGCTGCTGGGCATTTTGGAGAAACAAGAAGATGGAGCATCGTACAGCGTTGTTTTTGTCCGACATGATGGACGCGCTACTTTTTCTAAAGAGGAGACCAACGCTACTCCTCTACTCTGGGGGTTTGTTATGGGGTTACGGGGGCACGGCGCACATGTACTGTCTGATCAACATCGAATTCCGATCACATTATCTGGGTGAATTAATCTGAGTTCTTAAACTCTGATTATAGTCGGACTAAGGTGTTTACATGACCTTCAGTTGTCTGGTCTTCATCGGAATAAGGCGATAATTCGGTTTTCTTGAGTGTTGTGGAAACTTATTGACGACTCATCTCTCTCTCTCTCTCTCTCAGTCTCTCTCTCTCTCTCTCTCTCTCTCTCTCTCTCTCTCCCTCTCCCTCTCCCTCTCTCTCTCTCTCTCTCTCTCTCTCTCTCTCTCTCTCTCTCTCTCTCTCTCTCTCTCTCTCTCTCTCTCTCTCTCTCTCTCTCTCTTCCTTATTCACAGAAAGCTTTTCTCCACTTATTGGATGATGTTTGTTTTTATCTACAGGGGCTGAGGGACCTGGGACCTTCTTATCGACTCCTTTGTTCCAGGCGCTGAAGAAAAACTCTGAGATCTTTTTAATCAATCAGACACAAATCCAACCACAGTTGTTTCCCTCTCGACTGTGGGGGAGGATTCTTCGCTTTTGCATGAATGAAGAACAATCCTTCACTTCCTCTCCTCTCTTACTTCCTCTCAAGTCTTTTTCCGACATCCCCTCCTCCTCCTCCTCCTCCTCCTCCTCTCCCCTGCTGATGGTAGGACGTCTGGGAGCTGAAGCTAACGTGAAGGATCTGCAGTCTACCTGTGGAAGTCTACCTCACACTCCGGTGTTGGTAAAGCTCTGAATGTGGAGATTGCAGTTATGTTGGGAATGTGAGCCTCCACTCTGCCAGGGCCGGACCACAGAAGCCCACAACTCTATTTAAGGAAATGGCAGTCAGGAGGAGCCCACCAGCCGCTCTCTCTGTCCCTCACTCCGCTACTCCAACCCACTTCTCCTCCTCCTCCTCCTCTCCAGAACAAGAAGGAGCTTCATTTCCCTTTGTGCTAAAAAAGGTTTATTCACGAACCTGCTGCCGAGAAGGAGAGAGACACACACACACACACACACACACACACACACACACACACACACACACACACACACACACACACACACACACACAGACAGAGAAGTGTGTTGTCACTGGTTGATTGGTGGGTCTGTGACTTTAGGACACATTTACTGTTCCTGCTTTTACCTCCTTCAGTTACACATCCAGCGTGGGCATGAACTTGTGATGAGCACAAAGCAAACGTCACGTGAACTTTGGTTTACCCAGAATCCTTGGCTTTTTACAACTTCAGCCTCCGGTCGTATCCCTGTGACAGTAGATGGAGCTCAAAGAAACAGAAAGAAAAACAGTGACGGGACGACAGCTGGAGGAGACGCTGAGTTCAGAGGGATGGAGGCTGTGAGAAAGTCTGTGTCACCGCTCAAACCTGGAGTCGGACTCAGGCTACGTTCAGGTTCTGATGCACGGTTCAGATTTTTTGTTGAATCCGATCTTTTTGTGCGGTCGTTCACATTACAACAACGAACGCAGCATCTAATGTGAACGGTGACTCTTGAACTGACCGGTCTCCTCGTATATTTATCAACTCTGATGTTTCTTCTTTTCACCAATGGCCGTTCTCCGTTCCCTCGTTCGCCATTGCTCTCTGCGCCTGTTTGTTTCGTTGAACAATGGTGACGTTTGTCTCATATTGATGACGTAAAGGTCGGATGAACGCGACCTGAGCGTCACACTGCAGTCACATCTGATACATATCTGATTTATATCCACATACAGAAGAGGCCTGGGTCGGATCAGAACCAATCAGAACTGACCTGTTCACACAGAATGACCTGCAGTGTGAACAGAGCCTTAGAGCCCAACGCCAGCATCCGGATTTGAACAAGGATCCCAGAACATGTTGACATGGTGGGTAGGGCTGTCCCGATACATTATTGATATCAGAAATCAGTCCGATATCAGCAAAAGAAGAAATCGTATTATGTCGACCAGCATCTAAAATCTCTGATAAAACCAGTCCATTCCAGACTCCGCTCCAGCACCTCAATCTATCAGCGCCCAGATCCAGCATGTAGGGCCCACAAAATCACAGCAACAGTGTGTACTAAAGTAATAAAGTAGAGAGGATGTTAGAGCCAAAATATATTTGTTTAGGAGATGATTTCTACTGTACGGTACGTCACGTCCGGGGATGGTCACTGAGGGGTGTGGTTTTGGGATGTTTGGCGGGTTATTTAAATCTCACCGGTGTGCTCAGGTAATGGTTTTCGGTAAGCTCTGAGAATTTTCTGTTGACGGTTTTTCACCGTTTCATTCATCCTGTTTTAACCTCATTTCATCTCATCACTTTTTCATTGCAAGGCAAAAGTTTTAGACCTGAATCAACGTGTTTTTCTTTTCTTTTCTGGAACAATAAATCACCTTTTTAACGCTCAAAATGGACTGATAATTGAATGAGTCACAGATGCAAGCGAACCTACACCCCAGCGTCCTTTTTGTGGAAGGGAAGCAGACGCTAAAGAGGAGTAGGAGTGATGTCGGCTGTGTGGGAGTATTTTTCATTTAAGTCCAAAAAAGATGTTGCAGCTGAGAGAAAAACTTGTCATGCACAATTATGTGCCAATATTGGATCAATATTGGTATCGGCCAATACTGAAGGCTATAATATCTGTATCGTGTCAGAAGTCAAAACGTTGTATCGGGACCCCCTTAATGGTTGGCGTCCTCTTGGAGGTATGTTTCCTCTCCTTCTGGGCTGCGTTCGAGGTCATGTTCTGTTTATTAACCACGACATCCAGATGAGAGGTGGAGCCGTCTTTACCCAGAGGTGACCAACTCCGTAAGTCTTGGAGCGGGCAGCAAACACAGCGGTCCGCCTCGGTGAGGTCATTTTCAGGATCCAAAGACCGCTGCTGTACAGCCGCCACGGCAACCGTTACCATGGGGCTCTCTCACCGGCTGGTTCGACTGACGTCAGTCTGTGTGTACCAGCCAAGACAGCGTCAACCGGTCAAAAGCAAAGGAGTGTGGTTGGTGGCACCATGCTGTGTCCCCACTGTCCATTCATGTGAGGACAGAGAGGACAGTCAGGGACACAGCCGAGGCTGAAGCTGCAAACGAAAGACACTCGTCCCTACAGCTGAGACAGACGGACTCACTGACGTCTTAAATAACTCGAGTCTTTAAGGTAACTCACTCCTGAATACATGTAGAGGTCATGACCCCTGCAGAGGAGGGATATTTACAGAAGACCCCCACCTTCATTATTATAACAACAAATGCTCAGAGGACATCCTCCAACTCGAACGCCATTATTAATTCGTAATCTGACACCAGCGACAGGTTTAACGAGAGTTCAGTCTCTACAGCTCATAATATCATCCAAAGATTCAGAGTCTGGAGAAACCTGTTCAAAACAGACAGGACTGGATGGTCCTGATCTTCAGGTCCTCAGTCTGCTTTAAAAACAGACAGGTCTCTGAAGTGGACATCACTGCAAAAACTCAGAACCCACTCTGAAACCTGCCGTCTGTGACCCAGAAACACAGTCCACTTCACCTCGTCTGAGATGGACTTTAATCTAAAATCAAATCTGCTCCAAAGAGGAAACAGACCACCTGACTCATTAACTAGGGCTGGGCGATATGGCCTCAAATCAATAACACGATATATTGATCAGTTCACCTTGATAACGATAAATGGACGATAACTACTCCACCAGCTGCTCACCCCCTCCCACTTTAACTTCGTCTACTTCAGCCGCTCCAACTTCTGAACCGTCCTCCATCTCCTCACCCGTCTGTCCCTCTTTGTTACAGACTGGATGGGGTGGAGTCACGTCTCTGATTTAGGACAGCGTCTTAAAGGGACATGAGACCACAGACTACCTACACACATCCAAAAACAACTTTATTGATTTTTTTGACACCAAATATACCGATATGAGCAAAATGACGTCGGTTATTGTCGTAAAGTTCAATATCGTAAAATTTTCTATTTATCGTCCAGCCCTACCAACATCGTCCAATAATGTAGTGAGAGGATGTGACACACGGGTCAGTATAACACAAACATGTCATTATTACACTGGTCAGTATAACACAAACGGGTCATTATTACACAAACATGTCATTATTACACACAGGTCATTACGCCCCAATACTAACTTTTCTGACATGTGTCTTCGAGGGCGTTGTCAAATGTCAAATGTTCCCCTTTAATGTCGTCCTAAAAACATCCACAGGTTTTAATCAGTGTGACGTTAAACTGACAGTCACTGAAGGTTTTGGGTTTTCCAGACTTCACTTGCTGACAGTGGGGAACCCAAGACCCCCTTTTTTTCTGATCCGGAGTGGACTTGTGTTATTTAGTGTGCAGGCTTGTTGTCTGTAGAGACCTGCTTGTTTGTGCAGCCAAGACTGGATGGCTCCTGAGCTTAAACAGCGACTTACACAAGAAGTGCAGTGTATAGCACAGCCAGCTGCCTGAGAGTGGGGCGGGGACGGGGAAGGGCCGGGCTGAGGGTCTGGACCGCTATGTGGGGAAACATTATACGCCTGTATGTCTGCTTTGGTCAGGACCAGACTGACTGGTCATCTATGAGACAGACTGGTATCCCTCACCTGTTCTCACCCTCTTCTGCTCTCTCCCTTCAACCACACATACACTGACACACACAAGCGCGCACGCACACACACACACAGAAGAACCATCTGTTGTGTATTCTCTTGTAACTACAACACAATCTAAATTAACACTTCATATTTTTATTTCTTCGTTCGTTTTCCTTCATTGACACTGAATTATTCTTAGTGATAAAAACTATTTAACTACTAAAATAGATTTTTTTTTTTAGTACAGCTGTGAAAAAGACAACACAGCTGTAGTTAATGACACGGATAAAAGCAAGCGTTTCAGACAGAGGCTGAAATAATTATATTTCATTAGAATAAGAAACAGAAGGCTCCTTTTGTTTGATCTGAAAATCATTTAAAGATATTAAAGAGAAACCAGAGAGAAAGTCTAGAGTCTGAATTAATGCACAACATCCCCTTTAAGGCCGGAAAAGTGGTTTTTACTATTATCAATGATTGATGTATAATGAGGCTGTTGTCAAGGTAAAAAAAAAAGAAAAAACTGTTATGTTGTTCACTTTTGTATCATATATATCATATCATATCATACCGTATCATATTGTATCATATTATATCATGCTGTCTCATATCGTATTATAATGTATCATATTGTATCATATCGTGTCATACTGTATCGTATCATGACATAACATATCACACTGTATCATATCATATTTTATCTTATTGTATCATACAGTATCATACCCAATTGTATCATATTATATTGTATCATATTATATCATACTGTGTCGTATTGTATCATATTATATCATATCTGGTCATATCGAAACACTTTGGTGTCACACAGTAATTTCCCCTCCATCTGGGTAACATTTACTCTTAGAACTGCTTTTTTTTTTTTTTTTTCTTATTAGTACAGACAGTACATCAAAAATACACCACAAGTTGTTACTGATCGTGAAGCCTAAAGATGTAGAGCTCCCTCTGCTGACTGGCTGCAGTATAGGCCATAAACCTGACGATGCAAAGATGGATCAGGTTAAAATGTGAATAGTGGGATTATATATGACTTCTTTCTCAATTTTTAACATATAATTGTTATATTTCTTTACATGTAAAAAAAACAGATTTTTATTGACCATCAGTCCACCCGCTCTCGATTGAGAGTCTCTGAGATTCATCAATCACTTTTGTTCTCTGTTCAAAAACTGAGGCAGACGTTCAGTGTTTTCTGGATTTAGAAGATCTTCATCTTCTCCAAAAACAAACTTAAACTCACTTCACACAGTGAGTTAGTTGTGTTTTGAGCGTGTCCTCCGCCACTCTGAAACACCTCCCTAATGTCAGTCCTGACTGCTGATCGTGTGTCTGACCGATGAGGTTCAGTGAAACACACACAGATGCACATGCTGCAGTAATCCAAACTTGCTGGTGGACAGCAAAGCCAGGATGAGACGAGTTCAGAGAGGAAGGAAAACCACAAGCCTTTATGAGGAGCTTGATTGCATAATCCACACTCTCAGAGGAACGCTGTTGGTCTCTCTCAGAGATAAACAACAAGAGCTCAACATGTCTGAGGCTTCTCGTAGCTTCCATCAGCGTGTCGTCTGCTCTCCTCTGGTTTTTAAAGACACACAAACACCTGGAAGAAGAAGCAGAAACCTCTGCTGTCGCAGCTGAGGGGAAAAGACGAGCTTTATTTCTTCTTCTCCTCTGCTCGTTTTGGCAGGTCGTCTGTCCCCATTCCTGAGGTTCAGAACGAGTTCACAGAACACGCCGTCAACTTCCAGAAATAAACTGTTTGCTCATGCGGGGGTGCGACGAAATAGTTTGGACGGAGACAAGAGTTTTCTTTTCTCTGGGACAGAATGGCCAATGACATGTTGGAGAGGATGTTGACAATTACAGGTGTTACAACAACAACACACAACACACCTGAGCGCTGCTGCTGCTGCTGCTGCTGTTACACCTGTTTATTTTTACTGCTGTCTTTGTTCCAGTTAGGAAACACTAACCATCACAAGTATTACAGTGAGGAGCTGTGCGAACTGATCCGGCTCATTTCTCCATGAAAACTGAATAGAGTTCAGTGTTCCTCTCAGCGCTCAGCATCCTCGGCAGATCCTTCGCCGTCAGCAGCAGCCATTTTTTCAAGGATCAGGGGAAAAACCAATACTGGAGGCTACGTTCCTCAGGAAGCACTGCATGTAAAAATAACAGACATGACTCTGTGGAGGAAATCACTGCGTCCACTATAAACCACTGCCAGTGGACGCAGTTTCAGCCGAGAATGAAGGCTGGAACTGAACCACACCAAGAGGAGACCACAGAACCCGGGAACACCGGGTAAAAAACCTGACGCTATTTTTTGGAAATCAACACAACATGGACAACCTCTGCTCCGGAGATAAGGCCTTATGATTTCAGCTTTAACGGAATCGCTGAATTGGCCAATAAAAACAGAATCGAAGAAGAAGAACTTTATTTATCCCCGAAGGGAATCCAATAAATTCAATAAATTATACCGTTAAACACGAAATCTCACGGGAATTGCCATAATGTGACTAAAATGCTGTTGTGGTGAGGAGAAGGAACGTTTGTCAGGGAAATGTTCTCGGGGACCGCTGATTTGTGGCACCACTCGTACATCTCTTCACAAACACTGACCTGCCCCCTCCCTCCTGAATAAACAGCATGTCCAACAGCTACCAGAGACATCGGCTACATCCACGAAAAAAACGTCAAAACTCGTGTCTGTCTCCGAAGTTCAGAGCCGAGCGATATCCAAACGTGACGACCACTTATCGTCTAAAACACACGTGAGAAACATTCAGTTATTTCTTTTACTCAACCATTTAAAAACGATTCAAACTTTGTACTTAAAGCACCTACTGGTACACTGTTATGTTACAACATGATGTTTTGACTTGAAATACTAGGCAATGATGTATTACAGCTATAGATTTAGGAATATTTTCATTTTATTAACTGACACTGAAAGCACACACACTACGGAAGTAAATAAGTGCAAAAGGTAAAAAACTGAATTCTAAAACATTAAAACGGACGTCATAGAGCCCTATAGAGAGGAGAGGATTCACAGGCGCCTGTGGCCTGGACAGCGTCACCAGTGTTTGATAGTACAGGTTATGAAATCTATGAAATCTATATGGCGACCGATTAGGCCTGTCGCGATAATCAATAAATCGCCTTATCGCTCGATAAATAAAAACGAGGTCGATAACTTTGCCAGCCTCGATAATTAACGTGCGTTTGTTTTCCTCCTCTCTCGCTACCAAACACGCTGGATGAGAGAAGAGGTCTCACTCTGTGCATTGTTCCCGGCACCTGGGGGCGTTGGCTCTATAGCGGAATGAACGGAGTTAGTGAACCCTCCTGTCAGTCATTCAGTATCTTTGTCACGAGGGGGCTGGCGCGCACAGGTACACGTAGGCGCGCACAGGCACACAGACACAGACTTTTGGATACAGTGCTGCAAGTGAGCGTCGTGAGTGAAAAGCAAGCTAACAGAATGAACACGACAGCTTTGGTGTCTAAACCGAACGCAACAGCCCAAGTGTGGGAATATTTCGGCTTTAAACCAGTTTTCTTTTCGTCAAAAACTCCACGTGTGTGTGTGCGCGCGTGCGTGCGTGTGTGTCTGTGTGTTGGAGGAGCACAGCAGGCTGATGAGAGCTGTCAGAGCGGACTGAAGCTGCTCCTATATGTTTAGCGTTTAACTGACTGAGTTTTGCAACTCTGTTCGTCATTTTCGTCTCGTCCCATCAACGTAAACGCACTTTCGTCTCGTCACATTTTAGTCATCTCCGACTTATGATTAGCTCGTCAACGTTACGTCTTCGTCGTGGGAGAAAAGGGAAATATTTTAGTCAACGAAAACAACCAGTGTTGTTCTCGTGTGGAAATTAAAGTTTATCACTTTTGACAGGGTGTACTCGCATTATTATGCCATATAATATCATTATCTATAATTTAAAAAACTGTGTCAATAATATCGTTTATCGGCGATAATTTGTAGCACAATTATCGTCCAGCAAAATTTGTTATCGTGACAGGCCTACGACCGATTCAGGGTGTACCCCGCCCGCCTCTCGCCCCATGACAGCTGGGATAGGCTCCAGCCCACCCATGACTGAAACGGATAAGTGGAGTAGAAGATAAAATCTGTGAAACACTTTCTTCAGGTACAACAGGAAACCAGCTTCTGCACGGACGATAACTCCATAATAGAGGGGAGCCGACCCGTCACAGAGCTGCAAAAAGACCTGAGAACGCAGACCCCGGACTGGTGGTCCGCTCAAATCCTCTATCAGGGAAGGACAACAGTCCACCTTCAAAAGTCCAGAAAACTGGTCTGCTCGGACCCCCAACACTTACAGAGGGTTACTGGGAGATGCAGTGAAGCGTCTCGACTTTGTAAAAATGTGATCATACATTTATTTTCCTGCGTTTTCTATCAGCTCTCAGCCCGCCGCTCTTCATGAAGACAAAGTGAACCTTTTCAGAGTCTGTTTGTCACCATGAGGTCTTGAAGAAAGTCAGACCTGCAGAGTAAATAGTTCTGTTAAAAATGGTACCAGTATTTTCTGAGCCTCCATTCTTTCCTTCCTCCTACCCACCCATTCCTCCTCCTCCTCCTCCTCCCCTCTGTAATACCGCGGTGTACTCAGGAGACCTTAGCGCCGCTGAAGGTGGAATCAGTTTTCCTTTTCCACTGTGTCTTTTTCCCCCCACGCTGGAAAAGCCCCCGTCCAACCTCAGAGAGCGCCTGACTCAAGTGTGCTCCTACGTGCCCACATTCCTAGACAGTATCCCCAACACCGGAACCGTTTACCGCCTCAGCCGGGAATGCTGATTTCCAGCCCAGCTTTTCATCAGACCTAGTTTAGGCAGAGAGCGGAGCAGGAATCCACTGAGTAATACTAACCATTATACAATGCTGACTTCCCCTCTGACTCAGTTTTCTCATACAGACTCATTTCTCTCTCACCACAACATCAGGAGTAAAAGCTGCTGCCTGATGAAAAGTAATCATTCAGCTGGAAGTCCTTTTTTGACCTAGATTCAGACAGAACCAGAAACTTCTCTGAAACTGTTGAAGCTCAAAAACAAAAAAACAAACATTTGGTTCTGAAAAAGAAACAACAACAGGTCAACGAGAACCTCTGACACTCTTCATCGGGTTAGAGGAACAGCTGAGGTTCTCCGGTCAGACGGTTTTAATACCTGTGCAAAAAACTCAAACAGCACAGGAACTACAGCCAGTCTATGAACCAATCAGATACCAGAACACTCCAATAACCCACACCTTCACAGCTCACATGGATTCAGACATTTAAAGAAGTCCGACACCATGAGCTCCATCTGAGGTCAGCTGACCGTGAGTCCACGGGTTTGTTCGGGTTCCTTCTGGAGATAATCCAGAGTGACCCGTGTCCTGGTCATTTATCTAAACCTTCAAGGTTTCTCCTGGTTCTTCATGGAGGTAAACATTTGTGTGAGGGGGTCTACACTCACACCTGGATCTCAACACATCACCAGATCACGCCACATTACCAGTGACCATCTTTCTTCTATGCTTGTTTGGATATTGGAGGATTATAGTGATGGTCGTCACATGAAGTCGAAACCTTGACTAGAGGTGTGAGGAGTTTATTAATAATAATAATAATAATAATAATAATAATAATAATAATAATAATAATAATAATAATAATAATAATAATAATAATAATAATAATAAGAAGAAGAAGAAGAAGAAGAAGAAGAAGAAGAAGAAGGAGAAGAAGAGTTTAATAATAATAATAATAATAATAATAACAATAAGAAGAAGAAGAAGAGTTTATTAATAATAATAATGATAATAATGATAACAATAAGAAGAAGAAGAAGAGTTTAATAATAATAATAATAATGATAATAATAATAACAATAAGAAGAAGAAGAGTTTAATAATAATAATAATAATAATAATAATAATAATAATAATATTTGTTTATTTATAAATGTCTTTCTTGACTCTAAAGGTTAAAGATAAAGAAGGTTTTGGTTTTTATTATTTCTGTCTTAAGTGTGTTTATTTTTATGCTCATCTCCTGGATCATGTCAGACCCCTCCACTCCCACCTGTCACCTGCATGATCACCTCCTTCTCCATAACCTGATGAGCTCTCCTCCTCCTCCTCCTCCTCCTCACTTTCCTCAGTTGTCTCCGAGTGTTTCGTCTCCACTCACTAGTTTAGTTCCTGTTTTTGAAGACGGTTGATTCAGTCTGCTCTAATTTGGATTAAATTGGCCTTACCTTGTTAATTTCTGTGACTTTAGACTTGGTTGTTAAATCTCTTTCTTCACTCTCACTGATAAAAACTGAAACTTGTTTTAGCAGCAGGGAGAAGAGGAGGAAGAGGAGGAGATCTCTGATGATTAGTGGTTCTGCTTTGAAGAACCAGAGCAGGTCCAACCTATGTGGATGTCACAGATCTATCCCCTGATTCCATCCGGACGGAGATTTGAAGTCCTGAGAGTGAAGACCACCCGTTGTTTGTGTGGTCTGTCTCTTTCTAACGTGGTCTTAACTTATTTATTGTTGTATTTTATTTATTGGTAGTTACTGTCCGTTGTATCATGCTTTTATGTTTTTTTATGTTTACACTGACACGCATGTTTAAACGGGTATGATGGTTTTACAGAAGAGCGTGACACTGATGACAGGACTGAAACCTGTAGACCACCAACCACCACAAAGTCCTCCTCCTCCAAGTTCATGTAGACCTGATGGATGAACTCAGACCAGACACTGAAGAGAGACAGTTCACCTTTCTCAGAGGTGAGTGAGAGTTTGGATGTTTATTCTCCTTTTGACTGAATGTTAAGAAAGCGTTCAGTTCTCTCGTACTCCACTTTGGTGAAAGTTTCATTGAATCAGCTGATGACTGAGTTGACGGACTCTGGCGGTAAAGAGAGAGAGAGCGTGAGAGTGTCTCTGCTCCCTCGTACACGCCGACTCTCCGCCTGCCTCCTTCCTTCCAGCTCAAATAGTTGAGCAGGCGGCCAGGTCAGCAATACACACCACCGCCGCCGCCGCCACAGGAAAATGAAGTTAGTCATTCAGAACACCAGGCCCACTGTTCGCTCACAACCCCACCCCTTACACTAACTCTACTACACCCGCTTAGTGTGTGTGTGTGTGTGTGTGTGTTTGGTCCCTCAGACAGCTCTCTTCATGTCCTGTCAAGTTGATCGGATATTGTCCCTCTTCAGATTGTCTCAAAAGACGTTTTGTTCTCCTCGAGGGGGAGGAAAAACAGGAAGTGACATTCCTCAATAACCACGAGTGAAACGCTGCTGCAGGCAGAATAAAACCAGGATCTGAACTTTCTCACATCAACATCAGGTTTTAGTCTCACTGGGGGGAACCAGAGAACCAACAACGGTCAGAAATATCACGAAAATAAACACGCTCAGCTGCTTCAGTGGACTGTGATTTCATATTGATGAGGGTCTCTCCTCTAAAGTTACAGAAAGTCTCATCCCTACTCTCCAGGTCCTAAAACAAGGCGGCCTCAGTCCCGGCCTCTCTCGCCTCTCCTCGCCGCCGCCGCCGCCGCAGCAGCAGCAGCAGCAGAAGTAGGTCACTGAGGATTCCATTCATTTGTACAGCGCTTTCCAAATAGTTGCGCTTTTCCACTCGGCTCAAGACTTCCAGCTGCAGGTTAACCCTTCAGCGGCCGGCGGCTCTCATGGAGGACAGATTACTGCTGACTGAGCGAAGTCACCATGACGGACTCAGTGAGTAACTCAGGGTTTACTTAGACCGGGTCTACGATGAGGAGGAGGAAGTCTCTGGGTCTGAAGCAGATACTAAAAAGGTTTGACCTCCTGGCCGTCAGAGGACTATTTTTAGACTCAGACTTTATCAGACTGTGAGTATTTCTATTTCTGATCATCTTTATAAATGTTTTCAGGACTCTGTTTCCTTCAGAGTTTTAAGTAAATTCTGATAAAAAGTCAAAGAAAGGGTTTCTCAGATTTCTCAGATATGAGCTCGCCGCCGCCGCCGCCGCTCTGGTTTAAACAGCAGACTGATGTATCAGCCTTACTCTGGCACATACGCTCTCAAACAAGCTACCACAACATACCAGAGGGATCACGTAACTCCACAACCTTCTCAATCTCTCTCTTTTCAGCAGCGTGTCTGTCCTGATGTAAAGTCTACAGAGCTCAAACACGCCTGCCGCCGCTGCTACCTTTCCACGCTGAATCAGCAGACAGGAAGCCACCACAAGCTGACACAGGTGGGAGACCGAGTTTGAACCTGGAGCCACTAAAGGTAGAAGCTCGTTAAAATCTGCTGAAGAAGGTGTTCCTTAGACGGAGTCTTTATAACGAGAGTTTTGTAATCGTCTGCACCGACTGAAGCGATCTTACTTTATCAAAATACAAACTTAATGACACTTCTTCTTCTTCTTCTATTTCTTCCTGACCGCGGTGTGTGCCTCTGCTCTGCCCTCCAGCACAGACACTACATCCCTAACCCGGCATCCGGAACAGCGGTGATTTTCGCTGTACGCCAATTCCCACCGGATCTGTGTGTGAGGCGAATTTCGTGGCGGATTACAGACAGCAGGAATCGCAAGAACTCACAAGAACCCGCTGAATCACGTTCAATCGTGCGATAACGAGTCGTCTCTCTAAAGACAGACACATAGACATATAAGCAGTAGATTGTGTCCTTCCAGAGGAGGAAATCTACTTCTAGACTTCTAGAATCAGCATCTCCTCATCCATGGTGTCATCGGGGTGAAATGACGTCTAAAAACCTTTCACTTGTTCGTCTCCGCCCGTTTGCATGGTGTGAAATACGATCCTCCTGAAACACGGAGTGTTTTATTTTGAAAAGAAGCCGGATGTTTTATTTTGTGTCTGTGCCCGACTTCCTTTCCAGCACGGGTTAATCTGCGCTGAATTTATCCGCCATGCTCCGGCGTCCAGAAAAAATAGAACTCTTGCGATCAGCTGAGGAGTCCGGCGATCCGCAGAGGAACGGAAAGAAGTCGGTGTAAATTGACACGTTAACTTGAATGGTTACGATCAGCTACGATCGGAGGATACGACCTTTTAGGAGACGATCAGGATGAAGGTGGAGGTCGGGGGTAACACTCCTCACTCATAGGTCAACAAACACTGTTAAGTCTCTTATAAACTGGCACATGTTATGATCGAGACCCAAATGTCAGCTGGTCTCTGTTTTCTTAAAGTCCCAACATGAGGACTGTCTGCAGACTAAAGTAGAGCTCAGTGATTTTGTGCACCAGCACGGTCAGTCTGCAGGCTGGAAACTAAAAACCAAAAATCTTAATATTCTGAGGGCCCAGGAGTTGATTTTTCTGATTAACAGGTACAGACATTATTTTATTTTCACTGGCGTAAGGAAGTTTATAAAAATACTGGTACAGAGGACAACATACCCTCAAGAGTAATATCTATCATTTATGATTTTTTAGGGTTTAGAGACTCACTAAGTGTTCTGCTCGCTTCGTTTTGACTTTAGTCGTCCAGAATTATTATTATTAATAGATTAATTAATTATTATTATCTGAATTATAAACATAGAATACTAAATTTCCCTCGGAGGATCAATAAAGTTATTCTTATTCTTAGAGCGGTTTCCAGATGTGTTGTTTTCTGAATCAGACTGATGAAGTCAGAGACGACGTGGTTATAAAAAAAAGGGACTTTTCTTCAGAGTGATCGTCGACCACACGGTGACCACAGACTGAAATCACAGACCTGATGATGACAGAGACGGAGCAGACCATCATCATCATCGGTCTGTTCAGAGGAGAAAACCAAAGCAGGGAGTTTCTCTAAGATCACAGTTTTTATCAGGTTTGGTGGAACATGAGCTGATCTCTGATCCAGAACATGAACATGACGCCTCAATATGACCTACGACAGCAAACAGGAACCTCAGAATCAAGACTGACCATCTCTATAGTTAGACGCCAAAAACTGCTGCGAGAGGGGAGATGTCCGATCAGATGAATGAAGAAACAGCAGGTAATAACAATAAGTCACAAATCTGACTGTTCAGACTTTTCTCAGGAAACACCTCCGTAAGACTGACTCTGTGCTGAAGTTGGCTCTGTCTGTATGAATGAAGACTGTGTGACTGAGGTGGTTAAGACGGTGGTTTCTGCACAAACTAACAGTTAAACATCTGAAACCTGCTCAAATGGAAGCAGGTTTTCTAAAGGTTGAATATCACTGTGTCTTAAAACTACTAAAGAGAGCTTTTCCACTACACCACAGAGAAGAGCTGCCTTCAACACTGGTACATAAGAATCTGTTTGTTAGACACTTTTATGAGACAGAAGTTAAGAGGGAAATTTCTGTGGAGGGGAATGATGTGATCGAAATATTAACAGGCGCGTTCAAGCAACCCCCCTTAAGAATTGTCTCAAAGCTATACAAAGGTTTATTGAAGCAACAGGGAAGAAACACAATGTATATAAAAGAGAAATGGGAAAAAGAACTCGGCATTGAATTATCTGAGAGTGATTGGCAGACCATGCTCAAGACCCAACATACATCAACAAGTTCTAAAACATGGAGGGAGTTCGGTTGGAAAAATTTGACACGTCTATTTATTACACCAAAAATCAAAAATAAACAATTAGGTCAACAACAGCATTGTTGGAGACAATGTGGGCAACTGAATGCCAACCACTCTCATATATTTTGGTCATGTACGAAAATACAGACATTTTGGGATGAGGTCCTGAGAGTCATGGGTAAAGTTTTTGGATATAATTTACCCAAAGATCCCCGGTTTATTTATCTTGGACTGATATTAGAAGATGTAATGGGTAAAGAGGACATATACCTGTTCAAGGTCCTATCTCTTGCAGCTAAGAAAGCCATCACAAGAACTTGGCTAAGAACTGATCCACCTGAACTGAGTGACTGGCTGACCATTGTAGAGGAAATCCGATCAATGGAACAAATGACTTACAGACTACGAATTAAAGCTGAGCTATATGCTGTAAGATGGACTAAATGGCACCTGTATGTAACTGAGTAGTGTTTGCCCCCCTTGTTCTTGTCCTTGTTTTGTTTTGTTTTGTACAGTATTTGCGTGTATGTTTGAAAGTTTGCCTTAAAAGATAAAAATAAAGTTAAAAAAAAAAAAAAAAGAATCTGTTTATTATGGTCACCATGGCAGAGGATAGGTCCTGTATGTTTGTGTGACACGCTGCTGCCAAGAGTGAGATAAGAGCCATGAAGTCATTATCCGATCAGCTGATCAATCATTTCAATAATCAATAACTGGTCGACTATGAAAGCAGCCATTACATTAGTTAGTCCCGCTGTTATGACCCTGAAACACCGATCTCAGCCACGAATGGACCGGTTAGAACCTCAGACCCTCACCGAGTCACTGAGGACAGAACCATCAATCAGAGACTTTCAGTCGATTCATTAAGAGTGTCGGATTTAATTAAGAGTGACTCCAGTGTAACCACGGCGACCACAGGAGGCGCTCTGACTCACACGACATTAAGAGGAAAGTTCATACAGAGAACTTTGATGTTTCTGCTTCATATTAAACAATAAAATGGAGCTTTAAGTGCAGCCGCTGCCCTCTGTAAACCCTGATGGAAACTCCAGGTCATCGTGTGAGAGCGTGAGTGTGTGTGTCTGTGTGTGTGTGTGTGTGTGTGTGAGCGTGTGTGTCTCTCCCTCTCTGCAGGGCAGGACCATGATGTCAGTCCGGCCTCAGCCATCAGATGTGTTGCTGAATGCAGATGTTGCCATAGGTACACACAGGCGCATGCTCTCCAGCAGCAGCAGCAGCAGCACTTCTTTCTATTTTTCATGAGCCCAGTTGGTTGCCAGGGTTTTTGTTTCCATGGTCACGCTGCAGTCTGATGCAACAAAACCCAGCCAGAACCCCCCCTGGACGCCTTGGCGCAAAACCAGCCAAGAGAGCGATACAGCACTACAGACCGGCACACTGACTGACTGACTGACTGACTGACTGACTGACTGATGTCTCCAGTGCCAGCTGAGTTAACAGTCCACACACAAACCCCCCGCAGCAGCATCCTTCTTCCACATTCACTCTTTATGAGACGGTTTCATAACAGCAGTGATTCAGCTTTTTATTCCTCTGGATGGAGATTCAGGAATGTTTGGGACAGCAGACGGACCCTCGTGCCAGTGAGGAGCCCCCGTGTGTGTGTGAGAGAGAGAGAGAGAGAGAGAGAGAGAGAGAGAGAGAGAGAGAGAGAGAGAGAGAGAGAGAGAGAGAGAGAGAGAGAGAGAGAGAGAGAGAGAGAAGTTCAGCAGATGTTGGGTTCAATAATGAGACCGATCAACGACTTCTACACACTCCTCTGTCACAGCCAGAGTCTGACAGTGATGTCTGTTGGATATATGGACACTGAAGTGTGGTAACTGGCACCAGCCCAGAGTCAGAGGTCCAGCACATCCCTCCTATCCTGTCCTCAAATATGAGATTTCAAAAACGGAGTGGTACATGGTCGTCCTGAAAAAACCTGCTGCTGCTGCTAATCTGTTTTATCTAAAGAAACGAATCAGGTGCATAAAGGCAGATAGGAGACAGGGTGATTGTTGTCTGTTACACTGCTACACACACACACACACACACACGCACACACGCACCTGCAACATCACATCTTTTACTCCTCACAGACCGAACACACAGACCCAGACCTGGACAAGAGGCTCGTATGACAACAACAACGAGGGCTGGGCGATAAATCGATAACGATATATATTCAAAATTAATTTCCCTCATTATCAATATAAAACATGATCAATATGTTTTTCAATAGTCGTCATTCTGACATGTTTTGGTCGACTATACGAACAGCCAATGAAAAGTGGAGTGTCTCCGGGTCTGAACCAATCATGTTCTGAATTAGAACCAAGTATCAACCAACTGCTGCGTCGTAGCAGACAGCAGCTCCACCCAACCATAGCACTTTAACAGGTGAAGCCGACAGCACTGTTGGTGAGAAACAAAGAAAATGAGTGCTACCCCCGACAGAAATGACCATGAAGGCTCAACAGATGACCACATCAATGTCAACCACAACACTGGCGTTAGGAAAACGTCGGTGGTGTGGAGGTATTTTGGTTTTTGGAGGTCGGACATGAAGCAGAGTAATGTGGACTGTAAATTATGTCGAGTACATGTTCTCACAAAGTCGGGGAATACCTCAAATCTTTTTCACCACCTGAAGCAGCGCCACGCCGCAGAGCACGCGCAACGCAAAAGGTTACAAACCCCGAGAGGAGCGAGGAGCCGAAACAGACGACCATTCAGTCGGCTTTCTCTAGAGCGACGCCTTACGACAAAACGCCAAAGAGACACAAAGACCTCACAGATGCAGGAGATTATTGTGTTGGAAAAGACATGAGACCAATAAACACTGATAGATTTTTATATCCTGATATTGATCGATATCAGCTGATAGGAAATAATATATCGTTATAAACTTTTCCCCGTATCGCTCAGCCCTACCAACATCACATTTCAACAGCTGATGATCTCTCTTTTCAGTTCAAGTTAAACCTCCTTCCTCCTTTATTATAAAGTAAAATTCATGAAGTATCAGACATTCGTTATTAAAATAAACACTAACACAGTTAGAGTAAATGCAGATAATCGAGCTAACCTGAGCGATACTGCTGTTTACTTTTTCAAACCGTTGTGAAAAATATCAGAGCGTGTTCTTACACTCTTTTCTCTGTCAACACTCTTCTTAAATGTCAGCTGTACACGACACCAGTTGGTAAAAGTATTTTGTGTTTCACCTCAGCGCCACAGGTGCAGCAGCATCACTCAACCCTGCGTATAATCGAAGCGTTTGATCGGCTTTAACTTCTGCCTGAAACATTCTTGTATATAAAGACCAACACTGAAAACTATACTTGTGGTCATTTATGAAACATAACTTCACAAAGTCTACCCAGCAGAGCATCTTCACTCACAGCTACATACTCTCTGTACTGTTGGCGTCACTAATAACCATGTAGGAGTGAACTGAGGGGCCATCTTTAAACCTCCTCAGTTCATTCCTTCATGATTATCTGTGAAGGCCTCAGGACACATGTTCATATTCGGTGTATGGAGACGTGATCTTACCTGGGTTGTTGGCCTCTCCTTCGAGGACCTGCAGCTCAGTGCACTCAGCCAGAGAGTGCTCCAAACAGAGCTGCAGGAAGCGGGCCTGGGTCCGGCTCACCCTCTTCAGCAGCGACAGCAGAGCCACCGTCTGCTCGCACTCATTCCAGCCCTTGAACCAGCTCGCAAGCACTCCCACCTGATCACGAAACATCATGGTCTGTGAGGCGGGGTTTCAGAGGGGATGGAGTATTGTGACACCACCAGGATGGGCTGAGAGCGACTTCACGCAGATGGTTGGGGTGGGAGAGCCGTGTTTTTATCAGCTGATGGTTGTTTCAATATGCAGGCCGGAGGGGGGATCAGGCAGTTGTTGAGGTTTCAGCTGAAGCGCTGTGACGCCATTCTGAGCTTTCTTGGCAGCAGCAGCAGCAGCAGGTCAGCAGTCTCTGGAGATATTCCTGCACCGTCTTCTTCTGTCTGATAATCTCTATTGTTGAGATTTGAGGGGGACAGGGGGTTGGGTGGGGGGGTATGAGTTGCACTTCTAGCTCGGCATTAGTTGATATGAGCTGCTCTCGGCTGCTAAGTCCCAGAGGGTTGATATTTGATGAGTCAGCCTTCTTCTTCCAGCACACTGTGTCACATCAGCTTCAGCCTCGCTGGCATTTTTCTTCTTCAGGGAATCCCTCTCAAGCCTGCAGGAGGAGGAGGATGGTAGAAGTTAGAAGAAGAGAGAGAGAGAGAGAGGAAAGATGTTTAACCCGAGAAGACGATCGCCATCGGGTGATTTTCCTGATGTTGTGTTTGTCTGAGTATCATGGGTCTCTGAGTATCTTCAGCATTTCCTTTGACATCTTTGAAGACATCTTTGTTTCCCTGATCCAAAACCTGTTTTTTCCTACAGACACGTGTTCACAGGGTGATTTTAGTGATGGAGGGTAAAGTAGGTTTGGGTGGGTTTGATAGCTGCATGTAGAATAAGGTCAGTAAGAGTGGTCCTGGAGTTTACATGCTATCTTTATTTAGAGCAGTGGTTATGAATAACTAGAGATGCACCGATCTGATATTTGGATCGAATATCGGCTCTGATATTGACAAATTAACTGGATCAGATATCTGATGAATGACGCCGATCCAGCGTTCTGATCCAGTCTTCATTTTCTTTTAATTAATATCAAACACAGAAACAGTGATTCTGTTCGCTCCATATTCTGTCTGTCTATGCTTTTGCACTAAATGTTAACATGTAAATCTAACTTCTTTTTGCTCTGTGCTAATGATCAACTTGTTAATAAATAATATTGAGTAAATTTATATCTGTGTTAATTTGTTACCTTTTTTTGTCAAGTCTGATGCCTTCAGTCACAGGGTGAGGTATACAGTTCACTCATTCATCAGTAGTATTGGATCAGTATCGGATATTGGCCGATACACTCAGCCCAGGTATCGATATCGGATTGGATCAGAAAAAAATGGATCGGTGCATCTCTATGAATAACTATCACAAAGTGGTGACCTTAAGGGAATTCATATGGAGATAAGAAATATTTGAGTCAGCTTTAATCATTTTTACTCCAAATCTGACAGATTTTGTTTCTCTCTCCTGTTATTGTGCCGAGGACCCGGAGTCTGAACCAGAGAAGACTCACATGACCCAGGAATGGGGGGAGAACAAACTAACTTTACAGTTCATGTATATATATGGTTAATTTGTTATACGTATATATTGTTATATAATGTCCTATTTTGATGACAAGTACTACGGTGATAGTGATGGTGTTACTAATTTTAGTGATAATGTTCTAGGGTTAATAGCTAAGGCTTTTGAGGCTCTACATGACTCTATCTCTCTTTTGTTTGGATCAAATTATTTCTAGAAAAAAATATATATTTCGCAGTTTTCTATTAACAGACATATCCAAACGTAACCCCCCTCCCCCAAGGCAACAAAAAACAGATTAAACAGAAAAATATAAAAGTAGTCAGACAGTGACCTCTTCTCATAAGTTCAGAAAATTGACGTCAGCCGTGACTTTGAGTCATCCTCCAAAGATGTTATTGTTGAAGTTATTCAACGTCGGTTGTGTGGCGGTGGTTCAGGTATCTCCAAAGTGACATCGAGCAATTAAGCCAATGTGTAAGGTATGTCGGCGATCGGTGCTCTCAAAAACCAGCAACTCAACAGATCTGTTCTATCATTTGAAGAAGTTCTTCCCGAGTGATTATGCGGAAAGCATGAAAATGTGGGCGGAGTCTACACAGCCTGTCACTGCTGACGGTACGATTACCATTAACAGTTTAGCCACAACTAGCAGTGCAGCCACCAGACCAAAGCAATCAATCGTGTCATCTACATTTACATCATCTAATGTTTACATTTGAAGGCGTCTTCATTATCTCTGAGGGGAGATTTGTTTATTCTGGGTCTTTCATACCTGCAGAAACACTCAGGACTGTAAACTAGTTCACTGTGTTACTAAGTATTTATCTACATTTGTTGTTCTGTTGAGTTAAAACTTTAAAAAATATATTTTTCTAAGTGTGTCTTATTCAATTAGCTTTGTTATTTACTTTGTATGTTAATAAAATGTTGAACTAATCTCTAGTTTCTTTAGTTTTTAGTTCAGATGCTTTAAAACAGGCAGTTAAAAAAAAATCGTGATAATAACCGAGATCGGACGATGTGACAAAATATATCATGATCATTTTTTTGCCAAATCGCCCAGGCCTATAGTCAGGTGTAACAGTCTGAGCACAAATTTACATTGAATATCTGTGTCCAATAGTCGCTGAGGGATGTGCATGACCAAAACATAAGTCCTGCACCTCTACATGACTCTCCCTCTCTCTCTGTCAGACTTTTACAGGGCAGTAAAATAAAGAAGAAGAAGACAGCCTCCTCAGTGGAAATGCGACAGTCTCCCTGTTGCTTCAGCTCTGCAGACTTACTGCTGCTGCTGCTGCTGCAATGGAGGAGAGAGAAGAAGAAGAAGATGCCTTCATAAACTCATTCATTTACACACATCACCTCCTCCAATGCGTTTGGGCAGCTTGTGGCATTTACCACCGAGACAGGAATAAATAAATGTCGTTTTTTGGTATCCACCCATTCCTAAAAATACTGCCGTCGGTGCTCTGAGAGCTGCATCCCGGAATTTTCCAAAGAAAGGACGCCGGGTTATGGACGCCGTCGGTGGGGCTGTGTACCGAGGAGACTTCCCTCGGATAATAAAAAGACGGATCAGTGTTTTCTTCTCTGTTTTTGAGGCTGGATCAGTGAGTTTTTAACCGAATCACAGTCCGTTTAGGAGGAGCAGACTGCTGGTTTCGGGGCAGAAGGTTAGCCGCTGTCTAAAACTGTCACTTTGCTTCATCAGCACACACACACACACACACACACACACACACACACACACACACACACACACACACACACACAAGGAATGACCGTTGGCGGATACGCGAACTGTGAACGTGTCTGAGCAGTTTGAACAAAGAAAAACTGATTTATTTCACCTCGAATGTCCACGATTCGAGTCAAAACTGTGTAAAAACGTGATTAAAACACGGTAAATCAGCGCGGGCAAAGTTAGGATCCCCAACAGCCGTCAGCACCGTGACTAACGGTATGAACAAACTCTGAGCGAACTGACGCGGCAGAACTTCGTCTCCGTTCATTGTGTACGGCGAGCGGCAGGTTCGCGGCTCAAAACACTGACATACAAAGCGACGCGACCAAAGCCGGCGGCGCCACTTTTGACAGATTTCTCCCTTCAGTGTGTTATAACAGCCATTTCAAGAGGATGTTGGTTTACTTTTAACTACAACACAATTACGGAGAGACTTAAACATTAGACAGATTTATAAATTCACACCAACAAGTGACCGGCGAAGCTGGACGAAGGGAGTTCAGGCGAAATAGTCCGTAGGAACTGACATAAAGGCTGGAAATTCTCCGAACCGTCACCATTTTAGATCTTTTCCCCTCAGTGTTGGGTCAACATTTTACTTGAACACTGAAGCCCAAAGTTTGAGCGGTCATTGTACAAGAAAAAGCCCGTAAAGAAACTTCTGAAATCAATGTTTCAGTTGTCAGAGAAACCGAGTTCGCGGTTCTTACCTGCTGCCGGCGAACTTTGCATCATTCGGGTTTGTCTCAACGGGCGTCGGGCTCAGCTTCGGTTCGGTCCGGGGAGCGGTGCCCCTTTACTCCGGGTCTGTGAGATTTACCATCTTGACTAACTTTTCCTCTGTGTGTCTCCGGCAGACAGGCTGCTGCTCGGTTCCTCTGCTCTAAGGAGACAGGCGGTCAAGTTAGGCGGATATACTACAGAACTTCCTGTTAAAAACCCTTCACAATAAAGGCACGGACTACCTGTTGCGGGGAGAAACCATTTTCAATTCACATTTTTTTATTCTTTTTTTTTTTTTCATTTTATCTTTTTAAATTGTAAACATTTAACAAAACATGCAAAGGAGTGAAGTACAATATGAATAATAATAAAAATAACGAGAAATAAAAAAAACACAACACAAACGAAGAAAATAAAGAGAGACAAAAACAAATAAAAAACAAAAAAATGACAAATTTTGAATTATTTTCATTTTTATACTTTATCTCATTCAGTTAATATTTTAAAAATTCAATAGAAACAAGGAAAAATCTCAAACGTGAATAAAAAGGAGCAGAAAGAAGAAACTCTTCCAGAGTCTGCCCCTCTTTCATCAGATATTAATCAACTAAACACATAACAATAAGAATAAACAAGAGCTGCAGGCCAACATGACTTTTTACAGTTAATTATTTCTTATGTTAAAAAGAATGAACATATTTCCCTGTATTCACTCAACATACTGACTTTTCTTTGTTCAGATTAACTGTAACACAGTGCTCCTTCACTTTAGCTCTTAATTTTGGCGGCCAAATGTAAAGAAACCTGAAGCAGACATACAAAAAGAGCATCGAACAGAACATTACAGAACATTATCGCACCTCTGAATCTCCTAACCCTAACCGACCTACGACGACGACGACGTTTCACAGCCATTAGGAATGACCAATCTGAGCCCAGCCAATCAAAGACGAGGGAGGGAGGGACCTTCCTCTACCACCATACATTAGAAAAAACGCGTCCTGGGGGAGCTTTGAGTAATTTCGCCATGGGCACTAAAAAGGCTAGGGCCGGCCCTGGTCAAAATCACACACCCCCAAACGGTCATCCCAGCTTTCCATCCCCTGAGCCATTTTTGTCAATGAATGTGGGAAAAATATCAACTATTTAACTTTAGAAATATTAACTGTTTCAGCGTTTAGGGGGTGTGACGGAGCGGCCCTCACTGACTGTGGGCAGCGCACTGAGCCAAACATTTCCCTCCCCGACAGCGTCGTTCATTTCCCTCCAAACAGCTCGACTTTTCCGTCCTCCTTCTCTGTAGGATCATAGGGTAACCAACAAAGGTTTCACACTCGGAGCTCTATCACTTAACTTTAACAAACATTCACATAGATATTATTCATCCCTTCACTTACTTACCGGGCGTCCAATCCCGCCATCCTGCCGGATCATGTTTCCAAATAAGGAAACAGAGCGCGTGATTTCCGGGTGTAAAATAGGTGTGTATGGAGGGTCAAAGTGGTCACATGATGCAAGAAAAATTAATTCCCTTGTCAGAATCCCTAAAAATTAATGCTCCATTGATTTGTTTAAAAATTTATTTAAAATTGTAAAAACTTAAAGGAAAAGGTCAGAAGGTTAAAAATGATTTAAATGTGAATAAATTTGTTTTTTATAAACTTGTGTAATTAAAAAACGTCCACTGGGAGGGGCTAGTGTTGGGGGGTCGAAAGAAGGCTGCCTGAGCCTTTCTTTAAATCAGTTTTTTTGTGTGGAAGGTAACTGTCAAACTGACTTCTGTAGTGCTGCTGTGTTTCTGATTTTTTTACTCGAGGGAGAATCTTTACTTAAATTTTGTAAATAGTATTTTACCCTTTGTAGATGTGTCATTGTCATTATAAATTCTGAGTAACTTTCCTGTGAATGCCGCGTCTTAAATGTCAATGCTTTTATTTTTTAGACAAGATCATTCAACTTCCGGCTCCGACACGGTTGGTTTGACAGAGGGAGGCTCGCGCTGCTCGTTTCCACATGCTAATCATTAACAGTGGAGCATTACGTCAGGGGCTTGGCAGCGCGAGGAAGCACCAAAATAGAGAGAGAGAGAGAGAGGGAGGGAGAGAGAGAGAGAGATAGAGAGAATAATATCAGAGGGAGAGAGAGAGAAATATCAGAGAGTGAGAGAGAGAGAAATATCAGAGAGAGAGAGAGAAATATCAGAGAGAGAGGGAATAATATTAGGGATAGAGAAAAAAAGAGAGAGAGAGAATACTATCAGAGAGAGAGAGAGAGAGAGAGCATACATTACGCACTACAGCGGGGTGCCGCAGCTCAAGGAAGAACATTTATGATAATTTCTTCATGGAAATACAATCAGACCGAGACGCTAAGACAGAAGAACTACTGTGTCTGTAAAATGATTAATAAGGTGATTATTACTTCAAGGAGATGATAAAGAAATGATTATAAATGTTCTTCCTTGAGCTGTGGCACCCCGCTGTAGTCTGTAATGGACTGGCCTGAGGTCTCTCTACAAACAAGCGTCTGCTGGAAGAGAGTAGGTGAGTTGTGTTTAGTCTCTTTGTTAAAGAAATGAGTCAAAGTTAAAAAGATGTTTGGTGTCTAGTACTATGTCTGTGACCCTATATGTCCTGTTGATGAAGTTAGGTGCTGTTCTAAGCATTATTTGTGGCTATAGAGTGGCGTTTTGGTTGAGGTTTGTTTATGGCTCCTCAGACCGCTGTGTATTACTATCCTGCGGTCGTTACTAAAGTTGGTATAACTAGAGAAGCAAGCGGTCGACAACATTCATCTCTGGAGGGGGGTCTAACTCGGTATTACCGTGTGTTTGACCCTAACTAAATTTTACACTGGAATATCCCTTTAGAGCTCCCATAAGAAACTTTGGTTTGTGTTAAATTTGATGTCCCCTCTGGACAAACTTGATTTTCCTACATTTATGATAATCTAAAAAGTTCAGTCCATTGATCATGTAAAAACAGAGTATTTGGATATCAAAAAGTGGCCTAAGCATTGAAAAAGTCTAGTATCTTGAAATCATGGCATTTGAATTTTCATTTTATAGAAATTTATAGAAATAAATAAAAGGCATTTCATTATTTTATCTATTTCTCTCTTTATTTTTACTTATTTTATCTATTATTTATCTTCTCTTTCTACTGTATTTGCACTGGAGTTACTGTAACAAAAACAATTTCCCCCTGGGGATCATTAAAGTATTTCTGATTCTGATAAACCTCCTTATTCTGATTTTTAGGTATTTGTTTTTAATCACTCTAAAGCACTCTGAATAGTGTTTTACACTGTTGACACTGCTGATTTAATAAGCCCCCTATATGATCTCTATCAAACACACTGATATACAATAAAAAGACTAAAACACCTTGTTTTGAGGGACATACATGAAATCTTCCTGAAGATCCTGAGAAGTTACAGACAATATCACAGCTTTTAGTGATCTGGGACATACAGTAGAGTTAACCACCAAACCAAGACCAAAAAAAACACAATTAACCTGGATGTATATGAGAAAAGATTCAGGGGAATAAATAAAAGTACTTACCTGAGTTTAAAGTCAAGCAGAGTTGAGAAGTTTCTGTAAACTGGATTTATAGAGCACTGGTTCTTAACTGGTCTCACTCAAGGAACCACATTTTCTCACGGTCCTTGAGTCGTGATCCACTTTTATAAAATTCAAACCAAGAAAATTTATTTTTTATATAAAAAAAACCTTTAAAGACTCCAATCTTTAAAACATATTCACTTGTTTTATTGAGTAAAGAGCATTTCAGAGCGCATGAAGGGGACAACATGAGGAACTACTGAAGGTGCATGTAAAGAAAATATTGAATATCTAATAAACCCATCCATCTATTTTCTACCGCCTTTTCCTGTCTAATATCTAATAAAAATCGTATTAAATATTCACTTTTTTGACCAGTAGTTTGTGACCCATTCAGAACGTCTCCGGGACCCACCAGTTGAGAACCACTGGTATAGAGGACTGTCACTTTAGAGGTGAAAGTAAAGTCATGAGAATCCTTCAGCTCCCCCCTGTGGCTGACTCAGGTTACTACATCAAGAAGGAATAACTTCCTTTTAACATTTAATCGGCGAATTTAAAAATTAGAATCAAAGTTTGGTTTTCAATATATTTTTTTGAACAAATTAAGTTTTTAAAAATTAAATTAAATTAAAAAGAAAAAAAAATCACATAAACCTAAAGTAAAAGTCTGTTTTAGAAACGTGTGGTCTCAAAGGTATAAAAAAATATATTTAACTTTTAGTGAGTAGTCGTGTTAAAAGCATATCTGTTTAAATATTTTTATTAAAGTCTAATTAAACTGAAAGTAAATATCTAAATGGTAACTGAACATAAAACCCTTTTTAATATTTTAGTCCGGTTGTTTAGTGTGAGACCCGGAAGAGTACGCTCACTTAGACCATTTAACACTTAAATAAACTCTTTTTCACTGTAATTTTCCTCATTTTATCGCCTTAATCGTGTCTGTCAGCGTGTATTAAAGCTGGATTATCTTGTCACGTACTCCACGTAGCGGCGGACCGACAGGAGGTGAGTAAGACCAGGAAGTGAAGCGTCAGTACAGATCAGCTCTCTAAGTTCTCCTGAAAACTGAAACTCCTCCTGAAAACTCTCAGAGTTTCTGCTGAAGAACTCAGAGCTTCAGTCCGTGGACAGAGAGGGTCGTGATGAAGATGAAGATGAAGATGGTGGTGGGCTCCCTGCTCCTCCTCCTCCTTCTGTCCGGATCTACAGACGGCAGGTGTTTCTGTCAGGTGAGAGACTTTTAACTCCATAACGTAGACTTTAACTTTAGTTTATTTCCTGTTAACTCCGTGTTAGTGATTGAAAAAGTATTGAATAATGAGAATACTACAGGACTGGTAGGTTCAAAAACCTGGAAGTGAATTCAGACTTGACGTAGCTGTAAAAATAAAAAAAGATAGAGCTGTAAAAAAAAGTCTGTTACTACATGATAAACGACCTTAACTGGAAATGTGTTTGTGAAAAATGGAGCAAAGACAATATGTAGACACTTAATATGTACTACTTAATGAAAAACAGCCTGTTTACTGTATTACATCTGATGTTTACCTCAGTGTTGCATCACCTCTTCTTGTACCAACAGTCTGAAAGAGTTCGCTAACTGAGGAGGAGACAGTTTCTGGGTCATATTTATGTGTTTTATAATACAGCAAATGTTCTCAGTGGGGGACAAGTCAGGACTGTATCAAGTCAAATTAACTTTATTTATAGAGCTTTTTAAAAAACACACAAAGTTTGATCCAAAGTTCTTTACAGCAGGAACATTTGGAACAGACTTTAAACAAAATCAGAACTCATCTGATATTATAAGGTGTATATTATTATTATTATTATTATTATTGATATTATTGTTCTAGATCAAGCTTCATCCAGGGGTCTTTTATTGGTACGCAAACCACACATTGCATTTTATCTTATGCACTCTGTTCATGCAAAAATACTGGTATGACTGACATGCTTTTCTTTTTACCTTTAAATCGTCTTTAATACTTTTTTCCTCCTGAACTGTTTTTTATGTAGATGTATTTTATTTTATTTATTTTCTTTTTATGATGTATGACAGTGTTTAAATGTCTGTGCTGCTGCAGCCCGATTTTCCCATTTTTGGGACATAATGAAGTTGAAGTGAAGAACATTTTAAAAAACACACTCGATGTTGAGGTAAAAACATACATGTACTTTACACAAAGGACAGGATAGCAAACTGGGTAAGAGCTGAATTCAGAAATGAGGTTATGAGAAGGTAAGAGAGGAGAAGTCTGTATGAGTTTTTTGAGACAGTCCAGAGAGTCTGCAGATCGGATGGTTAATGGGCCTTACTGTGTTGTGTGGTGATATTAGTCCAGTCATGTATCTGGGGGCAGTGTTGTGATAGGTCTTATATACAAACAGTTGAATTTTGTAGGGTATTCTAAATTGAACAGGAAGCCAGTGCAGTGATGCTAGTGAAGAAGTGATGTTATCTCTGTGTTTACGTCTGCAGAACAATCGTGCTGCTGCAGCATTTTGAACCATTTGTAGTCGTTGTATCGATGACGTGTTGATACTGAAGTACAGGGAAGTACAGAAGTCGAGCCCGGAGGATATCAGGGCGTGGATGACTTTCTCCAGATCTTTATATGACAGAAATGGTCTGATTTTGGAAATGATCCTGAGCTGAAAGAAACTAGATGAGAGTGATAATTTGTTTATCGAATTTTAGGTTATGATCAAATACTACTCTAAGGTTCTTCACATGTTCTGAGAGGTGACTGAGAGACGGTGTTGTTGGGATGGAAAACTATGATCTCAGTTTTACTCTCATTTAACGGTAGGAAGTTGTTGGCCATCCATACCCGAATATCCTCCAGGCATCAGTCCAGGACTCTTCTCCTACAGAGCCATGCTGTTGTAATCTCTGTTTGGGATCATATGAAGGTCTTCCCTGAAAAAGTCTTTGTCTGGATGGATGCAGATGTTGCTCCTAAATCTGGAGATGCTGTTTAAAACTGAGGATGCAGCATCTATGAGTTACAGTTCTTGGTTGGAAGTCCAGTTGTCCTTTCTAAAAGAGTGTTCGATCTTGATTCATCAAACCACAAGACAGTTCATGGAGAAGTGATTTTAAGTCCTACTGACTTTTGAACCGTGCGTTCATAACGAGCACGTCCCTCTCTTGTTTGCGGCGGCAAAGGAGGAGGAAACGTCCATGACCTCCACTTTTGACTCATCAGACCAGCGTAGTTTTCTTCTGAAAGGGGCGGAGCCTCAGAGACGTCATTTACATTTCTCAATCCTATTTTTATCATATCACAACTTCTGCAGTGGTTCCTGTCTCAGTTTCTCTTTCTAGGTGTTGGTTTGAATCAAACTGAAATGTTGTCTTTGACTGTTTTAAATCAAACAAAAGCTTTAATGATTTACAGACCATAATAATCTGTTTTAATCAAACCTGAGACCAGGTCCCAGCTTTATTACTGTAGGGCTTATATGACAAGGATGGGTCAATATTACTGCTTTATTACGTTTACTGCTGCAGATGATTAATCAATCAATCAATCAATGCCTTTATTTGTCCCCCTGTGGGGGAGCACACAAACATACAAACACACAAAACAAATAGAGAACACAATACACAAGCCTAATAGATAAAAATACAGGCTGACACTTATTTAAAGGGATATTCTGGTGTAAAATTTAGTTAGGGTCAAACCCACAGTAACACCGAGTTAGACCCCCCGTCCAGAGATGAATGTTGCCGACCGCTTGCTTCTCTAGTTATACCAACTTTAGTAACGACCGCAGGATAGAAATACAGAGAGACACGCCCTCAACCAAAACGCCACTCTATAGCCACAAATAATGCTCAGAACAGCACCTAACTTCATCAACAGGACATACAGGGTCACAGCCATAGTACTATATTCAGAGTTGTTCTAACTCCTAAGAAAACATAAACTTAAGTCGCTAACTCTGTAGTCAATAAGCTGGGCCAATAAACTTCTACTGTGGTCAATTGAAAAGGTAAAGGTGTTTTTATTGAGCCGAATTATCAATAAAATCATGATTTTGTTAACAGGTATGGATTTATGTGCTGTCGAGTTAGTATATTTGAACAAGAGCACAGTAAAGTTAAATCAGATAATTTTCCAATGAGGTTCTGTTACTGAATGGAACTACGCCATGATCTACTGAGGTTAGTACATATAGGGTCACAGACATAGTACTAGACACCAAACATCTTTTTAACTTTGACTCATTTCTTTAACAAAGAGACTAAACACAACTCACCTACTCTCTTCCAGCAGCCGCTTGTTTGTGGGGGAGCCCTGACGAGTTGATCACAGAGTGCAGCGGAGTTTCGCAGCTCAAGGAAGAACATTTATGATCATTTCTTTATCATTTCCTTGAAGTAATAATCACCATATTAATCATTTTACAGATGCGGTAGTTCTTCTGTCTTAGCATCTCAGTCTGATTGTATTTCCATGAAGAAATGATCATAAATTTTCTGCTGCACTCTGTGATCTACTCGTCAGGGCTCCCTCACAAACAAACATCTGTTTTTACAGGCTGACACTCAGTGAAAAAGTTGATGTTTGTTCTGCTTTATTCTCTTTTGCTCTAAAGTTAAACTGATGTACTAGTGTTTGTAAAAAGGTGGATAATATTACACAGTTAATGATAAAGAATAATAAGACAGAGTGACGAAAACAGGTCATGAAACGTCATTCGACACTCTTCAATACTTCTGTGTGTTTATTTAAAGATGTCTGCCGACAGGACAACCACACCTGCTGCTTTCTCTAACAAAAACAGACCTGAAGGAGAGAGCGCGCTCAGCCATAACTACAGTTTGATCATGTGATCAGCAGTCGAATCTTCCTCTGTCTCGTTATTCGTATAAAATGTGTGTAGATGTGCTTTAGACAGACTTCAGTCAACCTCAGAGTGAAAAAAACACCAAAACAAACGTCTCTCTGTGATGTTCATGTCCACGCAGCTCACAGGTGACCTGGACGACTGCACCTGTGACGTGGAAACCATCGACAAGTTCAACAACGAGCAACTTTTCCCCAAACTGAAGAAACTTCTGGAGTCCGACTATTTCAGGTTCTACAAGGTAAAGACACACACACACACACACACACACACACACACACACACACACACTCACAGGTGTGTTCCTGAGCTCTTGTTGAGTTGGACTGATCCTCCTCGGCAGGTGAACCTGGACAAACCGTGTCCGTTCTGGATGACCAGCAGTCACTGCGGTCTGAAGGCGTGCGCCGTGAAGCCCTGCGAACCCGTGAGTCCTCGTCACGCCATCGTCATCATAGACGTTTAAGTTATAGATGTACCAAAGCTGCTCAAATACATGAACCTCAGCTGACTGAAACTGTGTCTGTTCACAGAGCGAGGTCCCAGAGGGGATCAGATCGTCCCCCCACAGCAAGGTGAGTCCCTCAGAGGTCAGTCTTCGACCTTCAACCCTCTGATGTGGAAATATGAGCTCCAAAGAAATCAGGGTCACTTCTCTGGGATGTTTTAGGACTATAAAGTGAATTTTGGGCCAATCAAAGCTAACCAATGTATCAGTGGAGGTCTTAAAGGGACAGTGCAAAATTTTCAGAGGATTATAGAGTGTGAAATCAACCTGTGTGAAATCTCCTGGATCGTTTTTGTTTCTGTGAACTCAGAGACAGTCTGTCATGTCTATATATGTCCTCAAAAGCCACCATAGTTTCAACACGAAGAGCATTTTTAGTTATCACCGATATTCTGCACACTCTTGTCCAAATACCGGATTTATTTGAAGGGGTTAAGTTTAGGAAAAGGGAACGTTCAAAGAAAGAAATGACACCTGAGGGGAAAACACAGATTTTGGAGGGACTGCTGGTGGGAATGTGACGTTACAGTAGTGGTGTGTCAGTCTTGAACGAACAGATCAAAAGAACTAGTTCTTTTTGATGAACGAAATGAACTAGTTCTCCCCCCCTAAATGACCCGTTCAATCCGTTCAGTTCTTTTGATTGGCTGAAGAGGGACTGCTTGCCTGTCTTATCCTATCGTCGCGCCTCGTTCTGTGTGTGGGTGGGGCTTAGAGAAGCAGCAGCAGTACTACTGAGCTGACTGAAAGACCGGAATGACCGAGTTGACTGAAAGAACGGGTCAAATGAACGAAAGACCGAGTTGAACGAAAGATCCAGACGGTGAACGAGTTGACTGAAAGACCGAGTTGAGTGGCCGCCGCACGAGGCCCGACAGCCGAGCCGGAGCGAGCGGGACAGTCACACACACGCAAAGGCACACAGCTACTGCTGCAGTCAGAGGCAGAGAGACAACTATTAATATGCATTTGCACTGTCTGTTGCTGTTGTCTGTACTTTTTATTATTGTTTTTAATGCACTTCAAAATAATAAAAAACCATTAAAAACCTTATATATAATGTATATATATATATTTTGTTACTCCTACTATAATTTTATATTACAAGTAGTGCAGTGAGATCGCAGCGTTGGACCGGGGGTGGGAAGTGGAGAGTGCAGCGGTCACAGCGTCGGACCGCGCGGGGGGGGGGGGACACGACTGACTAATGACCGAAATGACCGAAAAGAACGAAATGAACGGGTCTTTTTACTGAACGACCCGGAATGATCCGGTTCACTGAAATGACCGGTTTTGCCCACCACTACGTTACAGACCCCTTTGACTGACTGACTGTTTTTTAATTATATTTGAGTCATATTTAGGATTTTGAGACACAGATTTACTCTCAGATTAACAGTTTTGAAATTTTTGACACTGTCTGAGAGTCTAACGAACAAGCTGTGTGTGTGTGTGTGTGTGTGTGTGGGTGTGTGTGTGTGTGTCTGTTCAGTATTCAGCAGAAGCGAATGAACAGCTGGTCGAGTGTGAGCAGGCGGGGCGGCTCGGCGCGGTGGACGTCTCTCTGAGGTGAGTCCTGTCGACACGGATGATCGAAGAACAGAAACACGGAGAACACGTGAAAAAAAAAAAATCCACGATCTGAAGTGAATCCAAGAGTCTTAAAAACAATCATGACATCTTTAAAAATCTGAAGACGTACCTGAAGTGTGACCTTTGACCTCTGGTGTAAAGATGAACTTTGTTTTCACTTCCAGCGACGAGACCAGAAGAGCGCTTCTCAACTGGAGCAAACACGACGACGACGCCGAGCGCTTCTGCGTTTTAGAAGGTAACCTTCACTCCAAAAATGTGAAAATATCTGAATGAGAAACATGAAATAATCTGAGGAGTTTGTGTGAAATACTGGTAATTAAAATGATTCTTAATCTGGAATAAATTAGAGAGAACACCACGCCCCTTTTCAAAGAGCAAAGACCTTAAAACAGCGAAATCATCCTCAGACAAACAGAACTATAACCGACAAAATAACAGAATAAATCATTTACAAAACCATCAAGTTTTAGAAACTGTCCTTTTTTATCTTCCATAGAAACAGAAGGTTGTTGATAAAAGTTGTTTTTAATCTTAATCTGATTATTCTACATTTGAGAAAATCAAACAAAAGTTCAGTGACTGTGATGTTTTTTTATTTTGGTGTTTTTGTTTCCAGACGAGGAGTCCCCGGACTCTCAGTACGTGGACCTGCTGCTGAACCCGGAGCGCTTCACGGGTTACAAAGGACCAGAGGCCTGGAGGATCTGGAACAGCATCTATGAGGAGAACTGCTTCAAGTAAACTCACAACATCACACGTCATATCATGTCTCTTTTATATCTCATATATTATAATGTATATCTGAAGATGGAGAGTCTTTTAAAGGGATTCTTCGTCACATTATAAGGAGTTGGACATTTTTCTGTCCCACTGAGATGATCACAGACTTTCAGACTGACCCAGTTTGGAGATACCAGGATGTCAGGATTGCATAGATGTATGAGAATAGATCTGCGGTGTCTATCTGGAGTAAATCTATCATCACTTCTTTTTCTCAGACCGCTCACCGTGAAGCGTCCGCTCCTCCCTGACTCGTTCCACAGCGGTCCTGGAGGTGAAGGTGGGTCGTCTTCACTTTGACCCCACAGCAGGATTCTCTGTCTTATCTGTGTGTCCGTTCATAAAAACATCTTATTTCTGTTTTTTACAGCGAACACCTTCCACAGATGGCTGCAGGGTAAGATGAGTGTTTTTCTGTTTGGAGACAAAGAGAGGGTCTGAGGTTCGGTCCTGGGTCCTGGTTCACTCTCTCCGTCTGTGTCCGTCAGGTCAGTGTGTGGAGAAGAGGGCTTTCTACAGACTCATCTCAGGCCTCCACGCCAGCATCAACATCCACCTGAGCGCCAGATACCTGCTGGACGGTGAGACAAACTGTCTGTCTTTCTTCTCCCCTCTCCTCCGCTGTGCCGTCATTGACCCTCTCCGTGTCCTGACCCTTCAGATCGCTTGTTCCAGGAGAGGTGGGGTCACAACGTGTCCGAGTTCAGACTGCGTTTCGATTCAGAGCTGACGGCCGGCGAGGGTCCCAAAAGGCTTCGTAACCTTTACTTCCTGTACCTGATCGAGCTGCGAGCGCTGGCGAAAGCTCTGCCGTTCTTCCAGCAGCCGTCCTTCCGTCTGTACACCGGCAGACCTGAGGAGGACCAGAGTCACAAAGACCTGCTGCTGGACATCCTGCAGGTGGCCAGGTCAGTGTGTGTGAGCAGGAAACCAACACCAGGACCAGAAGGACCAGCAGATCCTCGTCCTGGTGTCCCAGTTTGTAGTGAAACCTGTTTGCTGAACTTGTTTCTTCTTAATCCAGATCTTTCCCGCTTCACTTCGATGAGACGTCTTTGTTTACAGGAGACGAGAAGGAAGCCGCCAAACTGAAGGTCAGCAGCAGACGTTTAAAACTCTGCTTTAAATGGATGTATTTACTTTATATTATTATATATACTATTATATATTTACTTTATATTTACTTCTATATTATTATATACTTACTAATATATTTACTATTTTGTAGTTATATATAATATTATATATTTACCACTATATTTACTTTTATATTATTATATATACTTTTATATATTTACTTTATATTATTATATATATTTACTAATATATTTACTCTTTTATAGTTATAAATATTATATATTTACTTTATATTATTATATACTTACTAATATATTTACTATTTTGTAGTTATATATAATATTATATATTTACCACTATATTTACTTTTATATTATTATATATACTTTTATATATTTACTTTATATTATTATATATACTATTATATATATTTACTAATATATTTACTCTTTTATAGTTATAAATATTATATATTTACTACCATATTAACTTTTATGTAATAAATATACTATTATATATATTTACCACTATATTTACTTTTATATAAAATATTTATACTATTGTTTATATTTACTACTATAATCACTTTTATGTAATATATTTATACTATTATATATATTTACTTTTTAACTGAGGAAGGACTCTTAAAAAATACCCTGAGTTTAACACACTAACAACAACAACCCTGAAACATGCAGACAGACGTCCTGTAGGTACAGAAGAAGTCCGTCAGTGTCTAACTTTAGTGTCTTCAACATCAGGAGGACGTCAGACTGGCCTTCTTCAACATCTCCAGGATCATGGACTGTGTGGAGTGTTTCAAATGTCGACTGTGGGGGAAACTGCAGGTCAGAGCGAGACTTTAAAAAACAACCAGAAAACACAAACGGAGAGAAAAACATCAGAGTGATTTCAGACAAAGAGCATCAGGTCTGCTTTGTTCTGATCCGTCCTCTCTCTCTCTCTCTCTCTCTCTCTCTCTCTCTCTCTCTCATCATCAGACTCAGGGATTAGGAACATCACTGAAGATTTTATTTTCAGAGCGACAGATTGAAGCTCTGCCCTCGTCCAGCGACCAGCGACCCAGATTCCAGCTCAGCCGACAGGAGATTGTGTCTCTGCTCAACGCCTTTGGAAGGTGTGTGAGCGCCGTCATGTGATCGTATCTGTGATCTGTCAGTTTACTGTCAGCTCAGTCATATCATACATATCATATATAAGTCATAGTGCAGAGATACTGTCCTACAGGTACAAGTACTCATCTTAAAAACACTGACGGCAAATAAGAAAATATAATATTATCGCACTCATTTTACGGTAATATGGTGATAATAATGTTCAGCTGTAGTAAAGATTGAAAGTCAGTTATACAGTAATATATAATAGATAATAAAGACTGATAATTATACGTGTATTGGGTTTAATTTCACTAAAGAGACAGACGTTTGTCACTCCGTCTGTGAAATGATCCGGTAACATCATGAAAAAATATCCTTTTAAAGCTCCTGTGAAGGACTGTTAGTTTGGGTCAGTTTTGGCGCCCCCTGCTGGACTAAACAGTCTTGACTTATCTTGACATGCTTTACTCTTGACCTTTGACATGAACTCTCCTCCTGCTAACCTTTCACAGTCGTGTATTTTATTAATTGTTGTTTCTTTACCGCTCACACCAAAAAAAAACCAACTCTTCCTGTTATTGTTTCCTTTTTTAATATATACATTATATATATTTATTTACATATAAACATTATATATATTTGAGAAATCCCAGCACCCCTTTTTTTGTTCTGTTTCCCAGGATTTCCACGAGCATCAGAGAGCTGCAGACCTTCAGATCGCTGCTGGCAGAGGAGCGGTGACCACGACTCGTCGGCTTCATTTTCACGTCTTCTGCTTTCATCCGAGTTAAACATGGATGATAAAAAAGCTGCTTATTTTTTTAGATTTGCTTAACTTATTCCTCATGATGTAATTTGTATTTCTGCTTTGTTATCACTGTGATTTTGTTTTGCACCAATTTATGATCTTTTAAGACTGAAGGACCGAGGATGTCCTCTCTGGGACCGTCTGAATATTTCCAAGTTTTCACAAATGCCAAATCCTGATATTTAAATGATATGACAGATATTTAAATGATATGACAGATATTTGAATGATATGACAGATATTTGAGGAGACATAAGACTGTGAACTGCCCGTATTTAATGTTCCTCCAGAATTCAGATTTTTCATACATGTTAAAATAATTTCAGATCATCAGTTGTCCCAAAAATGGAAGAGCAGTTCTCTGCTCTAGTTGTGTTGCTTTTTTTTGTCCTCAGGGTGGCGCTGTTTGTAAAGTAACCTGGTTGTATCCCCCGTCACTGCTTCACTTTACAATCACAGCTGTGTGTCGAGTTAAAACACTGTTGGAGAATAAATCTGTATTTTGTGGTCAGCCTCTCAGACTGATGGTTGTTTCTTGTTTATGAGAGCGTGAGCAGATCCACCCACAGGTGCAGGTTTGAACACCTGCAGGTCTGTTTTTAGAGCTTAATTATCACCAACGATCCATGAAGTGTTGATTAAACTTTTATTTCACTGATTAATTTTATGTATCTGAAATATTTGGCACTAGTGCAGAGGTACTGGAGGTACTGGACATCCAGCAGCTTGTAAAACTTTATTTGGTAAAACTCAAAATGAAGAAAGTTAGGTGAGACGTCGCTGCCTAAATCTCATCTACACAGACTCGGCTCACCTGTCCAGTTTCTCCCTCTTCACTCGCTGAAATTAGTCAGATCCAGATCACCTGGGTGTGCAGGTCCAGCTCTCTCTCTCTCTCTCATTCCTCCTGGACTCGTCCTTCATCCTGTCACCTATCCACATCCACACCACTAACACACCTCATCGTTGATTTTTACAGTTAATTCTTCAGTGGTTTAACTTTTTTCTATAATGAATAATTATTATTTGCAGTCTGCTTTAATGCCCAGCCTGTATTTGACCAAGGCAGGACAAAGTTGTTTTAAAGTATGACAGGACAATGTCAAATGATGCCTCAGCATGTTTGATTTGGAGGTTCGGGTTGGTATTTGATCATGAGGCTCACAACACTAATATTAGACAACTACAGCTGAGTGATATTATCGATAAAATGCAGATATTGACCATAAGTTCATTAGTGGTGCTGTCAGGTGTAAAAATTTCCATTAATATGTGTTGTAGATAAGGTAAGGCATCAGTTCTGTGAATGCAGCAGCAACAAGCTTTAATATGTGGGAATCATAAAAGGAAACAGACGGTGAAACAGTTTGTGAAACACAACTTTGAAAAAAGCTCCTTTAACATCACCACTTCAAACGTGTTTGTCAAGTAAACGTATAGAACAACATCAGCTGTTTATGACACTGTAGTTTTATTTTTGCCATATAGTCAGTGTTTATTAGAGGGACCATTGTGTGCACAAGTTACCAAGTTTTCATCATGAGCTCGATTAAATAATCATGTGAACAAGAGTCTTACAGAAAAAAAAAAAACTTTTTGGAACTTTTTGGGCTCTGTTTCTCATCTTTGGATTTTTTTTGTCCTCAACAATCTTTTTATGGAGAACGAGGTACAAAGAAACAGTCATGTAATGAGACAATATATATATAGATTTTTCTCAGAACACATGAACACAAACATCCCAACCCATCCCCTCTATAACATCCAGTGTTCCCCATTTTAAAGAGATTAAATAAGTAATTAAATAAATATATTAAAAAAGAAAAACAAAAGCGGAAGTAGGTAATTTGACTGTCGTGTTTAAGAGTAAACGAGGAGGCTGTTCCTGCTTCAGAATTTTGTATTAGTGGATTCAGTTTGAGTTTCAGGGAGGGTTTTGAGTTTGTTTATGAAAGAGATTGTTGGGATATTTTTAAAAACAAATATTGATCCCCTAATTTTTCTAAAAACATTTTCATTAAATATTAAAATCTTTAAATAACTTATTTCAATGTCAGCAACAATTGGGCAAAGTTATTATCTTACAAACCTAAATATGGGCTCTTAAAAGAAACAAAGGATTCAGTAGAAAGCCTCTTATTTCCAGAGATCGAGTCACTGGTCCTTTTTTTATTTGCAGTGGGCTTCACTTCTTTCTTAATTTATTTTTTTTAATTTTTATATATATTTTTTGCATCAGTTACTTCTGTTGTGACTTTTCTGTTTTTTTTCTGCACCATTTAGTTTCCTATTTTCATCGGTAACTTCTGTTTTTTTTTAAATTTTCTATTCTTTTTTATTTGCATCAGTGGCAGTTCTCGGCCACCGTACTAAGTAATTAAAATAAAACCTCATCGTTGTTTTTCAGTGGCTTGTTTTGGTGTAAGTGTTGTTTTGTCCGTCGGTCCGTGAAGGCAGCATAAATCCTTGGACAGTAAAGGGTTAACCTCAGTAATAGGATGAATGGAGATTGTGGAGAAGGAGAAGAAGAAGAACAGCATCTGATTACAGAGAGAGAGAGAGAGGGGAGAACACACGGTCTGACTAACAGCAGAAAACTGAGTTTATTTCCACCTAAAGAGGAAGAACTCCTCTCTTTCTTTCTGTAGATTTAACTCCTGGGTTGAGAGTGAACTTTTCCACTTTTTCACCGGTAAAAACTCGGAGAGTTTATCCAGTTTTATCCTGTTATGCTGTGGAGAGAGTCGGATCTTCTGTGTGTTCATGGCTGAGGAGGACTGATCCATGACTGCGGAGTTAACCTGAAACATGTCGCAGTTAGTGGAGGATTAACAGAGACGGACTGACATCTTTATTTTTATTGTTTTTATGTTTTAATCGGAGACACACGGAGGAGTTTTAGGATCTCCTGGAGGAGTCAGGGTCTGGTTTGTTCCTCCAGGTCGGAGTCAAACAGGTAAGACAGCTCACCTGTCTGCTAACAACACATGCTGCCGACACCCTGCTAACCTGTGCTACAGACTGTTCCTTTATTCATGAATCACTTTGACTGTTTTTATCACACAGAGCTTTTTTTTTTAGACTAACGTGAACGCATCTTCAGCCGCGAGCGTCAGATAATGACAGTTAGCATGGAGGCTAATTCAGAGCTAACACAAACATGAAAACTGTGACATGGATTTTTAACTGGAGCTTTATCACCAATAAATTAATTATACACACTTTAAAAAATAGATTTGTACAAAAGATAGTGAGTTATAACTGAAAGTTTAAAGTTAATGCTGAGAGCTAAGGGTTTAAACCGATACTGCTAGCTAGCAGCAGAGAGCTGCTGCTAATTTGGTGATAATATTCAGTCGCAGGTGATCAAAATACTCCATTGTCCATAGAGTTCATTCTTTTTCACCAAACTCAGTTTTAAAGCTACTATAAGTGATTTTTTTTACCACTAGGGGGCAGCACAAGTGACTGCACTGCAGCCTTGATGGACGCTTTCCTCGTTAAAACTGTAAAATTGGGGATAATATTCCAGCGTAAAATTAATTTACGGTATTTTTCGCACTATAAAGAGCTCTTAAAATCCTCTTGGCTTGTCGGAGCACTGCAGCCACCGTAGCCTCGTGGAGTTATTGAATGAGTTAAATAAAGTTTGACTTGTCTGACTGTTTTGTTTGGTTTAATGTGCTTTATAATCTGGTGCGCTTTATGTATGAAAATAGACGCGAATAGACGTGTTCATTGATGGTGCGCCTTATAGTGCGAAAAATACGGTAGGGTCAAACACACGGTAACACCGAGTTAGACCCCCCCTCCAGAGATGAATGTTGTCGACCGCTTGCTTCTCTAGTTATACCAACTTTAGTAACGACCGCAGGATAGTGATACAGATAGGTCTGAGGAGCCATAAACAAACCTCAACCAAAACGCCACTCTATAGCCACAAATAATGTTCAGAACAGCACCTAACTTCATCAACAGGACATATAGGGTCACAGACATAGTACTAGACACCAAACATCTTTTTAACTTTGACTCATTTCTTTAACAAAGAGACTAAACACAACTCCGCTAACTCTGTAGTCTATAAGCTGGGCCAATAAACTTCTACTGTAGTAAAATGAAAAGGTAAAGGTGTTTTTATTGAGCCGAATTATCAATAAAATTATGATTTTGTTAACAGGTATGGATTTATGTGCTGTCGAGTTAATATATTTGAACAAGAGCACAGTAAAGTTAAATCAGCTAATTTTCCTATGAGGTTCTGTTACTAAATAGAACTGCAACAGGTTCTACTGAGGTTAGTACATATAGGGTCACAGCCATTGTACTAGACACCAAACATCTTTTTAACTTTGACTCATTTCTTTAGCAAAGAGACTAAACACAACTCACCTACTCTCTTCCAGCAGCCGCAGCCGCCGAGACCTCAGGCCAGTCCATTACGGACTACAGCGGGGTGACGCAGCTCAAGGAAGAACATTTGTGTCTGCAGTGTAAAATGATTAATATGGTGATTATTACTTCAAGAAAATGATAAAGAAATGATCGTAAATGTTCTTCCTTGAGCTGCGTCACCCCGGTGATGAAGTTAGGTGCTGTTCTGAGCATTATTTGTGGCTATAGAGTGGCGTTTTGGTTGAGGTTTGTTTATGGCTCCTCAGACCTCTCTGTATTTCTATCCTGCGGTCGTTACTAGAGTTGGTATAACTAAAGAAGCAAGCGGTCGACAACATTCATCTCTGGAGGGGGGTCTAACTCGGTGTTACCGTGTGTTTGACCCTAAATTAATTCACGCCGGAATATCCCTTTAAGCAACAAATACTATTAAGCGGTCAGTTTTTAGGTTGTAACCCCCCCTTGCTCACCCCTCCTGTTGGTGAAGTGATGAAGGCCTAAAAGCTCCAGTGATGTCTCTTAAATATGTCCCTGTATTTGTCAGGTCTGCACCATCCAAAGTTTCTGTACAAGTTCTTCACACACAGTGACCTCTCTTCTCTTCTTCGTCCTCCAATCGACTAACTGTTATTGGGCGTTCATTAAATACAAATTGTAAATGTTACAAGTAATTATTATCACACAGCAGATATTTGGACTCTATCACAGGTCGGTTGTGCTGATACCTGCAGCTACGTTACTTTTCCGCTCTTTATAAAAACTTTGTGTTGTCAAAAATCTTAATGTGAGTATCAAATGTTTCAGGCGTGGTCTTCCTCCTCTCTTTGATTTAGTTTCTGAGTTTATAGATAATCTGAATAAAGTGATATCTGACCTCTCGCACCATCAGCCCTGTGATACTGCAGTTTAAAGGAGTTGTTTGAGGCTTTTTCAGGTGTAGCAGAAGTTAGTGTAGCGGGGTGGGGCAGACAGGCAGGCAGGAACTTTTCCCCGACTCCAGGTTCGAGTCCCGTCCTGCAAATGGAATACCACAAAAACGTTAAATATGTGCTCACTTCCTCACATTACATCAGCGTTTAGCAAAAATAAGAGCTAATCCCTGATTCACAGATATGTTGTGGCTTGTTATGAGACGCTTAGAGCCTGAAAAGTATTTTAAAAATGAACGGTGAATATTTATAAAGACAGGGCTGTGTCTTTAGCTGTTCGTCTGAGGTATTAAAGACGACCAAATACTTTTTATTTTCATTAAATTGAAGGACAAAATGAGATAACAGTGGTAAATATTGTTGGAACTCTCTTCCAAAAGTAGAACCAAAGTTCAGATATTCTCAGCCCGGAGGATAACAGCTACTTCCTGTTTGGCTGACCCGTCTAGTCCTGGTTTTTAGGATGAAGAAAGTCCAGCCTAAGAGGGTTCAGCTCATTCACAGAGAATCACAACAACAGACGTGTTTATTTTACTAAAATGTTGTTTTTTTATTTTCATCACAACTTCGACCTTTAATTTTGATCAAACCGAGCCTTCCTGTCGAACTCTTTCACTGCCCCCCCTTATTTAAAGGAGAGTGTGGGCTGCAGGTTTAACTCGGCTGTCATGGTCGTAGTCCCCCTGGGGTCCACAGTGACCCGGGTTCAGGTCTGACCTTGGCCTCTGCTGCTGTTCCCTCCCCACTCTCTCCTGCGTTCGTTTGTTTGTCAGCGAGGATAAATCCTGCACGTCGAGTTTCTGCGTTTCTAGACAGCAGAGCTTAGATCATTTGTTCTGGAGTCAAACATGGACAGCAGGCGGCGAGCGGGGGGCGGGGGCGGGGGCGGGGGGCAGATTCTGGGTTAATCTCTCGCCACTGTCGCCTGAACACAGACTGTGCCGAGCTGGTCCGTGCCAGAGTCCTGGTGGAGGATTGTGGAGCTGAAGGGTCTGGCGTGGAGCTCCAGCTCAGCCTCCCTGATGTGGTTTTGGTGAGAGATGGAGCAGCTGTGTGTGTGTGTGTGTGTGTGTGTGTGTGTGTGTGTGTGTGTGTGTGTGTGTGTGTGTGTGTGTGTGTGTGTGTGTGTGGGAACAAGGCTGAGTTGTCCTTTTCTTTCACCCTCTGGTTTCGCCGCTGGACTCCGCCTCTCTCTGATCCGCTCCGGTTTGGTGTCCCGCCTTCGCCTCGGCTATTTCAGAGTTTTTTCAGTCAAACACGGCGGTGGCGGCGGCGCCCAAAGACACACCGGACGTCCCAGGAGTGAAATCTGAAAGTTAGTGGGAGTGTGAAAATGAAGCTCGAGTGTTTGTTAAACTCAGATTTCACAAAAATGTAAATTCTGCTCCAAACAGGTTTGTGTTTCTCTGAAGTGTGTTTGCTCAGCAGGTGTGTTTACCTTGGAGCAGGTTCATGTGATGCTGGTCTGCCCTCACACTGTTCACTCATATCTAACTAGGCTAGTAATACAACAGGCCTGTGTGACGGGTAAATGGGTGAACCAGGTGATCAACAGTAAAATGACCTGATTTGATCCCTTTGAACAGGGTTGATCACCCTGACGGTAAATATGATATTTATATAGAGTCATGTGGTTATAATGGGAGTCAACGGGGCAGGAACAGACACTGATACCATAAAGGAAGGTTATATATATGGATATCGACTGATATGAAGAAATATATTGTGATAAACTTGTTACCGTATCGCTCTGCCCTAAATTGAACATTTTCAGAGTTAAAATTTTTATCATTTTTATTTTCTCACCTGTTGATTATCTTGTTGAATTTTTTCTGAGGATAGTAAGTGTTTAAAAAAATCCCTGAAATTTAACCCTGATGGGTCGGACTCCCTCTGTGAGCGCTGCGTCTTATTTTAGCCGCAGAGTTGAAGGGTTAACCCCGACACTCCCTTCCCACCTCACTGCTCAGGCAGGTGATTTCAGAGGTGTGATCTAACGCTCTGACCTCCCCCAATAGAGGCCGCTGCTCTCTGGCCGTCTCATTAAGGGTCGTCTCCAGACTCCATGTGTGGCATTTCACCACGGCCCCCAGAATGTGTCACCTTCGTCTCTGCAGAGCGCTTTATAAGTGACAGCTCGCCCCGCCTCACCTCAACACTGCTGACTGTCTGACTGTCTGACTGACTGCTGCTGCGCCGCCTAACAAACCTCTCTCTGTTTTCCTTTTGCTTTTTGCTTCTGCTCTCCGGGGGTCTTCCTCTCTGTCTCTCTGTGTCTCTCAGGCCGGCGGGGACTCAGTGTCTTCTGTTTGGACATCTGTCCGTCTTTGTTTTCGTCTCTGATCAGGTAAGTTCTGCTCTTTCTGTTGTTGAGCTGATTGGGCCGGGGTCACCTGACTTCAGTGGTGTGTTATTTATTTCTATGCTGCTGCTGTGAGTCATGGAGCTGCTGTCTGAGACTCATTGTTTTGGTCGGGGTTGTGAATGAGTGCTGAATGAAGGAATGATGAGAGACAGAGATGATTGACTTTGGTCACCTGTAAGGAGAGAGACGAAGGTAGCTGCAGGTCTTCTCTCAGCATCTCCAGCTGCGTCCAAGAACCTTTAAGAGGTCTGAACTGTTTCAGTTTCAGACACACTTTAGGAATCATGATGAGGGCTGCACAGTCAATCAGATTCATCTTTAACAGTCTGTGTTAAAGATAAATGAGAAAACTGTCTAATTTAAACAGTTTAAACAGTCTCTGTGAGTCTGTGAAGGTCGACGCAGAAAAAACAAATATTGTGTTTTAATTATTATATGATAAAAATCCAAAATTATGAGATTCAAAGTCAAAACCATGAGAATGTAGGGTTGGATATACAAGAACAAAAGTCTTAATTATGAGACAAAAAGAGAGATAGTCTGTGATAATTGAGATAAAAGTTAAAATTATGAACTAAAAAATAAAATTATGGAAAGTCGTCATTATATGAAAAAGTCTAAATTAATAGAGAGTGATAATAACTGGAATAAAAAATCCAAATGATGAGATGAAACTGTCAGAATCAGAAAATAGAAAATCAAAGTTATGAGGAAAAAAATCAAATAATGCGATCGTCAAAATAATGAGATAAAAAGATGGAGAGTCGAACTTTTGAGGCGTCACAGCCATGATAAATAAAAAAGTCATTATTTCGATTCTGACTTTAAAGAGTTTAAAGAAGTTTTTAATGATTAGAGAAAAAGTCTTAAATGTTTAAGTTTGATTGGAGGACAGACGTCGTTACTGAATCTCATAATATTCTCATTTTATCTCAGAACGTTTTCATATTTGACAGTTTTGACCTTTAATCTGATCGTTACACTAACTGTCTCATAATTTAGACTTTTTATCAGACAGTTTAGACTTTTGATTTGAAAACTCTGACTTCCTGTGTTTGAGGTTTGAGGTTCTGTGAAGTCTGTGGTCGGTCAGAGGATCCTGTTTTTCTTAGATGAGCTCTTCTGTGGAGGTCTGAGCTGTCTTCACTCTTCACTTAGCGTCTGTGTGTGAAAACTTCAGGATTTGTGACGCCTTCAGAGGTCAGCTCCAGCTCCAGCAGCGCACGCTAACATGGACACAAGGTTAATAAACAGAAGCACAAACTCTGAGCTCCTCAGACCTTCTAAACTCTCAGAGTAAAAACCAGAACGGGTTTATTTTAGTCAACAGCATCATCGTTTTGAGCGCAGTAGTTATCATTTTCTTCTCGTGGAGGAGGGACACCGGAGCGCTCTGCTGCACAGCTGCTCCTCACATCGGACACAGAACCAGCTGTTGGCAGAGGAACAGCAGCTGCAGCACAAACAGCGTCTCTCTCCAGAGCTTCTGTTCACAGTCGTCTGTTTGGAGCCTCCAGGCCCCGATGTGTGCGCTCTCCCTGAGCCCGTGCAGGAATGCAGACCTACTATAGCAGAGGAGCTTATAGACTCAAACCCGGGTCCATGTGTTCGATATGTAAATGCATAAAGACGGAGGCTGTTGCTGTGCGTTAATCAGATTAATGATCCAGTGAAGGTTTCCAGTGAAGCTCATGAGGGCTGGACCTGGCTCTCAGTCCAGTCCTCCTTCAGCTGGTCTCTCCACCTCCTCTTCCCGCCCTGACCCATTTCTCTACAAACCAACAACCAGGACCTCATCTGGTTCTGTCTCTCTGGACCATCATCCATCTCTTCTCAGAGTCGTCTAAACGACAGAAAAACGACAGAATTTCATGTTTCTGATCCAAGCTGAGATGTTTGTTCAGATGTTAGTCCATCTTCTTTATTAGACGGATATTTAAACCAGGATTAAGGAGAGGCTAAAAGCTGCTGATGTTGGGTTGATGTAGTTTCTGATTGTCGTGGTCTTCAGTGTGAGGGGGTCTAAATGAGGGTTGTAACTGCAGACAGTATCTTCTCTGGGGTTTGGAGTATCTGGTCTTCGTGAAGGACTCGGCTCCAGAGAAGGTCAGTATGATCTGACTCAAAAGAGACAGAAGAGGGATCTGAACCCTGTCCTCACTGATCCTGGAAAACTTGAGTGAGATTATACGGCCGTTGTTGATTTAATCCAGTCTGTGGATCTCTCTGTGTTTGATGTAATCTGGATTTGGACTGTGGTGACCCTCTCTGATGCAGCAGGAGCTTTGAAGATGAACTTTAACCTCCAATCAGATCGTTTGTTGTCAGATTTCTGCTCTGAGGGAAACGTCTTCGTCTCCTCGTCCAGATGCAGTGAGACGGCGTCTCTGAGGTGTTGGTGTAAATCCAGGAAACACCGACTCTGAGTCGCCCGCTGACTCGGCTCTGTGCTGGAGAGGACAGCAGCTTGGTGACCTCATGGTAACTTCCCTTAACTTCAGCGTGCTTCCTCCTTCATATGGATGTTCTTGGAGCTGAGTTATCATCAGGAGCTAGTTCTCGGTCGCAAGAGTTCTATTTTTTTGTTTTCAAAATAAAACACTCGGAGACGAACAAGTGAAAGGTTTTTAGACGTCATTTCACCCCGATGACACCATGGATGAGGAGATGCTGATTCTAGAAGTGTAGAAGTAGATTTCCTCCTCTGGCGTACGGTGAAAATCGCTGCCATTCCAGATCAGAGCCGTTCCAGATGCGGTTGAAATCTGGGTAGATGTAAACAGGAGTTATGGTGAGGTGTTCCTGCTCCACGGTTGACTTTCTCCAAAGTTACTCTGAACCAGCAGAGGTGATGTGAAGCTCCAGTTCTGACGGAGGATCTGCATCAGCATGTCCTTCATATTTGTGTCGACAGGGTTCGAGAAGAATCTGTAATTCTGCTTTGTGCCGTTTCTCTCGGAGGTTGGGAGATTATATTCCTGTTTTAATCCCAGCTGCGAGCTGATTGGCTCTGTGTTTTTGGACCCAGGGGAAGACATGGTCTGGTTAAATCGATGTAAATCTGACAGATGGGAGGAGCAGTAAGAGGTCTGGAACCAGGTCAGGGGTTAAAACCCAAACTGTATTCATTCAGAAACAGGTCGGTCTGTGACGAGCGGTGTTTCAGTGAGAGGAGCAGCCACACCTCAGCCGACGAGCGTGAACACACACACGTGTGTTTTTATGTCATTTGACAGCAGATTTATGTCTGTAGCTGCAGATCCTTTTCCTGACAAACTGGCTCCTTGTGCCTCTGAGATCCGCCGCCGCTGCTGCTGCTGCTGCTGCTGCTGCTGCTGCTGCTGCTGCTGCTGCTGCTGCTGCTGCTGCTGCTGCTGCTGCTCTTGTTGTTGTTGCTGGGTTACAGAAACCTCAGCAGACCTCCTTCCTCTCTGTCTGTCTCAGTCTGTTTCACCGTCATATTCCACCTCGTCTCGCTGCTTCATGGTCAGAGGACTCACTTCCTTATTTCAGTCTTTCACGGCTCCTTTCTTCCCTTCTTCCTTCGTTCAACACTCCTCCTGTTCTCTGATGGAGCTTTTGAAACTTTAATCAGCTGATGGACATATGATAAAACTTTGATAAAAGACGTTTTCAAAAATCACCTGACGTGAGGATATTTGAGTTTAAAAACCTGACCCCTGGATTATTTAACAACAGCTCTGGTGGTGTGTGTGTTTGTTGAGAGTGTGTGTGGAGAGAAAAACTGAATAGAGTGGGGTTGACATGCACCACATGGTCCGGGGTCAGGGGTCAAAGTAGTAATGAGTGTCCCGAGGAGTTTGTCTCTGTAAATAAGGGACCGGTTCTACTCACTTAGGTAGTAAATTAGAACTTTTTAGGGTCCGTACATTAAGGAAGAGCACATGTTTTCAGACCTGTGTATACAGTATCTGATCTATCTGGATTCTGGTGTCCCAGAGAGAGACTCGGTCCAGTCCCAGACCAGTTTTTCTTTCCTGCTGTTTCCTTTTCTGTGCCTGAGAATACCACCGTCATGTAGAATTAAACTCAGACTGTTGTTCTCAGCTAATGGGATCTGTTTGTCTCAGACTGGTCTGATCTCTGTGGTTGGTGTGGTTACTGTGTGAACACTGAGCACAAACATACAAACATCCTCCTGGGTCAGTCTGAACCTGAGCGTCCTTAGAAACTGTCATGGACTCAAAGGTAACTGTCTACTGTTGGCAGGTGAGGCGCCTAACTGTGACCTTCAGTGACCTCAATGAGTTAAAAAGGAAGTTTTAGAAGACGGAAGATAAAAGTGATAATCTCCTGATATGTGAGATTTCAGAAAGCTTTGAACTCTTTTATTATCTTAGAGTCAGAGATCGTCTGCATGTTGTTTAACCTCAGTGACTCGTGTAGAGAGTAGAGGTAGAAGTAGGAGTGGGCCGGGACATGACCCCTGGGGAACATCCCAGAATATCCTTAAACTCTGTCTTTGAAATACAGACATTTAATCACATACAGAGCTTTTTATAAATATTTGTAACAGGGATCTTTTTATCACATGAAGTTGTTGTTTGTGTGCCATAAATAAAAATGTCAGTTATCACATCTACTCTGGCTAACACAGTAACTGACTAAAAAAAGGAGGAGCTAACACACTGACTACAAAAAAAAGGCAGTACTAACACACTAACGGCTTAAGAAAAGGCGGAGCTAACACAAAAACTGACTCAAGTGAATGTAGAGCTAACACAATAACTTTATCAAAAGAAGGCGGAGCTAACACACAGACTCAAAATAAGGCGGAGCTAACAAACTAACCGATTCAAAGAAGGCAAAGCTAAGACACTACTGATTTAAAAAGAGGCGGGGCTATCACGCTCACTAACTCAAAAGAAGGCGGGGCTAACCTGTGACAGTGTTTTAACACAATTATTTAGCGGAGACATGACCCACATGTTGATCAGTCAGAGTTTAGTGTCTGAGGATAGCAGGTCAAAAACCTGCCGTAGATACAGAACAGTTAGTTTATTAGAAGTTTCATTTAAAAACAGATGTTTCCATGAAATCCTGTCAGACGTTTAGGTCCACTTTTCTTTTAGCGCCACCATCAGGTCAGAATTAAAGTTTTTCTTTTGCTTCACAGTCTGACGAACTCTCTGCATAATCAGACTAATAATCGCCTCTTTGTTTACATTACAAACACTGTAAACTCGACATTTTAACAATAATCTAAAACTGAGGATTTAGGCTGTTAACAAACTCCAACACAAGCCTTTAATTAAACACCAGTTATCTGATGATTATAACCGTGTTACATTATAAAGTAATGAACCTGTTAAAGAAGATGATATTGTTATTAAACTATCTTAACATGTTATCCAGAAACATCAGTTTGATCTCATTAAAAATCCACCTCAGCTGACTCGACCTTTTCTGGAGGAGCAGCTGTACTCGGATATTTTCACTGCATGTTCAGAGCGTGTTCACTGTAGAGCAGCCAAACGCGTGTGTGTGTGTGTGTGTGTGTGTGTCAGTGAACCACACCCAGAAACTCACACACTCACGCTAACACTCTGTCAGATTTAGGAGCAGTCATTAGTGATCTGTGGTGAAGAACATTTTCTCATACTCACTCATGTTCTGGCACGCCGGTGGCAGATACCACCGCTGCAGCATGCTTGGCATTCACCTGCGACACGTAAACCTACACACACACACACACACACACACACACACACACACACACACACACACATGTCAGCTGTACTGTTCAGGTCTTTACAGAGACGATGTTTTAGAGGAGATGAAGTGAAGGTTCTTGGTACCTTCTGTATCTCTGTCTCTCTTGTCCTTGTCGTCTAAACGCCTCTGACTGAAGTAAGTCTGATCAATCAATCATCTTGGATATTTGCTCCTTTCCCAGCATGCTTAGTGGCAGCAGTAATGGAGAATTAGTGGATGTTCTATCTGATAGAGACCTCATTCATAACCCGTCAGAGTCCACACATGTTCAGATGTTCAGATCCGTGTTTAATCCACTCTCTGCTCAGACAAACATGCAGATGCCTGACTGTGGTGTTTATTCAGCCTCACTCCCACGTTGTTTCCTGGAGCTCTCCTCTCTGAACCACCAGCACAAGTCGACGGCTATTATTTTGGGAGCCGGTCGGTTATTTACAGAGAGGGAGAGAGAGAGAGAGGACGTTATGAAACAGAGGGAGGAGACCTGAACCTCTCACAGTCCTGTCAGGTCCAGCTGGAGAAGAAACGCTCACTGAGTGAAATATTCAGAGTTCAGAGAATATCCTGAACATGGTTAATTATTCTGTTAGTTATTTAATAATAAAAGTGGAAACTCAGTGTAATCCAGACTCATGAGGAGGGTAACCCACAGAAGGTCGAGTCTGACTGTGGAAATTTCACTGTGAGGAAAAAGAGTGGGAGGAAAAGGTGACCGAGCAGAAGACCAGAGAAACGTCCATCCAAGACCTGGACGGAGCTTCACAGAGACCGGGCCGAGGCTGGAGTCAGAGCGCCAAACAAAACCGCCACAGTCCTGAGCTGGAGACAGGACTTTAGCTCAGTCCTGTTCCCAGATGACCCTGAACCTCAGAGTCTGGAAAGGTTTGGGTCGCCGTATTGTAGACTGTTAATGATCCAAAGTCGAAACAGAAACTCTGTGGAGATTCTCTGTTTGGACTTTGAGGGACACTGGACCCCAAAATACAGAGCAGTTAGAGGTTGACCTGGGCTTTAGTGAGACCTCAGACCTCTGTGAAGGACTTCCTGATAACAGAGGCTGAACCTCATACTGAGTTTATGGACTTTTACTGGATCTTCACAAAGAAACGTTCGATCTCTGACGTTCAGAATCAGGACGCTGACCCGGGGCGGTGATGAGCTCTGGTTTCTCGTACAGAGAGGGTCTGGGCTCACAGTCGGGGCTGCGGCGGCAGCACGCTTCCCTCCAGGTTGTTGTGTCTGCAGCAGGAAGTTCGCCTGGCCTTGGGACGGGGTTTCGTCCAATGGGAGGAGAGCTCAGGGGAAGCTGATGTAAAGAGAAGTCAGGTCACAGTAAACTGTTCTCAGGGTCCATCAGCAGACTCAGAGGGGGGTCGCCTCAGGACGTGAGTTTAGTCTGTGTGGGAATCCCCTCCACATGAACCTGGAACAAAGACCTGATCCTTATTTATGAGTTTATTATTCAGTTTAATTCTGAGGGTTTCGACACGTCTCCACAGCTTCAATCAAGTTTTTAAGGTTACCGTATTTTCCGCACTATAAGGCGCACCTAAAAACCTCAAATTTTCTCAAAAGCTGACAGTGCGCCTTATAATCCGGTGCGCCTTATATGTGGACCAATATTGAGGCACAACAGGTCTCACAACTACGGTAAGCAGCCGCCGACTTCATTTTCCCCCGTAGAAGAAGAAGAAGCGCGCGGTGCATACTGGGATATATGACCGCGTGAGGCGTGCTGTTTCATTTCCATTTGTGCGTGAAAACAGCTGTTTATTCATTTTGGGAGTGAACGGAGTTGTTAGAACGCTGGTTTGTAATCTATTAATAAAGTTTGACTGACCTATCTGACTGTTTTGTTGACATTCCCTTTAGCGCAGCTCCATCTAATGGATGCATAACGTAACCCCCGCCTCTACTGTAGCGTCTTTTCTATGCGCCTTATAATGCGGTGCGCCTGATATATGAACAAAGTTTTAAAATAGGCCATTCATTGAAGGTGCGCCTTATAATCCGGTGCGCCTTATAGTGCGGAAAATACGGTAATTTGCATTAGTGCAGTACAGATCTTGGTATCGACTCACTGCCATAAAGTACACTGACGTGCCATTTCAGCGTTTTTATACAGCGTTCAATTTCAACACTAAAATATTCACATTCAGTCAAGCCTTTCCGAACTACGTTACAATTTTACAATTAAGCTCATAGTAAGAACCTTTAATCGAGAAACTGGGCGCCATTCTCTTGACTTTCCGGCGCTGTGCTTCAGTCGGGGAAGAACTGCGTTCAGGAGAAAAAGAAAAGCGCGTGGCTGTTATAAACTGAAGCGTCCGTTCTGACTGTAGCGAGCTCGCTGATATCGGAGCTGTCGTGAAGATGGCTAGTAGAGGAAGTGACGTACATTTCGCAGAATTCGCAGAACAAATCGTGTTTCTGGGATGGTCCGGGTAGCGACACCGCCTCTTGCCCCGGCTCTTGTAGCTGATGCCAGGGTGCCCGCCTCCTGCTCTGACTGTTGGTGGTCCACCTGGCTGACTGCTAGCGCTGTAGCTGGCTTCAGCTCTGAACCTTACTAGCTAGATTGGTTATTACAGCTGTGAAACGTCATCGTCTGTTGGGTTAGGGTTCGGAGATTCAGAATCATGATAATGTTCTGTTTCCAATGTTCTGTTCGGCTTGAGCATGTGATGACATTTCACAACCATAAGGAATAACCAATCTGAGCCCACCTTTTCTAGCCAATCAGAGGCGAAGGAGGGCGGGACCTTCCCCTACCATCCAACGAAAAAAAAAAGGGCACTAGAACTCCTCTGGTTAAAACCGGACTGAGCTCAGGGGTTTAAACGAAGGTGTTGGTGTGAGAAACAGTCAGTCTAACTCTGACTCCTCGATCCAGACTAACCCCAAAGCTCACCTGTAAGGTACACGTGTTCAGTCCTGTCTCTGAGTTTGAGTTCAGGTCCATGAAGCAGAGACATCACACAGTTAAAGTTCCTCATGCCTGTGAGTTATTATCTGTACGCTTCTTCTCCACAAATGTTGGTGCGTCCTCTCTCCATGAATGAGATCCATTGTGGGATAGCGGGCCGGGCTGACACAGATTCCTGCCTCAGTAATGGAGCGGATGAGTGAGACAAGGATCAGTGTTTATGGGACACACACACACACACACACACACACACACACACACACACACACACACACACACACACACACACACGGTCCAGTTGTGTGCAGACTCAGGGAAACTTGGGCAGTGATGTGGAGAAAAGCGGCCTGTGGGCAGAGACTCTGAGTGGACTGACGTGGAGCTGCAGAGACAGAAACTGAGGAGTGGAGTCGGGCTGAGAGCGAGGAGGGTCACGAGTTTGGGAACGGTTTTCTCTGAGAAAACCGCTGAAGACTCCCGACCCTTCCACAAAACCTGGTTCTAGTTTTTCCAAAGAGACAGTCTGAGTCCTGTTCATGTTCATGTGATCGAGGCTCCGAACACATGAAGTTCTCCTCTAAATGCTGGGAAGATTTATTCTTGGTGAGGATAAAATACTGGAGTCCTCTCAGGGGACTGGATGTGTTTGGATGTGCTGAGTTGGTTCTGAAGTCTGGTTCAGTTAAAGACAGCAGCACAAGAAGGAGGAGAGGTCTGCAAACAGTCAGTAAGAGCAGCAGGTTTAACAGACTTAACAGTCTGGAGGCTGATGTGACGACAGCTGAGCTCAAACCTGAAAACTTATTCTGAGTTTTTGACATCGGGACAATATATGTTGGTTATCAACCTGTGACTTAAAGTCCCACTCTGGCCGTTTTGTTTTTTTACTACATTAAGTGTTCTCAGTGGTCTTTACATCGTAAGTTTTTTTAAGGTGTTTCCTTCTGCAGAGCTCCTGTAGCTCATTAGCGATTCGCCTCTAAGTCGTGGGCGGAGTCGGCGCTGCTCTGCACACTCCTCTTCATGCTAGCTTGTAGCCGAACACTGTCGATATAGTAGAAGTTGCAGGTAACATCAGATCTATTCAGCTCTCGGACACTTAAGTCTTCATCCGCTAACACACACGCTTGTTCTGCGATCGTCCTATTTCTCGGAGTCTGGCCTGCAAAGCGGGGCTCCGGGGGCGGAGCTTGGATTAGTGACATAGGAAATCTCACTGTGTCTGAACCTGCCAGAGATTCACAGAGATGTGAATGCAGAAATACTCAGAGATGCAAATACGCACTTAGTTTTCTTATTATATGTCCTTTAGTATCAGAAAAATGAACCTATGAACATATAAAAAACAAGAAAAACTTGATTTTCATCGGAGTGAGTCTTTAACGATGGAATATTAATGAGCTCCCATCTCGTGTTTTAAAGGTGTTGATCTGAAACCAGCTGTACAGAATAAACAAACCTCCTCTCTCTCTCTCTCTCTCTCTCTCTCTCTCTCTCTCTCTCTCTCTCTCTCTCTCTCCAGTCTCTTTTCTAGCCGCCACCATTCGGTGCTGTAAGTCCGACCCCAAAATGTCTTCCAACGGGGACCTCAGTGAGCTGGGCACCTCGGACAGCTTCTGGGAGGTAAAACATCAGCTGACTGACATCTGATCACATGACTGAGAAATGTCTGAATCTTAATTAAACTGACTTCAACATGGTTCTAAGAAATAAAGGAAATGTTCACGTTATCCATCAGTCAGTCAAACTTTTATTAAGAGTCTGAACAGACAGTTTGCTTTAACAGCTGATTGTGTTACTCGCCTCTTAATCCTGATCCCCCAAAGTTACAATAACGAGGTCGTTAAATCTGTTTTTAAATGTCTTTAAAATCCTAAATGGATCTAAACCTGGAGAAGAGACGAGAGGAGAGGAGGAGCAGTGCTGGTGTTTAAACAGAGACACAGACACTTAATGAGGCCCTGCTGACTGACGGACTGACTGACTGACTGACTGACTGACTGAACAGCCTCCACACTTCTCTCTTCTCCAGCGTTAAATCAGAGTTTCTGCAGGTCTTAAAAAGTCTTAAAGTGTTTAAAATCCAATAATTTGAATTTAAAATGTCTAAAATCCTCTTAAAACCTCATAAAATGTCTTAAACACAAATTTGAAAAGTCTTAAAAATGCTACTTACAAATAAAAATTGATTTAAAGTGAGTTTAAAATGCTCAGATTTCTCTTCATGTCTTCTGTACTTTTTTGCCTGTACTGAGGTGAAATGGATCTTAAATTGTTTTCATTATGCTTTTAAAAAAAGTCTTAAAAAAGTCTTAAAATTTTGACTTGTTGAAACCTGCAGAAACCCTGTAGATAAATCATCATCATCATCATCATCATCATCGTCATCATCATCGTCAGTCTGAAAAACATCCTGTCAGGTGGACGCGCTGAAACATCTGCCGCTCTAATAATAGTATGGTCGTGACGCTCAGTGAACGGACTGACTGACTGATATCACAGAGGGTTTCAAAGATCTGTCTCCGTGCACGTGTGTGTGTGTGTGTGCACGTGTGTGAGGGTTTGATTATCTCGTGTTCGTCTGCAGCCTGCGAACTACAAACGGACAGTGAAGCGAGTCGACGACGGTCACCGGCTGTGTAACAAGCTGGTCAGCTGTTTCCAGGAGAGAGCCAAGATCGAGAAGAGTTACGCTCTGCAGCTGAGTGACTGGGCCAAGAAGTGGAGGGGCGTGGTCGAGAAAGGTGAGCGAAAAAACAGGCGTCATAACGGGTCGATAACGGCGCTGCAGCAGAGCGCCAAACGACCCGACACCAGGATGATTATGAAACAGGGATTCATGACCTCAGCTGTAAGACCGTCCCCCTTTCCCTGCTCTTGATCCTCAGGTCCTCAGTACGGGACTCTGGAGAAAGCCTGGCACGCCTTCATGCAGGCGGCGGACCGGCTCAGCGAGCTGCATCTGGAGCTGCGGCAGCGGCTGGCGGGCGAGGACAGCGAGAGGATGAGAAACTGGCAGAAAGAAGCGTTTCACAAGCAGATGATGGGAGGATTCAGACCAAGGAGGCAGACGACGGCTTCAGGAAAGCCCAGAAACCCTGGGTCCGCAAACTGAAAGAGGTGGGGCTTCTGAGGTCACGTGATAGTGATGACAGCAAGGGGTTAACGGAGGTGGTGCTACGGCGCAGTCTAAACGTTAAAATCACAGAAACTGCAGTAAAAAAACTCACTCATTCCAGACCATGAGTTGTCAATCACTCAACTTCACATCTTTGTGTGTGTGTTTCATTTTGTGTGTGTTTGTGTGTGTGAAGGTGGAGTCCAGCAAGAAGACCTACCATCAGGCCAGGAAGGAGGAGTGGACGGCGGTTACCAGGGAAACGCACGCCAAGGCCGACCCCACCAAGTCACAGGAGGAAGTCCGTAAATACACGAACCGGGTGGAGCGCTGCAACCAGGAGTGTGACAAAGTACAAGGCTCTCACACACACACACACACACACACACACACACACACTCCCTGGTGTAGCTCTGCTCGTGGCGGTCTGGGTGTGTCTGTGAGTCCAGAAAAACATACCTGTGTGTGTTTTTTTGAGGGTTTCAGCATGACCAGGCTTGTCTCCTCTGAACAAACTCCAAACGCTGCAGGTCCCAAAGATGGAAACATCCAGAAAGAAACTCAGAAACAGTCTTTACAGAGTCTCTAACAGAGCTCAGAACACCACAGTGAAATCTACCGTCATGGATCATCTGCTGGTTTGAGGAAATCAAGGACTCGGCTGTTTCTGAGCGCGCTCAGTAATCAGTGGATCTGAAGGGATCTGTGCTGATTCAGAGACCAAAAACACATTTACAATATAATATTTGTTTGTTTATTATTTCTTATTATTATATTATTATATATATTCTATTATTTTATGTTATTTTTATTATTATCACTTATTCATTTATTCATTTATTATGTTTTTATTATTAGTAGTATAAGTATTATCCCATTATTAATATTATTATTATTATTTATTTATTTTTGTAATATTTTCAATTATTTATTTATTTATTATCATGATTATTATTATTTTTTTAAATTTCATTTCATATTATTTTATAATTATAATTATGATTATAATTACTTATTTATTTATCTATTCATTTATTAATTATTATTTTATTTAGTATTTATTATATAATTATTTATGTATTTATGTATTATTATTATTATTATTATTATCGTTATTATTTTTTTATTCAGTATTTATTTAATATTTATTTATTTAATTATTATTAATGATATCATTATCATCATTATAATTATTATTATTATCATCATTATTATTAAAATTACTATGAATTTTGGAATTATTATTCTTATCAATATTGTCATTGTAATTAAGATAATTATTTTTATTATTTCGATGGACTTCCTCTCTCTGCTGAGTGCACATGCTCAGACTCAGATCATAAATTAGTATTTTACCCAAAGTAAGAGGAACGCATCACTTAAAGCTACCATGAGGTACTTATGTTTTGTATCAGTTTTGGCGCCCCCTGTTGTTTATCTTGTCCTCTTCATGCTTAATAAGTGTCTCCTGACAGATAACCAGATCACCCCGACTCTGTTGATTGTCGATATCTGATGTGGAAAGACGGCAGGGATTAGATTCAGATGTTGGGAAATAAAAAAAACATGTCCAGACACACCTGCACACAGAGCTGCTAACAACTGTTTCATTAATTAGTTTAATTAGTTCAATTAATTGAACCATGTGGCCATGTGCCACGAAAAGTGAAACTGGTGAAACTGGTGAAACAGGAGGAAGTTCAAACGGGACCAGTAACCGTCTCCAACAGTGAAGCACAGATCCTTCGGTTGATTCTGAGATTATGTCGTTCAATCAGAGCGAAACATGAGCAGGACTTAAAGAGTTAATTATTAGTGATTAATAACAATTATTATTTATGATTGATAACAATCCCAGAGATTTTAACTCCTTCAGGACTCTTTAACAGTCACAGCTTCTCACCTGTAGATGTCCCTGACTGACTGACGCTCCAGTAAAGACCCTCTCAGTGGGAGTCCAGCTTCCTGACACACACATTTCTGTCTCTTCAATATGTGTGCGTGTGTGTGTGCGTGTGTGTGTGTGCGTGTTCAGGCGAAGGAGCGTTACACGAAGGCCCTGGAGGAGCTGAATCGCTGTAACCCTCGCTACATGGAGGACATGGAGCAGGTGTTCGACCTCACGCAGGAGGCCGAGAGGAAGAGGCTGCGCTTCTTCAAGGAGCTCCTGCTGGACATCCACACACACCTGGACCTGTCCTCCAAGGAAGGGTGAGACACACACACACACACACACACACACACACACACACACACAGAGGCTGATTTATTGATCGGTGGTCTGTGACTCAGAGCGGAGGTATGCAGATCTGTTTGCTGACTGTTTGTGAGTTTACACAGGAGTTAATAGAAAACTTCGCTGTTGTCCATTAACTATTGACCTTTTTATTTCATCGACACGGGTTTCCGTTACCATGGAAACTCTTTCTCTGATTTATCCAGATTTGATCCTTTCTGGTCTTTACACAGACAGACTGATCAACCATCTCCACACTGAGCGTGCTCAGACTCGACTCTCTGGAGTGATTCATAACGAGCAGATTCGTCTCACCCTGATGATCTGGCCCTGAACCAAAAGTCAAATTAAAGCTGAGAGAGTTTTTCAAACGTGATTCGGTGATAATCGATCGGTTTCATCTTCTGCTGTCTGTCAGGGATCAAAACTGGAAAAAGCTGCTTAAATAAAAACCGTGCAGGAGTCGTGTTGAGCAGATAAGCCAAAGCCGACCTGATATTTGTTCGTTTTCAGTATTTTTAGAAACACCATCTGTGTTTCTCCAAACTGCACAAACAGTTTTTGTCTGTTTCTGATTTTCTTTGCAGTGAAATTGTCGACGTCTCCTCTCCCTCCGATGGAGAGGATGGTGATCTTACTCTGAGACAGAAATGGAGATGGTCTTTACTTTGCTCTGTTTTCTCTTTAGTCGGTCTGTGATGAGACCTAAAGAACTAGAGTTTAACCAGAACTGAGAGAAAGACAGCGGGGAAACGCAGTCGATGAAGTTCAGCATCTTCAAACAAAGATTTCGTAAAGGACATCTACTAAAACGTCTTATTTTTCCTGTTAAAATCCTCATTTTTCTCACTCCTCAGGGTGGTACTTTTTACACCGCTCTATGGTCATGAAACGACCTGAAACGTCTTTACAGACTCGTCCTAAACTAGATGTCAGCTTTATTAGCGTGGGCGTGGCTGTTCTCCGCTGGTTTGAAGTTCGTCTTTGTTCACCAAAATCACGACAGTCTAAAAAAAAGTCATCTTCTCGATCTGTGAATCTGATAACAAACAAAAGACGGTTTAATGAAGAGAATCTCAAACTCGACCTGTGCTGCTGCTGTCCTCCTGTTCTTGTTTCCTGGATCCGTTAAAAATCATGAGTGATTGCGGCGCTAGCCTCTGTTTTAGAGTCACTTCCAGGTTCTGGTTCTGAGCCTCATGGAGGGTCCAGGTCCCAGTAACAGCTGATGTTGGAGTTCATTGTCCTGAGAGAGTAACAGGTTTTCTGGCTCTGAGGTTGGAAAAGTTCTGAGTGTGTCTGAAAACAGAACCAGAACCAGTCTGACTGTGGGGTGGGGGTTCAGATCTGTCATATCTGAGGGAGGATGAGGAGGGAGCGGACGTGAAGATGAGATGATTGACAGCTGCTCTGTCTCCCAGGTTTAAGAGTCTGTACCGGGACCTGGGTCAGACCATCCAGGGGGCCAACGACACCGAAGATCTGCGATGGTGGAGGAACACCCACGGACCGGGCATGAGCATGAACTGGCCGCAGTTTGAGGTGTGGATGGACTCACACGCACACACGCACACACACACACACACACACACACACACACACACACGCTCCTCATTGCTGTAGAGTCTCGTGTGTTTCAGAGCGGCTGAATTTTAAACAGTCGGACTGTGAAAGAGTCGCTGTGTGACCGAGAGCTCTGAGTGGGGTCAGGAATGTCTGAACACACACACACACACACACACACACACACACACACACACACACACACACACGCACACACACACACACACACCATCGTGTGTAGGATTGTGTGGCTGCTGGTGGAAATGTACAGCTCTGACTGAGTCATGAACAGAGCGGACCAACAAATATTTACAGATACGAGAAAACACGACCGATTCTGGGAGGAGGAGGGGGAGGAGTCAGGAGGAGGAGGAGGAGTCAGAGATGGTAGAGGTGCTCCTGGTGAAGGATTTCCAAATCAATCAAACAAATATTGAAATTCAGAAACAGGAAACAGTCAGAGTTTACTGAACATGGATGAAAACTTTTCCCTTCAATGTTTTAACACTTCAGACTGACGCCAACTTAAAATGTCACTAAAATCCGACTTTTGGTCACATGATTAAAAATAAGTCAGCACGTCCAGTAAACGGTCACGTCCTCCTCAGGGTTTCTGGACTCTCCTTTAGAGAGAGGGTGGAAAACTCAGGAGGAGCTCAGAGTCGAGCTGCTGCTCCTCCACGATGAGAGGAGTCAGAGGAGGCGGTTTGGACGTCTAACCGGGACGACGCCTCGTTGGTGAGGTGTTCAGGACATGTCCAACTGGTAGAAGACTACAGTAGACCCAGGACACACTGAAGAGATTGTCTCTCCGCTGTCCTGGGAACAGCTCAGTGTCCTCTGAGAAGACTTATGACCCCTGTCACCCAAAGGGGGCGGGGCTTGAACGTGAGCGCAGTTAGCACGGTCACTCAGTTATTGAATAACTACATAAAACAGTTGAAGGAGATTGGAGACTGAAGTGTTACAAACTCGTCTCCTTCTTCATCATAATCCAACGATCATTTCAAACTCCGTCTTTATGATCCAGAACTTTAAACTGACTCTAAAAATGAAGCTGTGAAAAAGTCCGTCATCCTGGAGTCAGAACAACAACAGCAGGACTTTAGTCTCCATGAATACGAGCGCTTCCTTAAACCCACGCCTGTGTGAGGATGATATAACCCACTCTGATCAGTTACACACAGGAATGTCCACGCCCTCCTCTGATTCACAAAGAAAGGAGCGCTGTTGTTTGAGAAGATCTGCAGACTCAGTTTTCATCTCAGAATGGAGATACAATCGTCTCACTTCCTGTCTGCCCCCCCCCACACACCTTACTCTTTGTGTGTGTGTGTGTGTGTGTGTGTTCAGTCTTCGACACGTAACACGAGCAAACTCAGAAACTGGACCACAGACAGTCTGAGGAGAGATCTGATTGGTCGATTTCCTCACAGCTTTGACTCTCAGACTCAGACTCGTGTCGTTTGTCGACCTTTAATTCATGGCTGTGTCATTCTGAAGGTCATTAAAGGTCATTAAAGAGACAGCGCATCATCACACTCTCTCCATGACCACAAATGAACCAGCGTCCGATCACATGATCAGCTGAGTGGGAGTAAACAGGAGTATTTGTTGATCGTCAGCATCCTATCAGTGCGGGGGACGGCGGCCTGGAGTCTGTGTGTCTGACTGACATGTTCACAGACTCTCAGGTGGTCTTACATGCTGCTTTAACACTCTGAACATGAACCACGCCGCTGTCGTCCCCTTCTTAGCTCCATAAGGCGGATGTTTTGCCGCCTCATGCTGGTCTTAAGCTGGTGAACACATGAACATTGATCCTTCCTTCTGCTGTCTAATCTCCTCCTTCAGGAATCTGTAAGCTGATTAAAAAAACCCGTTTCTTTATGATCCTCCTCATTCACTCAGGGAAATCCACCCTGACGTGCATTACTGCCCCCTGCTGTGTTGGAGTGTGCATGAACTGACCTGAGCCCGCATGAAACTGCTCCAAGACCCACTTTTAGGTTCTGATCCACCCGTGGAGAACCGTCCTGTGATCCTGAAGAGACTCTGTCGAGTTTTCAAAACAAACCCTCTCTAACCTCTCTCTCCTCTCTCCTCTCTCCTCTCTCCTCTCTCCTCTGAGGAACCTGCGGGTGTTCCCATGTCGCTGCTCACACGCAAACACACAAACACACTAACACACTTTTACACTCACACACATTTTCATTTACTGTACTTGTGGGGACAGACTATAATGACAAAACTTTTGAGGACTGAAAAAAGCGAGACGTCCTCTGTGTGTCACTTTAGACAAACTGTTCATATCTGATGGCAATACTGAGGACATACTGAGAACACACACACACACACACACACAGACACACACACTCACACACATTTTCATTTACTGTAATAGTGAGGACAGGCCATAAATGTTCTAACTTTTAAAGGACTGAAAAGAGGAAGATGTCCTCTGTGTGAGAAACTGTTCATTTCTGATGATAATACTGAGCACACACACACACACACACACATACACAGACACACACACTCACACACACACACACACTGATAGTTTCAGCTCTATTGAGACTGTAAATACCAGTAATTGTATCCCCTGCCACCTCCTCCCTCTGTCAGCGCCCTGTTATTAGGTCCAGAGTGTGTGTGTGCGTGTGTGTAAGTGTGTGTGTGTGCGTGCGTGCTTGTTTTTGTCTGGGTGTGACCCGATAGGTCTCCATTGATTATCCCCCCCAGAGTGAAGAGGGTTCATTAACTGAGTCCAGCTGCAGTTTTTCCTCCTCTAAGGAAGTCTGAACCAACAAAAAACACAACGTAGGATCTGGATCCACCAGAGTCCATGTCCTGGTGTCTTCTACATCTATGAAGACTCCATTAATGCTGAACAACATCTACAGGTGTAGGAGCATCAGGACTCTGTAGTTGGAGTCACCGCATGGGCTTAAAATCACTGAGCTGTCCTGAGGTCTGATGGATCAAAATCTAACACTCTTTTGGAAAGGACAACTGGACTTAATTGTCTCAATTAAGTCCAGTTGTCCTTTCAACGTAGAACTGGAAACCATAGATGCTGCATCCTCGGTTTCAAAAAATATCTCCGGGTTTAGAATCAACATCTGTGTCCATCCAGACAAAGACTTTTCAGTGAAGACCTTCATTTGATCCCAAACCACATTAATTTATTTTTTAATAACTTGTTTTCTGGTCTCTGTTTTTGTCGTCCCGTTCAGGAGTGGTCTCCAGACGCCAGTCGCTCCATCAGCAGGAAGGAGCGAAGCGGAGACTCTGTGGACAACGTGGTCACTCTCACCAACATCGTCTCCTCGGGCGGAGGCGACGCCCCGCCTAGTCCTATCACCATGGAGACGGGCAGGTAGGGAGACACCTCCGTGTCTGCTACAGACAGATGACAACAGTCCGTGTGGTCAGACTGTGTCATTACAGGAGAGGATCTACTTCCTGTTCTGACGTTTTTCCACTGAGGGATAATGAGCATGTCTGCCCTGTGTGTGTGTGTGTGTGTGTGTGTGCACAAACATGTGATAGAGGAACACCATGTGGTGTAGTTTGTTGTCACCCTGAGGAGATCACATGACTGTAATTGTGCGTCTGAGTCTGTGTCAGATCCAGATTTATCTTCTCTCTCCTCCAGTTTCCTCAAAACCTTCAGACCTCTGACTCAGAGTCAGTTTCTGCTCTTCTTATCTAAACCCCCAACCACTAAAGTCTTTCTCATCTACATGTGAGAAAGAAGATCAAACCTATAAATATAAATATGTTGATTAGTGGAGTGTGTTAACCACATTTGACTAAAGACATTTTCACACATTTGGACGTTCAGTTGGAGTCTTCAGACTCTACAGGAAATGATCAAACCTCCGTCTTCAGCTGAGCTCTGAAGGTTTCAGGGTTTTTAAAACTTCACATCCTCTTTGTCTGAAGGTTCAAAATAAAAAATCAAACCTCTGAGTGTTTAATAAAGTTTTTAATATATTTTATTGAACGTTTAGCGTCACATTTTTATCAAACAGTTAATACATTCTTGTTTTTCATAAACACCAAATCCCCAAAACAAAAACAAAGACAAATTCCAACTTAATCACAGTCCAGTCCTGCATTAACAAGTATCAGAGTGTTGAAACCTCATGCATACACACATATCACTTACAATGATAATGACAATACAGACAACAGAACCCCCCCCCCCAGTCTGATAGCCATCTTGTCCTGGTTTGGGAAGAGTCGTCCAGAATAAACTGCGTATCCTTGGCCTCACAAAAACAAGAAATAGAGTCCAAACAGGACAGAGCTGTCCAACTGTCCCTCTGGACCAATATGTCAAATATTCCATATGAAGCAAATCAAACATGACTTTATGCCAGTCAGAGACAGTCGGTGGTTTATGTGAAATTCATTTCAATAGTTCACTTTTACATGCAGCAGTTTTTGATTGTGAGTGTCGTTAATTTGAGGATGAGGTATTCCTAAGAGAAGTCAGACTGGATCCACCTTCATGTTCTTACTGAAAACTGAATTAAGCTTTGTGATCATTTTGATCTGACAGTCTTGAATATGAGTGCATGAACATATTGACTGTATAAAACTGCCAACCTCTTTTCTACATGTGACACATACAGACGACTTTTCAGGGTCCGTTAATAAAGTTTTTAAAATCTTAGAAAATGTTCATTTCGTCCCTCGTCTGAAAAACAGAGTCTGTTATTATAGATGTTCTAGATAGATTTACACTTCCTGTTTAAAAAAAGTCCAGATTCTCCTCTCCAGGTTTAGATGTGGGTTTCTGAAGATGGTGTGTTTGTGTTTGTCTGACCGACCGACCGTCTGTCTGTCTGTCCGCTCTCTGGTCTCCTCCCTCAGGGTGAAAGATTATTCGTCAGACTGGTCAGACGAGGACAGTCCTAAGAAGGTGCTGGCTGTGAACGGCGTGGGGGAGGCCGGGGACGAGGATGAGGATCAGGTAGAGGGGGTGCGAGTCCGAGCGCTGTATGATTACACGGGCCAGGAGGCTGATGAGCTCAGCTTTAAAGCAGGTATTAACACTGACTAACGCTCTGATACAGGGGGAGGCATCACAGAGAGAGAGGGGGATCAGCTGTTTTCTGAAGAGTGAAAAAAAGTTAAAAAGTTTCAGAGACCTATAGTCTGTTTCCTCCTCTGTGATGCCTCGTCCTTCATTTCCACTCTCATGTTGGTGCAGCTTCAGACTTTCAGACATGAGTTAGGATGGATCCACGCCGACTCTCTTCAGACGATGATCCAGAGTCTGCTCACTAACTCTGTTTATTTTAAAGTTCACACACAGACTGGATTCATCTCATAAAGGTGTTTTTTTCATTTCTCCATGAAGACTCTGAGCTGGTTTCTCCTCTGCAGTTTCATTCAGATCATCAGCTCGGACTGATCTGAACGTTAACATCGAGTCAAACACCGAAAAACAACGAGCTACAAAATAAAAGCACTCAGAGCTCAACTCACAGTCATGCTTTTATTTTGGAGAGTCCCGTTGTTCTTAGTTTTATTTCATATCTAACCTGCTTTGGTAGAAAATTCAGGGATTCCTGTTGGAAGTAAAACCTGTTTTTTTTTTTCTTCAGGTTTTATTTTCCTGACTCATGTTTTCACATCGACAGAAACATCTAGAATCCTTTATTTCTATCTCATCCTGACGTGAGTGTTTGTAACGTTGACTCTCCTGATCTCTATGATCAGGAGCAAATATGACTTAACCCCGAAACAATCCTAATTCTCAGCTGTTTTCTTATAGTATTAGACGTCCTTAATAACAAACTCAGAGTTTGACCGCTAGAAAGGCGCCATTTTCAAGATGGCGTCCATGATGGGTTCACTCCAGGTAAATAGGGTAAAATTTGTAACAAACAGATATCACCATGAAACTTCCAGAGTTCATAACTTACTTTAAGACAAATATTTTTTATATTACAAGTTTAGTCAAATGTTCTGTTTGAATATGTAAATGAGGTCATATCTAATTAAATATGCACTAATTTACAGACATTTACAGAAAACTGAACGATAGATAAAGAGCCTTTTAAAAATCATGTTTTATTTTGTTGACAGACTAGAGTCAGAGGGGGGAGGAGACTTTGGATAACTCTGTTTATCTCTCTGTAAATGAGAAAATACTGAAACCACCTCTAAAAACTCAAATATCTTCATGTGTTTTTATTTCAGGTCCTTAAAATGATCATTACACCTGCGTAGACCAGGAATACTGGCGCCTGATACGTGTTTGGACCATCAAATATTCTAATTAGCATATTTGAATGATAGATAAGTTATTATGTATAATTATAATTGTAATTATATATTAAAGTTATTGGTTACAATCCTATTTATTTGAAAAAATAAGTATAATTTCCCTTCAATAATTGCATATTTCTCCTGTCTCATATTGTTTTGTCTTGTGTTGGTGGTTCCTGTTATTCATAATCATTATTTTGATTCCAAGAAAGAATAAATTCATTAGAGCTGTGTGGTAACGTAAAATTAGGCTCTTAAAACAAATCTTTATACTTTTCTTTTTCTATTTTCTTCAGGTCTGTCTTCTTATTCTGGTTTGTTTTTATACTTTTTTAAACTTCTTATTAAGCTTTAACAGAAGAGCGTCTCACACAGTTTGATGAGTCATGGTTGGAGGATTGAAGGCGGGGTCTCTGCCCCGGCGTGGTCCACCTCGTCTCTCAGTCTCTTTTCTTCTGCAGTCCTGACTCTAAAGCTGCTTTTCCTCTCAGCGGGGTTTCAGCTCTGAACGTCTGTTCCACTTTCTCCACCACAGACACCAGAGCGTGAAAATAACCAGGATGATGGTGGACCTCCGCGGGGGTTTGGTTATTGGTACTATAAGTAACCTTTGACCTACATTTAAAACCGTTTGGACTCCTCGTTTTAAATAAAGTCGGACCTTTACTGACTCTCTAAAACCTGGATCAGGTAAAAACCGGGTCAGGTCTGTGTTTGAGCTTAAAGACACAAAGGTCAGAGAGTCTATGTGACCTGACGGAGGAGGGGGGTCAGGTCTGCTTAACCAGACGGCTGATGAACTCAGACACGCCTCCTCCTTCTCCTCCCTTGTGGCGGCGGTGGTGTTGTTGTTGTTGATGAATCTGAGGAAATGTTTACTTCCTGTCAGCTGACTCTTGTTCCTCCTGCAGGCGAGGAGCTGCTGAAGCTGGGGGAGGAGGACGAGCAGGGCTGGTGTAAAGGACAGCTGAGCAGCGGCCAGGTCGGCCTTTATCCCGCCAACTACGTCCAGGTGATCCCTACTTGATGTCCCGCCCCCTCCGCTCACCCAGCCAATGGTACATCCACACACACAAGATGCCAGGACCAATCAGAAGCTGTTAGTGCCGACACGTAGACACGACCTCAGTCTGTGCTCTCTGACTCTCCAACCGTCCCAGTTTTTTCTTTTCTTCTTCCTGTTCTCTGTTCGCCGCCTTTCTGAACTCCAGCGCGTGGAAAAGTTCGCTCCACGCTGACTCAGTCCGAGGTCAGCGAGGGTTCTGATTGGACGAGCTCTTCTGGAGGTCCGCCATCGTGAACTGACAAATTTCTAACCGGGCTCTGGACTGTAAATCTGTGAGAACTTCACTGACGGTGTCTCCGTCAGGATGGAGCTGAGGGGTCCGAGTCTGAAACCCACCAGTTAAACCAGTCACTCAGATATTCCCACCATCGCTCTAATCCCATCTGTACATTTACTTTTCTGTCTCCTCTCTCAGAGTCATCATTTCTAATCCAGGATGAAGTTTAAACTCCATTTCTGTCTCAGAACCACGAGCTGAATCTAAACTTTTATTATTTTATCCGACAGAGAAACTCAGGAGACGAGGAGTCGAGGGTTTGAGAGTCAGCTAAAAGAAAAAACCTCCATCTGCTCAGTGACAGTTATCTCCTCACTTATTCTTATTTTACACGAGCTGTCAGTCAAATCTGATCTTCAGTTTAACTCAGATCTGATTGGTCGCTGAGTTTTTCCAGATTAGTAAACAGGGAGAGTTCGAGCGCCTCCTGAGCGACAAACTAACGTAAAATTATCCAGCAGATGGTGAGAGGAGGCAGTGAGGGGGTTTCTCCAAACAGAGAGAGGAGAAATTCTGTTTGTATTCAGCTCAGGCAAATTCAGAGTCAAAGAGGTGATGAGCGGTCCGGTCTGATCCTGCCCAGTCCGGTCCGGTCCAGTCTGGTCCGGTCCGATGAGTTCCCCACCTTTACTGGTTCACTACTGGTTCACTGTCTTTATGCTCTGTTAGGTGAACCTGCTGCTTTCTGTTTTTATTAAGATATTAATCTTGTAATCTCTGAAATACAAGCTTCAAGCTCCTGTGAGGAAGGTTAGTGTCAGGTTTGGCGCCTCCATGTGGACAGAGCAGTCTCTGCAGAGTTTGTCCTGCATCATTTTTGTTTCATGACGTGGAAACGTCAAACCGGTCTTCTGTAACAGCCCAGAGTGTCGATGATGGAGATTTATGTGGAAGAAAGACTGTAAGAGAAAAACAAAATCTGGAATAGAAGAAAAAAAAACAGAGAAACTCCTCACAGGAGCTTTAATTCTTCTCAGAGATGATTAAATTAAAGTACTTCTATAAATAAATCTCTAAATCTGTAAAATAAGGACCAGAGCCCCCCTGTAGGATATCAGCTGTTGTATTTAAAGCAGAGTCCGGTGTCCCAGGACCTGCAGAGTCCGGTGTCCCAGGACCTGCAGAGTCCGGTTTCTATCCCGGGACCTGCAGCCTCCTCCTCAGATTGACTCATCAGAGACTTCGTGCCTTAGCTGAGGCTGGGAATGCTCCTACCGCCCCCTGCTGTCTGATCTGGGAATTACAGCTGAAACCAGCAGTTATCTGAACTGTGCAAACTTTGATTATGCAGCGTGTGATTGGCTGTAGACCTTTTCGTGCCCCTCCCCCTCCAGGTGGTGACTTCAGGTGTGACACTGAATTGATTTTGATTTGATCGCTCTAAGTTCATGAGAATTGATCGTATTTCTTTTGCGGATGGTGTAAACTGTTGATTCCTGTTACTTTCAGTTTTTTAAGTAGACTTTTCACTCTCAGCTTAATTTATTTTCCTTTTTAGTAATGGTCCTAACTCTTAGTCTGACTCGGACAGGGAGGGAGCGGAGCTGAGTGTCGGCTCTCTGAAATGTAACCTGTGGTCTAAAAGAAATAATCTTATTTTGTGGGATTTTTGGGGTTTTTATGTTTGTGTTTTTGAGCGAGTCTCGTCTGTCCTGCTGATCATCAGAGTATTACTAACAGCTAAGCTAACCCGTGTAGACAGAAAACTAAAGCAGCTTTCCTGTACAGGACACTGAGAGGAAAACGCTAATAAACCGCTTTCTTCACATGACGGCGATCTTCACTGGGTTTGTTGTTATTTTTGCACCATTTACAAAAAACTCACGGCTTTTAAATGAAATCTGTTTAAGATTTTACATCCAAACTTTCTTTTACGACGGAGTTTTGATTTAATCAGATTTTAGTAGGTTATAAATGATTAAAAAAATGAATTTTGATAGAAATAATCCAGATAAAATTGATCTAATGTCAACACTGAAGAAATATAATATTAATGCTCATTTAAGCATTTCAAAAGATTTTTTAAAAGTTGGGAAAGGGACGAAAACACCCTGATAATTTGATCTGAGGACACGTCTCTCAATTAAACCGGTTATTAAAGAACATTTTGACATGACTGGATATTAAAAAAGGCGCTCAGGAGGTGAAGATGAGAGAATCACTGCTCTGTGTGAGGCTGTGAAAATTACACAGATGTAAACACAGATTTACACAGATCTAAAGTTTATCGTATAACTAAAAGATTCAGAAAATGGAGAAATTAGAGACGAATAAACTCAAAATATAATATATATAAACACGATTCACTGCTATGTCCACAAATGAGGTTAAAACAGTTAAATTTTTTAATGCAGCTCATATTTCACTACAACAAAACTATAAAACTGTTAATGTTTGTACTCCTGAAATAATTCATTTTGTTCTTATTTAATCCATAAACTCACTCCTCACCTGTGTCTACATCAAGTTTCATGTTTTTAAAAATGATCGACATGAAGACACAAAATCACCACATCATTTATTCTGTTTATAGTTTATTACAAATAGACTCACAGAAAACACAGACATGAAAGAGTTCGAGGTCTTCAAGCTTCTGTTTCAAACATCTTCTTCCTGCCGTCCATACCGGCTTTGTCTTCGATGTTCTTCCTCCAGTTTCCTGTTTTTACCTCCTGAATCAAACACACGAGAGAGAAACGATTAAAATCACTCGTATCTGAAAGTTCCAGATGTCAGAGAGTCGGCAGCACCCACCTCCTCTTTGACCTCCTTCTTGACCTGCTTCAGGTTGGCTCTCAGGTCCATGGACACTTTATGTTTGGAGCCCAGCAGAGCGGCCAGCATGGCGTCAGCGGACATCCGGACTTTCTTCAGCGCCGGCTTCTTGAACTTTCCTCCAAGGTCCCGAACCATCAGCTTCAGGTCGTCGATCTAATGGAGAACACAGATATTTAATGTCTTACATCACCTGGGTTATCTTAGGAAACTTTGAAGATCTGGACCCAAACAGAAGAGCTTCATCCCAACAAGAAAAGAAAACATATGACTGGTGTGACGCACCTCCTTGTTGGACTTTTTCATTTTCATCTCCATGTCGTATCGCTCATCGTCCACCAGATCGATCTGCTTGTGGACTTTGCGGCAGAGTTCCTGGAGTCATGATGGACAGGAACAGAGAGAGGATCAGGGTGAGCTTTCATAACGCTGCTCTTCTCGTAACCTTTATGACCTTTAATCTAATCTTCTCTGGATGTTTAAGGTTCACCTGCAGCTCCTGCATGCAGTTTGGGATGGAGAGAGGAGGACAGCTCTCCTCCATGTACTGGTCCTTCTCCTGCTCTGCTTCACGAGCCTCCTCCTCCAACATGGCCTCCCCGATCTGCAGCAGTAAACTCTGGAAGAGAGGAGGAGGAGGATGACTCAGCACAAACACAGTCATGTTTTCAGTGTTGACTCTTTAACCCGAGGGTGAAGCTCAAAGAAAACTCGTGGAGGAGAACTCGATTCCTCCTATTTATGGAGGAAAGGTCAGGATGGTCCAACAGATCCCAACAAATACTTTGATTTTTATATAACAGAGGATTAGGGGTCATAAACACTGACGCTAAAACAGTTTCATCTAGATCTAAGGTTTGGAGATTTTGGACGTGAACCGAACCGTGACTTTAAGGTGAAGCGAAGTGAGCAGGATGTGATGGGAAGTAAAATCTGAACAGGATGAGATTAAACCTCCTCGGACATTTAAACCTTAACGCCTTATTAATAATGACGGGCACAGCAGTTCTTTTAGATGTACTGAATCACTCGAATCAGTTCACTAAAAAGATTCGTTCAAAAGATTCATTCACCGAATCACCAAATCATTCAGCTCTTGGCAGGAGGAGCCTGTGACCCCGACCTCCTGAACTGATAAACAGCTGATCGTTCAGGATTCAGTTCAATTCACGGTTTCTGGGACCAGGAGACGAGAGTGTCTGTGTTGCTTTGGCAAACAGGTTTTTTAAAACTGTAACTTGTCTATAAGTCATGATGGGGTCAGTGAGTGATTCGTTCACTGAACGTCTAGAAGAATTCACACTGAACATGAACCGTTCCCTCGCTGCAATGACAGGATGCTGCGGGTTTAACGCACTACTGCTATTCCAAAGCGTGTAGTTCAATGCGTGACGTGATTCAGTCACCGGTGTATGCGGTCCCTTGTTCCCTGTCTGCTCGCCTGGCAATGCTGCGTGCCAAACCTGCTGCACTGCTGACGGCTCAACTGAACTGAGAAATGAACGAATCACTTGAGGAAGTGATTCTGTTCAGTACTTCACTTACAAGATTCGGTTCTTTTGAACGAATCGTTTGCGAACGACTCAACACAACTTATAACTGCTCCTCAAATCTGAAGTTTGGTGATCTCCTTCAATCCTTCTTAAACTTTATCAAAGATCTGAAACAGAAAACTCCCACAGAGTCCTCTTTACCGTCACTGTTCGCAGGATCAGCAGCTGCAGCTGTTCCTCATTTTTTGCCGTTTTTTCACTTTAACATTCAAACCAACTAAACAAGAGAAATGAGACTCAGGGCCGTTATTTTACCTTGAGCTGGTTCCTCCGGCTGGACGACATCTTTTTCCTTTAAAGAAAGAAGAAAAGAAAAATGTAAAATGATGAAGAGTTCGTCTTAAAGTTCGGATCTTTAGAAGTTTAAAGAGTTCAGATGAGGACTCACTCTGCAGACATCCTGACGGCAGCTGAGTCCTCCTGCAGATTCAGAGACAAATGGAAACACCAGCAGCTCTCTGGTCTCTTTATAGGTGATGGTTCAGTGTGTGTGTGTGTGTGTGTGTGTGTGTGTGTGTGTGTCAGTAGCAGTTGTCTTCAGAAGCTGTGGGTTGAATACCGATGGCAGCAGCTGATCCTGAAACAAACACTCCAGGATTTTTGTAGAAGAGTCTTCGGACGATCAGAGACCCTCACAGATCTGAGTCCTGATGAAACCAGCGTTTGTGTTTTTACTCTGATTTATCTTCATCACGGAGGAGGATGAAGAACTGACTGATATTAAAGCTCCTGTGAGGATTTTTTTAACTGCTAATAACTCCGTTTAAAATGGCCGCTGATGTTTTTTTCTATGACCAACAACAGCAAATAAAACAATAAGAGAGAAAAGAGACGAACTTTATGAAAACACGAGTCAAAATCAAAAACGATCCCAACAACCTGAACGTTCCTGACAGGAGCTTTAACTCTCCAAACTCTGAGGATATTTCAGACATATCGAGTATCTAAAATATTGTAAGATTGATTTTGTTTCTTTAAAAACTTGTCAGTGAAGCTCTCTGTTACATTTATTATTGATTAGACTCTATAGTTAATTTCTAGTGTTTATTCTGCTGTGAAATAACAGCTGTTTAAACAAAATGGTCGGTTTTCTCTAGTTTAAGTTCTTTGTCTTTTAAAATCTTTGTTTAAACTTTAAGATGATAGTTTAAGTTTTTATAAATGTTTTTAAAGGTTTTGGTCTGAACCTGAGTTTGTCACTGACAGAGTAAGAGACAGATTTAAATATCCATCATTATCAGCCCTAAAATAAAACATATGACTGACTTTATGAACGCAGCGTCCTCGTCCATCAGGAGACAAAGTCTAGTTTTCACAGATCTGTGTGATATTTATAGAGAGACTAAAACCAGAAAAGTCCAGATCTTCATAAATACCTGAGACAACAAAGGCTGAGTAAAACCAGATTAGGGGGTTTCTCTGCTGGTCCTGGTTTCCTCTGACTCAGCTGTAGTCTCTAACAGCTGATGTCTCGTCTCGTCTGGTCAGTTTTTCACCGACTGTAAATAAAGATATTTATTTATTCTCTATATAAAAACTATTAGGATACAGACGTGGAAAAACAGCCTGGAGTAAACAAAGTGAAGTGTGCTGATGAAGGTTCATTGTTCAAATAATCATGTAATTCGAAGGTTATTATCACTTTAAGTTCATTTTGGTGTCAGTGAATAAAGATTTGCTTTTAATGTACAAAGCTTATTAACTCGCCATTTGAATAATACACTGTTATATTGCTCACGAACACTTTTCAACACTTTTTCTATTAAATAAAATAATAAAAATCAATCTCATGAATCAAACTGTGGAAGGAGAAGTTTTTTAAAAATATGATCTTAACTGAGATGAGATAAAAACACGAAAATTCAGTGTACTGCAGACGTGGTTAGATTAATCTATTAAAATAAAACAAAGAAAACCTTTAAATTAAAATGGTGATTAAAGAGGAAGCAAGACGGATGTTTTTTTACTGAACCAGAAAAAGACTCCCAGCAGCTGTCAGCTCCAAACTGGGAGGATTTACAGCTCCTACTGGTTCCCATCAGCTGCTCAGACACTGTGGGAGGGACACACACACACACACACACACACACACACACACACACACACAAAAGCCGTATTGAAATGATAGCGTTATTAACCCTTTCATGCATGAATTATGATATATTGAGTTAAAAAATTCTTACTATGTGTTTTTATTCAATATAAGGCATATAAATAATATTGCAGTTGGAATTTTTTTTTTACCTGTTTCTGCTAAGTTTTTAGTGACATGTCCACTAAAGCGGACAACATGCATTTGGACGACATTACAGAAAATGAATTGTATTAATACAAATAATAGAACCCCACCCCAAAAAGGAGTCAAAACAATTAGATTCACATTTTAAAACATTTAAATTCTGTTTAAATGCACATTTCAAAACATGGCTTGTGTCAAACAACAGCAACAACAACTGTCAACTGTGTCAAACGAACTGAAACCATGAGCCTAATTAGGCTTCAGGCCAGGTGCTACAACTTCAGCCAGCACACTCAAAGCAAAAACAAATGCCATAGATTGGATCATTTATGAAAATAATAATTACAATAATAAAAGAAATAGTGCCTTAGTGACTATCCAAACACATTCAGTTGTCGATGCCCTGTACTACATTAGTTCACATTTGAAAAGAAGGCACACAGTGATATTGCATCGCTGGACGATGGCAGTTCCTCTACATTTCTGTACTTCCTCTGGTCCCTCTCTGTGTGTGAACCCTGCATATAATAAATAACATAATGTGAAAAATATTGCACAACCAATCAATCTTTCTTTCTATTTATCTTATATATGTATATATATTTTTTCCATTGTTTTTATAATATTTTGTGCATGCACTGTTAGTAGTGTGTGTGTGTGTGTGTGTGTGTGTGTGTGTGTGTGTGTGTGTGTGTGTGTGTGTGTGTGTGTGTGTGTGTGTGTGTTACAATGCGTGCACAAAATATATTTTTGCAAAAAATGTTTTATAAACATTGCAAAACTTGCACAAAGGCTGCACAAAATACAATATATACTATGCATGCACAAAATATAAAATACATGCACAACATTAATTTTTTGATACATACAATACAGGTTACCTTTTAATAACATAAAATGGTTGGTTTTAACTGAAAAGGTAAGCTTGAAATCAAACAATACAGGTTACCTTTTAATAACATAAAATGGTTGGTTTTAACTGAAAAGGTAAGCTTGAAATCAAGCATTTTGCAGAGATAAGGAGTTACACCATTTGCATGTATTGTAGTAGAAATAGTATAAGTCATGCATGCTGTCCACCGTAGTGGACAAATGGAAAATTCCAATTTCCTCAGAACATAAAAGCAATGCATGGAATTTTTTGCAACTATAGTAATTATTAGATGTTACTTTATCCCAAAATATTTTTTTTACCTGCAGGGCTCTGCTTTTATAAAAGGAAGCAGTGGAAATCCCAGAGGTGGAGGGTCTGTTCTCAGCAGAGGCAGCCATCTTGAATGTTGACGTGTTTTTTCTGCAGTTGCAACACATGGCCACATGGCACCAGTGTTGGACTCATTTTCCAGGGTCTACTGTAGTGGCTAACATGCATTTGTAACATCAAACCTCTATTTTTATAATAGAAAATGACCTTTGAAGATTTGTCCACTGTAGTGACCGTTATACGTGAAAGGGTTAACAGTATTATCATCAAGATATGATTTAATGAGAAGAGAAATTTTCTCCAGAGTATTAAATAGTTTATCAGTCATATGAAGTGTTTAATATTTATTGTTTTACAGAAATCATTTGAAAGAAACATGCAGACCTGGAGTTAAATTAACATCACGTCTCTTTAAGATGTGGAAAAGAAGCAGAGACCCATAAATGTTGTAAAACTGAAATATAAAGTAATTTAACCGTAAACAGACTTATCTTAAATATGACTGAGGTTGGTCGTTACACTGACTTTCCAGCTTTTATCTAACTTTTGAGTTAGTGGTTCATATTCAGTGTTTCTTACAGGTCATTCCTATATGAGGCCGAAGCCTGCAGTCTTGGGTTAAAATGAATAATCTTTTATCCTTTTAAATTCAGTATCTGGATTAAACCAGATACTGAATCAAAGCAAAGCTGATTATGTTAAAGGTTTAATAAAGATTTTCTCCACGGGTTATTATTATTATTATTATTATTACTATCATTATTATTATTATTATTGCTTGAAAATAAATTAAAAACGTTTTGAGGTTTTTTAAAAAGAGGCAAAAATTCTCAAACTGTAAAATTAAGTAAAATTCCTTGTTAATTTTGATGATGAAGAAAAGAGGTGGAACGATCAATCAACAGACTGATTGATCTGCCAAGTGAATATTTTGGAATAATAATTATTGGCAGATTTTTAGGTTAATTGATTTTGACACTGCAGGCAGACTAATGTTACAAAAGCGTTAAAATAAATAGCTCTAATTTAATGAAAATAACATTTTTTTATTTGTTTTTGAGAAGGACCAAAAGAAGAAGTGGAAACAGGATAATGTAACATCAGTCGGTTCAAATCAGCTGATTTTTCATTGAATTACCGGAAGCTGTTTGTTTATTCTGACCAAAAAGGCTTTTATTTTGAACTGATTGACCGGAAGTGAAGCAGCAGTATTATTAGAGTTAACTTGACAGTAGTGTGAAGATGGCGGCGTACAGTCGCCCTCAGCTGCTCCTGCTGCTCTTCTCCTCCGTCTGTCTCTGCGGTTTCGGTTCCGTCGTCGGAGGATCGAAGGCAGCCAGCGGCCCGGCAGAGCCCCCCAACCCGGCCGTCCTCAGAGCCGCAGACCCCCCGCTCAAAGATGCACCTGCTGCCGCCGCCGCCGCCGCTGGGGCCGCCGGGGCCTCACAGCCTCGAAGGGCGACCGGCTGGAAGCTGTCGGAGGAGGAGGCCTGCCGGGAGGACCTGACCCGCCTCTGCCCCAAACACACCTGGACCAACAACCTGGCCGTGCTGGAGTGTCTGCAGGACCGCAGAGAGGTAAGAGACCAGGGGGGCCACAGCGGTGCCTCCCTGCAGGTAACGGGAGTCTGCTGGGTGTGTCGCCCCGGTGGTCCAGATCAGGGGGATACTGATGCAGAGGTGGACCCCTGATGGAGGGCTGCACCTGCATCAGGGGTCCACACAGAACCAGGTTTAAATAAGGGACAGAGGACTTCTTTTTAATCCAGGACAGTCCGGATAATCTCAGAGGTGTTTGTTAATTTACTGTAAATAAACCTTAAAAGGTCTGAAGAGGAGATGATGTGTCTCTGTTAGTGGAGTTAATGATGGGAACATAAATCTGAAAACATGTCGGTCTGTTTTGGTTTTTAATGGTTTTTAATCTGTTTTTGAAGTTTATAGGTGTGTTAGTTCTCTGTTGTTGTGGTTTCTTTGCTTTTCTGGAGGTCGGTAGATTAAAAAGTTGATAATACAGGATAGACTTAAATAATCAGTCTGATTCTGCCTCTTCAGTCAATATTCAACAAAAGTCTTCATTTAGTGATTTAGTGTCAATATTGTGTACAACATTTGGTGTTGTCATGACTGAATAAACCACTACTACTAAAACTACTGCTACTACTACTACTCTAAAACCCCCTGATTATGGTCCAGATGGACTCAAACAAACATGATAACAGGAGGAACAGGATAGAGATCAGTCAAGATCAGTCAAGATCAGTCATGTCTGCAGATCTTCAGGCTCCTCTCACTCTCTGTAATTATTGTACAAAAATATATTTTCATGCTGGAATAAAAATGAGTTTTTATTAAATCTAAATAAAAACTGTAACTCTATTGGACCCAGAATGAAAAATGATATCAAACCTGTTTTTATTTTAATGCAAACATTTTTTAAATTAGAATTTATGGAAGGACTAAAAGACGGTCTTTTTTTAAAATGTCATTTCCAACAAATCCAACAAATCCCAGAATCAAATTTATAACACAGGCGAGTGAGTTAACCCCGAACAGACAAATCTTTCTGATGATGAAGAGACCGGACCACAAAAAGAGTTTCTGCGTTCAACAGTCCGGTCTGACAAACAACAGAACTGTTCAGACTTTAGAAGACTCAGGTCCACCACAGAGGACCGAAAAAGGTTCAGGTTTAGGTCAGAAAATCTCTGATCTTTAAAAAAGTTTATATCTCCACAAACAGATAATAATTATAATTATGTTGGAGTTTAATGATGAGTGTTTTTATCGATGGAGAAGAGAACCTGTCATCAGGTCTTCATCGTCAGCCTCAGAGGTCCCTGAAAGTTTCTTTAAAAGATCATTTTAAAAAAGATTTTTCACTTTTTTACGTCTGAGTTTGTTCAAAATATGAAACAAACTAAAGAAATAAAATATGAAATAATATTAACAGGGTCAAGTGAGTGAAAAACTCTCCCAACATGTCTGAGACTAAGAAGAGAAGGTGACTCCTCAGACTGAGTAAATGAAGCTTAAAGGTAAAATCTGTCAATTATTTCAAAAACATCATTAAAATCTGATTTAGGATTAAAAACCATAGAAGGATATTTTGAAGGAGTTTGTCGATGATGATAATTTAGCATCAATCAATCAAACCACTTTAAAAATAAAAAATAAGGCTGTCAGCACCAAAGCTGCGGGGTCGACCTCTGTGTGGCGCTTCCTTCTTCGACAGTTAAACTTGTTTTTAACGCCAAACGTTTCCCTACACGCTCCAGAGATTGGCGTCGTTTGAGAACACCTCTGCACAGGACAGCTGCTCGCCACCGCAACCTCAGAGAAGTAATTATCAACCAGAGAGAGGTGCGAAGTCTGGGAGTGTGTGTGTGTGTGTGTGAGTGTGTGTGTGAGTGTGTGTGTGTGAGTGTCATCCAGCTGTCACATGACTCTCAGAGAGGAGCTTAAACTCATTTTTAGAGTCTCTTTGTGATGAAGACAAACACACGCTCAGATGTTCTCCTCTCATGGTTCTGTGGGGACGTTTGCCTCCTACACACACACACACACACACACACACACACACACACACACACACGGAGTCAGACTCTTAGTTAAGAGTGTGTGTGAGTGGGTTGTTTCCACATTTAACTCTCAGTTCATCATCCGTCTAAAGAAAGCAGAGATCTGTCTCCTCAGTGAATCATGAGGTTTTGTGGTTTTGGGAGTCTGCGCAGAGATCTCTTGATGGTCCAGACCATCAGACCAGACCTCGATCTTTAGTCTGACCCATGTGGTTTCTGATGTTGTTGTTGTATAACTGTCTCATATTCGGGTTCCTCTGTAAGTTGGACTCCGGTTGATGTTCTCTTGTTTGTTGTTTCCTGTTCGATGTTGTTTCTGGTCGCAGCTCTTCGCTCAGATTTCTCTGTAAAACAAAAATAAATGAGGAAGTTGATTTTTCAATCAGAAATGTTGAATTATTTTAGTTTGAATCTTCTCAGCTGATCCGTCCTCCTGCAGAGAGACTGTGTCTGTTTTTTCTTTGGATCCATCTGGTCCAGACGTCTTCAGAGCCTGCAGATCAGTCTCTGGTTAACGGTCTCTGCTATGACGCTGTAATGTCCGACTACCTGGATGTAAACAGGAACAGCTGACAGAGAAGATTTCATGACTGTGTTTGTCCTCTGATGTAGAAAGTGGAGATATCACCGACAGATCGATGTGAAGTCAGAAACTGTAAATCTGCTCAGCTGGAGGAGTCCAGAGAGTCCAGAGCTCATCAGACCAAACTGTTTCTTTAACCAGACTGTCAACACGGTGATGCTCTGGACCGCTGAAGAAGTTTGTCTTCGGTTTAATTTTTGCATCTTCACACTGAAAACATGACGCCAGCTTCCTGTCCCTCTTACTCACTTTTGCAGCATCAGAACTTTCTTGAAAAATCATTCAGGACTCTCAGCTGAAACGTTCTCAGAAATCCTGGAGGGACTGATTATCATGTCTTCTCCTGACAGTCCCTGAAAAATAAGTCCCTGAACATCAATACAATAAAAGGAACTCCGATGGATGTTTAAAAAATTTAATAATATTGATTCAAATTAACCGAACATGAAAAAAAAATTCAAATTAACCATAATAAATTATCCTTAGAGTGAAAATTGACAAACCGGCAACAAGAATAACCACAAAATCAACCTTCACCAAGAAAATTAACCAAAAATCAAATGGAAAATCAAATCAAACAGAAAATAGCATCTCGGGTACAGAGACACCAGGCCTTAAATTGCCAATTTTCCCCATGGGGTTTGGTCTATTTTGCTCATTGTAACTAAAACATAAAAAAAATGTAGATCTAAAATGATTTTCATTTTAGATCTGAAGAAGCTTCTTGGATAAGAGGCGAAATGTCTTCTCAACTGTACACAGTCCAGTTGCCTGGATGAATGAGAATCTATATGGACATAACGCTCTGTAAATGTTTAAGAAATGATGAGACCGTTTCTGAAGTCTTCTTGGATCCTCACTGCTCAACAGTTCAGGATCTTGTTGGTTCTGTTTTTGGGGTCATGATGCTCCAAATGTCTCAGAGTCAGGACCGCATCAGTCCAGGACTCTTCTCCTACAGAGCCATGCTGTTGTCAGAATGTGGTTTGGGATCATATGAAGGTCTTCCCTGAAAAAGTCTTTGTCTGGATGGATGCAGATGTTGCTCCTAAACCTGGAGATATTGTTTAAAACTGAGGATGCAGTATCTATGATTGCCAGTTCTTCGTTGAAAGAACTAACTAAGAGATTTCAGATTTGACTTTACAACCATGGAGGGATCAGACGACGATGCTCGCCACTACACCATCATTCAGGCTGTTAACGTCAGGATTATTGACGGATTCTCTCCATATATAAATTCTAAGATTTGAGATTTTTAATCCGTGAATTCACGTCTGATCCTGATGAACTCGTCTGAGCCGATCATTCAATCTGAGAGATTTACCTCGGTGTGTGTTTGGACTTCTGCTCGAGGTTCTACGATGGTGCCCCTTATCGACGTCAGCCCCCCGTCCCTGCCTCAGCACACTGATGTCAACCACACACACACACACACACACACACACACACACACACACACACACACACACACACACACACACACACACACACACTCACTCACACACACACACACACACACTCCTCCAGTGGCTCTGACTGATGTCCTCTTCACTGAGATAATTACTTCGCTCTGACTCTATAACAGCTGTGACCTCCTGAAGACGTAAATGACTCTGATAAATCACAGACACACACACACACACACACACACACACTCTCTCTCTCTCTCAGGGGTGTGTGGTTCCAGCGCAGTGTTTCAGTACTTATTTGCGGTGCGAGCTCTGATATCCGACACTTGATGGACGTCTGAGGAGCAGCGGCGCTTTAACAAACCGACTCGTGGAGAACTCGGACCAGCGGGCCTGAGGGCGTTTCCAGCTGTGCTCATTAAGTCAGACCGTCACCTTCAGGCCGGAGATCGGCATTGTGGGTAAAAACAGTCTGCAGGGCTGCAGCCTGTCTGCCTCTTTAGTCATCAGAGTGACTGTTTTATTAAAGCTCCTCTAAGGGGTTTTTAACGAGGTTTGGTTTCGTCCTGATGTTTCTTCATGACCCACATAAAAATGAGATTATCAGAATAAAGGCCGGTTCTTTATACTGAGTTTTGGTGCCAGAGTTCGGCTCAGATAGTCTCTGATATTTCCTCATAAATTTAGTTTATTTGAGTTTTTATTTTCCAATACCAATAATTATTATCCAATAATATTATACCAATAATAATTGCGTCTTTGAGTTCATGAAAAGTGCTTTACAAATAAAATGTATTATTATTATTATTATTAATACCAATAATTGGTTAAAATATAGAACAGGTTTAACTAAGTGTCGTGTCGTTGATGTTGATGCTGGGAGTTTGGGGCACATGAAGGTTTTCTGACTCCAGGGGGCGCTGCGTTCTAGGGATCCACCAATCCGATATTTGGATCGGATATCGGCTCCGATATCGACAAATTACCTGGATCGGATATCTGATGAATGATGCCGTTTCAGCGTTCTGATCCCGTCTTATTTTTCCTTTTAATTCATATCAAACACAGAAACACAGCGATTCTGTTGACTGTCCTTTCGCACTAAATCAGGGCTGCACTATGTGTAGTTTGAGCGATCCACCAATCACGTTTGTTCTTTACTCAGATACCAGCTGTCAGTCAAAATTAGAGAGGAGGAAACCACGCCCCTGCACATGGAGTGAGTTGCTGACGCTGCCGTTGTTGTGCTGATGACATCGTACCCACCAAGAACTACTTTGAGAACATTCCTCATCGCTGTTTAGCCCCACAAATAAGAAGTGCGTGGGTTTGAAGTTGTACATTTCCGTGGACCACTCTACTATAAGCAGTGAGCGTTTTGTGAGGTGTATGCAAGAGTCTCATCTTTATGATGGGGGTTCACGGTGCTCATGGGAAATACAGTCTTGAAATAAAACTACAATTTTTTGTGCTAATGGGGTTTTCCAGAATCAACCAGAAAAGTTCCTTACTGTGTCTTTAACTGGCGAATAAGAAGCTCCCCTCCTGTTACAGTTCCGTTTTATTTGCCTTGTTTGCCTGTCAGAGTGAATTACAGCCTGTGGAGGAGGAGCCTTGAGTGTTTTGGCTTCATTTTTACTGAGCTGACATGCCGTCCATCTTATTTAAGGTCTTTGTTTTCTCCTGAAACCTCTGCTTTAAAAACAGGGCGAATTAAACAGTTTGAGGGTCAAAGAGTTTCTGCAGAACGTGGATCTGACAGACACGGGCCTGAGACCGGGTCCATCCTGTCCCGTATAAAGGATGTTGGTACAGTCTGGCGCTGCTGCAGACCAGCAGGGACTTCAGTATGAGTGACGGCGCCGTTACAGTCGAGCCACAGTAAAGCTCTTGTTGGCTGTCAGAGGCGGACGCTCGGTCCTGTGTGTGTCACATGACCCCTGAGGTTCCTCACCCAGCAGCTGTGTGAGCGTGTTATTATCAGTGTTATTATCAGTGTTATTATTAGTGTTATTATCGGTGTTATTATCTGTGTTATTATCAGTGTTATCAGTGTTATTATCAGTGTTATTATTAGTGTTATTATCAGTGTTATTATCAGTGTTATTATTAGTGTTATTATAGGTGTTATTATCAGTGTTATTATCAGTGTTATTATCAGTGTTATTATCAGTGTTATTATTAGTGTTATTATCAGTGTTATTATCAGTGTTATTATCAGTGTTATTATCAGTGTTATTATTAGTGTTATTATCAGTGTTATTATCAGTGTTATTATCAGTGTTATTATTAGTATTATTATCAGTGTTATTATCAGTGTTATTATCAGTGTTATTATCAGTGTTATCATCAGTGTTATTATCAGTGTTATTATCAGTGTTATCATCAGTGTTATTATTAGTGTTATTATCAGTGTTATTATTAGTGTTATCGGTGTTATTATCAGTGTTATCAGTGTTATTATCAGTGTTATTATCAGTGTTATTATTAGTGTTATTATCAGTGTTATTATCAGTGTTATTATCAGTGTTATTATCAGTGTTATCATCAGTGTTATTATTAGTGTTATTATCAGTGTTATTATTAGTGTTATCGGTGTTATTATCAGTGTTATCAGTGTTATTATCGGTGTTATTATCAGTGTTATCAGTGTTATTATTAGTGTTATTATCAGTGTTATTATCAGTGTTATCAGTGTTATTATCAGTGTTATTATTAGTGTTATTATCAGTGTTATTATCAGTGTTATCAGTGTTATTATCAGTGTTATTATCAGTGTTATTATCGGTGTTATTATCAGTGTTATTATCAGTGTTATTATCAGTGTTATCAGTGTTATTATTAGTGTTATTATCAGTGTTATTATCAGTGTTATCAGTGTTATTATCAGTGTCATTATCAGTGTTATTATCAGTGTTATTATCAGTGTTATTATTAGTGTCATTATCAGTGTTATTATCAGTGTTATTATCAGTGTTATTATCAGTGTTATTATTAGTGTCATTATCAGTGTTATCAGTGTTATTATCAGTGTTATTATCAGTGTTATTATCAGTGTTATCAGTGTTATTATCAGTGTTATTTTCAGTGTTGTTATCAGTGTTATTATCAGTGTTATTATCAGTGTTATCAGTGTTATTATCAGTGTCATTATCAGTGTTATTATCAGTGTTATTATCAGTGTTATCAGTGTTATTATCAGTGTTATTTTCAGTGTTGTTATCAGTGTTATTATCGGTGTTAGTATCGGTGTTATTATCAGTGTTATCAGTGTTATCATCAGTGTTATTATCAGTGTTATTATCAGTGTTATTATCAGTGTTATTATTATCAGTGTTATTATCAGTGTTATTATCAGTATTATTATTATCAGTGTTATTATCAGTGTTATCATCAGTGTTATTATCAGTGTTATTATCAGTGTTATTATCAGTATTATTATTATCAGTGTTATTATCAGTGTTATTATTAGTGTTATTATCAGTGTTATCAGTGTTATTATCAGTGTTATTATCAGTGTTATTATCAGTGTTATTATCAGTGTTATTATTAGTGTTATTATCAGTGTTATTATCAGTGTTATTATCAGTGTTATTATCAGCCTCTCAGAGACTTGGATGCAGAGACATCTGCATCATCTCCTCATTAATTAATCAGTGGTTGCCGGACTAATTGCTGGTTGTTTTATCTTGAAGGCAGCGGAGACTTTCTTCTCCCTCATTACACGTGTTCGTCTGTCTCTGAAACATGAAGTTGAATTGACAGTTTGGAGTCAGAGGGAGGCTTTTTGTGTCTCTGTTCCCGTGGGCAGAGCCGAGTTAACGCTCAGCAGCAGCAGCAGCAGCAGCAGCAGCAGCACTTTCATGTCTCTTTACAGTGAAGTGAAGGAGTCAGGAGAGTCTCTCCCGCTGTGATTCCTCGGATTGTCGAGGATGTTGAAGGAGAGTCGCTCAAGCTTTTGTTCTTTTTAACCACTCAGAGAAAAACGCCGCTTAGCCTGTTTACAGCTCGACGTTTCCTCTCCTGATTCAGATATATGAGAGTGAACTCAGACTGGCAGGTGGAAAACGACCCAGAGACACAAAGAGTTTCAAATAAAAGACTGTGAAAGACTGTAATAGACTGTAAAAGACTGTTGTAAGGTGTGAGAATAAAAAAAAACATTTCTGTGTTTCCTGACGGATCTGTTTCTGTCTGTGTCTCTGCAGGAAACTGAGATCGCCCCAGACTGCAATCATGTGAGTATCCTCTAAACAAAACACACACACACACACACACACACACACACACACACACACACACACACACACACACACACACACACACACACACACACACACACACACACATTCACCAACACTGGAGTTTTTATCGAGATTGAGAGGAAACTTAAGAGGGCCGATCGATGATCTGTTTTTGTTCTCCTCCAGTTCGATCATCCAGCCTTCTTGTTCTTTCTGCAAAATTATGGATCAGAAAAACCAGAACTCGCTCTTACTCACAAACTTCAAACACACCCAGACCTGGTCTTACAGGGTCCATTTTAGAGCCTGACCAATATGGATTTTTTTGGGCTGATACCAATACCAATTATTAGGGGGAAAAAATCTGATTACCGATTAATCGGCTGATTTTTAAAAATTTTTATGAAGTTATAAAAAACATATATGTACTGTAGGCTACTGCTCTTCCCGCCGACAGGAAGACCGACTGATCAAACTCAGACCGAAAAATCGTTTTCAACCCCCCCCCCCCCCGATCGTTTTCTCCGCATCTTCACTCCCGTTCCTCATTTCCGGTCCGGTTTCATCTGTAGACCTGCAGCTGCCTCAGTCAGAGAATTACCTCGATCACTAATGTGTTCTGTTGTTTATTCTACCGTTACTGGCACGGCTAACAGTGTAGCAAGGCTAATAGCAGGTGGCTAACTCTAACTTTAGCTTCATATCCCATGGTGCGTTAAGTGGGCGTGACCGAGACCAGCACAGCGGGGAACATGGTGAAGTGGGTTGAACTGAAACTTGTTGACTTATTGTGTTTTTCACAAACTGGTTTATTTCCCGTTGAGGCGGACCACTCTCCTCCGTGTCCCTGAGCTGCTGCTTCAGATCCGTCACTCTGCTGTGCTGTGAGGTAGTTAGTGGATGAAGATTGTCATGAGGTCGCTGTAGCGCCATCTTCAGGATAAGTCTGGGAACTTTTCAAATGGAATATTTTCAAAGTGAATCCGAATCTTATTCTCCGCATTTTATTTCTGAAAATATCGCTGAAAATCGGCGAGTTTTGGCTAATTACTGATTTGTCTCAAACGGGATAAAATTGGCCGATTTAATCGACTCGCCGATAAATCGGTCGGGTCTTAGTCCATTTGTGGGACACTTCTTAACGACAATCTTTGCACAATTCTTCACTAAAACCTCTGATTCCCATAATCACATTAAAGTAGTTTTATCCGTGCTCAGAGTCAAAAACACTAAAAACACAAAAACACTAAAAACACAAAAACACTTTAAACACAAAAACACTAAAAACACAGCGGTCAAGGTTCGCTCTCTGATTCTCAGACCACAGTGACGAGGTGAACAGGTTCATAATCCAAGTTAGGATCTTCAGCTGAGGTTCCTGCAGAACCTCCACAAACGCTCCTCCTCCTCCTCCTCCTCCTCTCTGACATTCATCCTGCGGTTCCTGCTTCTCTCCGTCTCGGTCTGTCGGATGATTAACCTTCAGACTTCACTGCAGTTCACAGCAGACAGCTTTATGAAACGCCACGAGGTTAATCGACCACTTGAGCAGTCTTTATCACAGCACTGAAGGAGCTCTGCTGCAATTAACATGTCTCTATCTCTGTCTCACACACACACACACACACACACACACACACACACACACACAAACACACACACACACACACACACACACACACACACACCGGAGGACTCCTGTTTTGTTGTGGTGTTATTTTCCAGGCGGTCAAACTGTCAGAAGCTTTTATCTGCTGCTGCTGCAGCTGCGGCTCGACTGTCAGAGACATGAATAAAAAAGAGCAGAAGGAGAGAGAGAGGAGAGGAGAGAGAGAGAAAGAGAGAGAGAGAGAGAGAGAGAGAGAGAGAGAGAGAGAGAGAGAGTTTCTAGATAAAAGAGAGAGAGAGAGAGAGAGAGAGAGAGACGTCTTTATAGAATTAAACAACATCCAAAATGACTCAATGTCACTCTCAGAGAAGCTTTGTTCTGATCCTCTAGGTCAGTCTGAGACTGAGGAGACAGTTTGGAGACTTTTAGACAGATTTTAGAAAGACAGATCCAAACTTACAGACAATAATATCGAGACAGACTCCATAAACTCTGTCATTTCCATAATGTATTCATCAGACTCTCCATCTGCATACTAAACACTGACTAAACACTGACTAAACACTGATGTCTGCTGAACTACCGCAGGAGGTGAAAACTGTTTTATCAGGACAGAAAATAACAAACAAACAAACAAATATGGAAACGAGACACACGACCACGAAAACATAAAGATCCAAGTACAGTTCAGTTAACCTCAGCTAACTAGGAAGGAAGGGAAGGAAGGAAGAAAGGAAGGAAGAAAAGCAGAAAGAAAGAAAGAAAAAGAAAATGAAATAAAGAAAAAAGCAAGGAAGAAAGAAAAAAGGAAAAAAGCAAGGAAGAACGAGAGAAAAAAAAAGAAAGATAAAAATAAAGGAAGGAAGAAAGAAATAAAGGAAGGAAGAAAGGAAAGAGGAAAGAAAGAAAGAAAGAAAGAAAGAAAGAAAGAGAAAAAAAGAAAGGAAGGGAGGGAGGAAGGAAAGAGGAAAGAAAGAAAGGAAGGAAGGAAGAAAAAAGAAAAAGAAAATGAAATTAAGAAAAAAGCAAGGAAGAAAGAAAGACAGAAGCAAGGAAGAAATGAAAGGAACAAAGAAAGAGAGACAGAAAGAAAGAAAGAAGCAAAAAGCAAGGAAGAACTAGAGAAAGAAAGAAAGAAAGATAAAAATAAAGGAAGGAAGAAAGAAAAAAGAAAGAGGGAGGGAAGGAGGAAGAAGGAAAGAAATTTTAAAAGCGAGGTCAAATGAAAAAAACTGTAATGACCTCTGCTCACCACAGGTGTCGCCAAATACAACAAAGAGAGGTCTTTGTGTTTTCAGGTGTCCTTCACAGAGGAGCTTTAATCAGGTTAGAGTAAAACGAGCAGAAAACTGCAGCTCCTCAGGTCAACATCGTCACCTTTATGTCCATTTAAAGTCAAACAGAGAAGGAGACTCCATCAACACCACCATCATCAACACCACCATCATCAACACCACCTGTGTTTAAACGTCAGTCTCTGCAGATAAACATGTTTTGGTTTATATCTCTCTATTCAGACACTAACCTCAGAGGAAAACAGGACCCCCTCTCTTGTAAAAAATCTGTTTTTGTGTTTTTCTTTAAAGCTGCCGTCTCTAATCTCCTCTGTATCCGCACACAGAGGTTGTTCATTTTATATATTTATGTGTCGTCTCCTCTCTCCTTCAGCTCCTGTGGAATTACAAACTCAATCTGACCACCGATCCAAAGTTCGAGTCTGTGGCCTCCGAGGTCTGCAAGAGCACCATCGCTGAGGTCAGTGAGCGCCGCAGGAAGACTCGGCGTTTGGGCTCGCTGTCAGGACGGATGAATCCTGAATGTGCTGTCAGACAAAAAACACTAAAAAAACACAAACTGCAGTATTTTTAGAACTGATTTAGACTCAGGATCAGAACTGAAGTCCCAGTAACTTAGAGCTGAGTGTGGATCAGAACCAGAATTTAGGCTCCATGACTGTATTCACTCTCGGACCTCTAATGTCCTATCAGTCATTTTAATCAATAATTAATCAATAATCTTTGTTTCCCTCACCTTTGAATCCCTCAGATTAAGGAGTGTAACGAAGAAGAAAGGGGGAGGGGCTACCTGGTGTCCTGCCTGGTGGATCACCGTGGTAACATCAGCGAGTACCAGTGTAACCAGTACATCACCAAGATGACCAGCATCGTCTTCAGCGACTTCAGGCTGATCTGTGGATTCATGGACAAGTGCAAAGACGACATCAACAACCTCCACTGTGGGAGCATCAACGTGGGGCAGAAGGTCAGTCTGGACTCTGAGGAGCTTCAGTCTGGACTCTGAGGAGCTTCAGAGGAGCTTCAGTCTGGACTCTGAGGAGCTTCAGAGGAGCTTCAGTCTGGACTCTGAGGAGCTTCAGTCTGGACTCTAAAGGAGCTTCAGTCTGGACTCTGAGGAGATCAAATTAATCTGTGTCTCTCTCTCTTTCTCCTTTCGTCCTTCCTACATCTTCGTCTCCTTTGTCCTTTCCTTTCTCTCGTCTCCTCAGGACGTCCACTCTCAGGGCGAGGTCATTTCCTGTCTGGAGAAGGCGTTGGTGAGGGAGGTGGAGCAGAAAGATCAGGCCCATCCAATCAAAGAGGAGTGTCAGAGGGCGATCCTGCGGGTAGCCGAGCTGTCGTCGGACGACTTCCACCTCGACCGCCATCTTTACTTCTCCTGCCGAGACGACCGCGAGAGATTCTGTCAGAACGTGAGGAGACCTTTACAGACACACAAAGACCCGGTTCTTCTCTCAGATCATTCTGGTCTTCAGTCTTAGAGTCCAGGATCACCCTGGACACACATGTAGTCCTGTTTGTGGTCTTAAAGAGGTCCAACTGTTATTTAACGATAACTCTTTATAGAGTTTGTCATTTAAATTTGTTAAAAAGTGTTTAAATCTTTGTTCTTGGATTTTTGTCCCTCTGTAAAAAACGTTTTTACCGTCTGATCAGATTTTAGCCGCCATGACCTGAAGAGGTTTTTATTCTAAGATAAACCGGAAATACAAACTTAACTGCTGCGATGAATAAAAGAGTTCCTGTTAAGTTCTTAAAATACAAAGTTTTTTTATTCTAAGAAACCAAAGTCACATTTTAAAAACTTCTTTAAAGTCTTTTTGACTCATTAGGAACTCTTCAGTCCGGATTTTTTCTCTCGGGTTTGTCAGGTTATATATAAACAGACACGTTTTATAGTAAATCAGATAAGCTCGCACCAGCTCAGATCAGAGGTTTTTAAGTGAGACGGACTTTCACAGGTTCGATCTGCTGAATTAGTCCTGAATCAGGAGCAGAGACCCGGATCCTGGAGGTCCTTGTTGATCATCAGCGTCTCTTTTCTTCTCTGCAGACTCAGGCAGGAGAAGGAAAAGTCTACAAGTGTCTGTTCAACCACAAGTTTGAAGAAGCCATGTCAGAGAAGGTACCGGACCCGACCAGACCGACCCCCATCCTGCAGACCGGACCTGCTGCAGACTGACGTGTTTCTCCTCCTCTCTCCTCCACAGTGCCGTGACGCCCTGACCACCCGTCAGAAGCTGATCTC